GGCTCGATTCAGGGTCTGTACCGTCTTGCCGTTTTGTTTTGTCGTGAGAGGGCCACCGCTGGCCCGATTTAGTCTCTGTACCGTCTTGCCGTTTTGGTTTGTGGTAAGAGGCCCAGCGCTGGCCCGATTTAGTCTTTGTACCGTCTTGCCGTTTTGGTTTGTGGTAAGAGGGCCAGCACTGGCCCGATTCAAGCTCTGTGCCGTCTTGCCGTTTGGGTTTGTGGTAAAAGGGCCAGCACCGGCCCGATTCATGCTCTGTACCGTCTTGCCGTTTTTGGTTTGTCCTAAAAGGCCCATCGCTGGCCCGATCCAGGCTCTGCACCGTTTCGTCGGTAGGGTTTGTTGTAAGAGGGCCAGCACCGGCCCGTTTTAGGTTCTGTACAGTCTAGCCTTTATGGTCCGATCGGCATTGGCCCGATTCAGGCTCTGTGTCGTCATGCCGTTTTGGTGTGTGGTAAGAGGGCCGGCACAGGCCTGATTCAGGCTTTGTACCGTCTTGCCGTTTTGGTTTGTGGTATGAGGCCCAGCGCTGGCCCGGTTTGGGCTCTGTACCGTCTTGCCGTTTTGGTTTGTCCTGAAAGGCCCGCCCCTGGTCCGCTCCAGGCTCTGTACCGTCTTGCCGGTATGGTTTGTCGTAAGAGGGCCAGCACTGGCCCGTTTTAGACTCTGTATACAGTCTTGCCGTTATGGTTTGTTATAAAAGGAAAGGAATTGGCCTGATACATGCTCTGTTGTTATAAAAGGAAAGGAATTGGCCTGATACATGCTCTGTACCGTCTTGCCCTTATAGTTTGACGTAAGAGGGCCAGCACTGGCCTGATTCAGGCTCTGTACCGTCTTGCCCTTATGGTTTGTTATAAAAGGAACGGAATTGGCCCGATACAGGTTCTGTACCGTCTTGCCCGTTATGGTTTGCCGTAATAGTGCCAGCACTGGACCAATTCTGGCTCTATACCCTCAACACGGAACCGCATTGCAGCAATCAAGCCAGCAATGGCCCACTTCCGGTTTTGTACCATTCAAACTGTACGGTACTGCCAGAACATGCCCACAACAAGCCGGCATCGGCCCAGTACCGTTATGTTTGCTGGGTACTTCCGCTCTCACAGATTCTTAAGCTGCACAGAAAAATAATGACAAACATGTCATTTTTTCATTTTCTTTTCATTTTTTTGGTGGGTTGACCATTGACTTTCCATGATAATCGCACCCAAAGAATCGAAGAACCCCCATTTTCCCCAAAGCGGAAAAGTACTGAGCCATCTTGAAAACGATCCCGCTCCACAACATAATATCGCCACTTTCGAACCCAATTGCATCCAAAATGCTCAGAATTGGAAGCCCCAAGTCCGGAAAGAGGTTCATTGCCACATCTCCTCAATTTCCAAAGTTTATGGCTCTCAGAACTCTCGATATACAATATTTTGAGGGTATATCTTTTATTCATAAGCTCGGCGGATGGGTTTTGGCCTATTTACCGGTGTGCAGCCATAATCGTTTCTTACTTTTTCATGAACTATTCATGATGCTGGCGATAACACGACAGCATTAACCCGCCCTCATGCAAGGGTTGTTGATAAAGAGGAACCGTTGTTCTCAATTCGGTGGATATGCATAACTCAATTGGGTCGTATCATAATCGTTCCTTAGTTTGTCATGTTCTATTCATGATGTTGGCGATAACGCGACAGCATTAATCCGCCCTCATACGAGGGTTGTCGACGAAGAGGAAGCGTTGTTCTCAATTCGGTGGATATGCGTAACTCAATTGGGTCGTATCATAATCGTTCCTTAGTTTTTTTCATGATCTATTCATGATGTTGGCGATAACACGACAGCACTTATAACCCGCCCTCAAGGTCTCCCCTAAGACCGTGTTTGAGTTTGTATTTAAACACGACGGAGATACAGTTATAAATAATTGAGCGAGTTAATCTCTCGAATGTTTGCAAACATGGTGCATAGTGATGATGGAGAAGATGATCACCAAACAGTCCAGTAACAGACTGCAATATTTTCCCGACGTTGATCACAACTGACTTCAGGAATCGAACGTTAATAGCTAACAAAGGCCACTGAAATTCATAGCCGACCACGTAAAATTCAATGACGGTTACAACATTATTACGAAATATTCGCATACAGTACGAAGACTATCTGAAGTTGAGTGTTCTCACAGTTACTGCCTTAATTACTGATGTTTCCTGAAAGGGTCTATCAAGTAACATTAATGTCAGTGCTTATCCCATTCAAGTTGAAAATCTGCAAGACTTCGAGAAAGATCGAGTGTGATGATTTTTTTTAAATGTAGGCCTATCAAGCTTATTCTCCCTCCTCTCTCCGCCATTCTGACTCAGTTCAACCATATAACTTAATTCACTGCTTTGCTTTGAAGCCTTCAGACAGGATCATTTTGTTCTTTGTGCATTTTTTTCGTTTGAAACAACAACTTGCTCAAAATCTTGAATACATGTAGTGCATAATATCAACTCACTTGTTAAAGTTTTAGATCAGTGACTACTATTTTGAAGAAAAAATAACTAACAGAGAATACATAATTATATGCACAATTTTGGGGGTCTCGTATAAAACTGGATTCCGTTGACAGAACAAGTAAAAAAAACTGTACCCGCGGGCATTAGTGTTATCTTAAATGATTGTTCAAACAATACGTTTCAGGCGGAATAATTTTGGGTATTTTGTATCCCAGCTTCGTCACTTTGAGCAAGGTTTGTTCTCACTAAATCGGCAGGTTGTTTTCGGGTATAATTTCTAATATTTTAATATGTCTTTTAGTCGCAGCCGCTTTCCTTGTGTGAATTTTAAAACTCAAGACGTCCATGATGTTTTTGCTCTGCGTTTGACTGCGAGACTTCGTTATACGAGCAGGCAAGCAGCCACTGCATTGTGATCAAAAATACTATTACCATGGTATACAGTCAATGGCGACTTATTTACCACGCCTCCCAGTCGCGCCTACACGTTAATGAGCAAACAAGGCAGACGAAAAACGCTTGGACATTTGGCGACAACTATACATTACGTCCGTTTAATTATAGCATTGACCAATACCACTAGTTGAAAATAAGCACACTGTCGCTTGCTCAACGTGTTACACAGTGCCTGTGGATATACATTTTCTGTGTGCGAAGTAATAGTACATGTACACAACTTTTAGGCAAAGGGGACGGTGACGCGCTTTGTATTTTCACACTTTAAATTTGCATTTTGATGTTGTGTGTTCTGCCACCCATGAAAATTTGATGTGCTTGTTTTTAATGAGTGAACACAATTTAACGTAATTCTGGATGCGAGCATGGACGTATTGTTTCCACACTGTTAAGACGTTTCGGTCAGTGCATATATCAATACTCCCGAGGGCCAGCTGCTTGGTGGCGAAGCATCAATGAAGAGATGCCTTCTTTAAACAAGATGTTCGTGTGTGGCAGCAACAGAAACATTCTCAATTTCGAAAACAACTTCCTCTCAACCACGGAATTGATTGAGTGCATAATGACAGCACTGCGAGTGTAAATATTAGATGGTTTTAGTGACAAAACAATCGCAATACATGTATTGTAAGATTGCGGGGGTGGGTGGTTAAAACTTATTGTTCATAAAAACGATTTGACGTTTTCGGGGTTTTGATGTGTCTTACGTCTAACCCCTGAATTGACAGCACATACGTAGGTTAAACCCCAGATGGACATGCATTTTTGGACCTCTCTGAATCCAACAAACATTTCTAAATTATGGATTTAACGCCAGCGGTGAAACCTCAAATGTTTGTACCAAAATATTAATATGGCTACTGGATACGCGGAAAAAAAATGTGTGGTGTAATATACACATGTATAGTCGAACTCCTTTATAGGACATGTATTCTGAGATCCCGGCCCACTACACCCCTTCCCTGTCGATCAATATAACCTAAAGGCGCTAGGCAAGCACAGCAGGGAAGAAACGAGGCGGATCCTAAGCCATTTGGCTGCTGATATCAGCCGAATGAGCCCCGTAAATATACGAAGATGCCAATCTGGAATTCGTGGACATGTAGAGCTTTCGCGATAATGCAGAGTTACTGTTACTATTTTATGACGGTGAATTAAATCACTCAAAGCCACGTTGTTGTTGTTTTTTAAGGGGGCGGGGCTTCACGACAATCGAGGGGGGGGAGTGATCCCTCATTTCCCATCCTTAGATCCAATGGTAATTTCTCCTGAATTCAGTGAGATCCAACGGCTGGAAGTGTCTCTCAAGTTTGATATTAATTGTCTGACTCGATAAACCGTTTACTTTATAGCAGTTCGTAAAGTATGATGAGTAAATGTTTAGTATTATCAATCCGGTGATGGAGCTGTTATTTTAAACTATATAGTAACTGCCCCATTTTTAACGCCAATAGAACACCATTTCACCCGAGCATTTATTGTTCTATTTTTAATGTCTATAGGACAACGGCGCATTAAAAAGAAATGTTTCGTTGCGTGTTACTGTTTCCATTGTGTGGGTGAGGTTTGTGACTGTAACCTGTTTATTAAGGAAACGATTTCTTTGATACCAAAATAATGGAAAATAGAGAACCCATGCATGAAGCATGAAATAATAGTTTTAGGCTTAAGTAATGTAGAACATGAAGCGATAATTGCTGTTTCATATTACTCCAAACCAGTCCATTGTTTTATAACACATAACAATGACACTGACTCCTAATGCAGTGAGATATTTGAAGCAGCACACCGAGGCCAGTCTACAAGTGCCTCTGACATGTTGAGTGTCTTTACACTGAGGATAAGCGGATACAGCCAAGTAAATACATGTATGGAAGAACGTCGCCTATTCTGTTTGAAATACACTTGAAATCCCGCGTGATGACTGACGTACGTATAATTTAGCACAATACAAAAGGCTCGATGATGGAAATGAAACGACTGCTTTCTGTTCGGACCAGTGTGTCACAAATATAGGCCTACAGATTGGTTCAACACTGAGAAACAACATGCAAAGGACAGAGACCTGGTTTAATAAGAACATTTTCTCCACTCGCACATCAAATAAATTAAAAATAAATTAAAAATGTACACACGCTTCAAATAATGAGGAAATCCACTGTAGCCTTTTGTAAAAAAAAACCCGCTTGATTTGACTCGACTTTCAAATAGCGTTTAACATGATAAAACCATTTTGAATTTCAGAATATGTGGTTTATAATCAGTATCCAAAGACAGTATCCAAACATGATACACAGTGTCATGTTCACACTTTCCGTACAGCAGCCATCTTGTTCTTGATACTAAACATTCGTAACAATCATAATGGACACTATACAAGTACCTCGTATACCTACAAGATGGCTACGGTGAAAAGAACTGATGTAGGCCTACATGTGTGCCAAGTTTAAGTTTACAAAGCACTCAGATTAGGGAAACGAGGCAATATTTCAAACATGACAACGTTTTCGGATTATTTGCGTCCGTCTGATGAACATTGTTCAAACATAATAGGCCTACAGTTGTACACATTCAACATTATTCTCAAACTAAAACAGCTAGCTGCTGTATATGTGTACCGAGTTTCCGAATTAAATTTGAAAATTTAAGCTCAATAAAAACAAACGGAAACACAAATTTTTCCTTGGGTTAAAATTGTAGATACAAATTATGGGAATTCTTTTTAAGAAGAAAATGAGCTGTAATTCCAATTTCCCCATTATACTCTTGCACTTAGACGAAATTCAAATGATCATGGACTTCAAGGGCCCCTGTACTCCCCTTCGGGCCAAGGATCCGCAAAAGAAATGTTGCTCAATTTCTTACAATAATAGCCTTGGTGATAATGTTAAACCCGTTCATTATGCCCCCTCGAAAACATCACTGTGTACACACGTACATGCATACATTGGTAGTTGCTCTTTGGGCATGTGAAGAGACGATACATATGTAAGAATACAAAAGTGCATGAAATGCGATAAGCATTGGACTTTTCTTGTTAGAAGTAAGACTCTGAATGAGCATAACAGTCGTTACACATGTAGGTCTATATGTTTTGAAGTAAGACCCTCAATGATAATAAAATCGTTATACAGTACATGTTAAGTGATGTTTACCTTGGACAAAAATGTGCACCCACTTCAATGGAACGTTTAAGGACGAAAGCAAAATTCCTCGTACACTATGTTCGTGCACATAATTTGTTTTGAGTAAACAGTACGAAAACTTAAAAACTATACTCTTTCTCCAAACTCTGAAAAGAGCTCAAAAGTATATAAGTAGATTGTATGGGGCCTATATAATTATGTACACCTAACACAAAACAGATCGATACTTGTAAGCTTTCATCTGAACACCATGTTATTAATAAAACATCTATGTCTCCAATCGACCCCACACCCAAAAAATAATCGATTGTTTGGGGGTTCTTTTCGAACTCATTTGTACTAGGTGTAGGCCCCTGCAGTGCACAAAATTCATCACATCACAGGTTTACAATAATGAATGCATTTTTTTTTAAACAAAAGGCTACCGTGACTCGTGATTTCGATTTTGAACGATAAGACATTTGATGTGTTAAACTACACAGACTGAGTTGCTGCATGTCAGTTTTAAGCTTTAACAATTTTGGTAAGAGATTCTGCAAATTTCAAAATCTGATAAAAAACACACATACATATTACGACTCACACGCCTTTACGTCGTTCACCCAAAAAAATAAAGAGTTACATTATTAGGAATTTGGAAAGTTTCCATCGTCAAAATTGAAATGTGCAGATTTCTATACTCCTTTTTGTTTCTTTATCTGAAAATAAACTAATCATCTTAGAAAATACATGTACACGTAGGAAGAATAACTATCATGATATATTAATTTTAGATTTTATATACATCCAAATTCTATGTATAGCTCGATAAAGAGAGCATGCGTATGATGATGATCTGGAAAAACACACACGTTTTACTGAGGTTGTCAAATTAGAGAAAAGACAATTGAACAGAATCCGGTGCATTCTGGCGAAAGTGCAATATAGGTTATCATTCTGAACTGTCCAAAAAAATGACAAATGCGAATGACTCAATCAAGAGAAATTACATCATTTCAATGTACAGTCGACTTTCGTCAATACAAATTGGGCTGGACCTAGCCAAATTTCTTATCAGAATTTTGTATGGAGAGGAATATCAGTCCCATTCAATGTGAATTCAATGCACAGATAGAACCAAGGTTTCATGTTTGCTCTTTGCAGAATTTGTGTTTGTACTGACGAGAGTCGACTGTATGTTAATTTATCGTTTGCCACAGTATGAACGTAAGTCTGCCCATGATGTAGAAACTGTGTCAACAAAGAAACCATTTTTGTACGAGAATGCAACAATTTGTGTTGTTATAAATGTATCTTCAGTTTTGATCAGAAATGTATGCACTGCCCTACATTGGACCACAAAGAACCAACATTTACAAGTGATACTACAAAACTTTCGGCAGTGTATTACTAAGTTCGATTGAGGCACAACACTTTTCCCATGGTTATCTGTTGCAACGAGCATTCGAGAATAAAGTAGAATGCAGTACCCAACGCCACTGTTTTCTCCATATAGCATAAAGATGGGCAGTTACAAGTACTGCAAATGCATGTGTACGTTGAACAGTGAATATCATAAAATGAGACCGAGTCTCATTTTCAAATGTCAGAAGAAATCGCGACTCACAATAGACTTGGTGCACACAACCACCAAAATGGTGTCATGATACTACAATGTACATTCTTTCTAGAGAATATATTAACTTTGTGTTTTCTATGTCACATTGGGAAGGACGGCAGATGATGACAACTGATCAGCACCTTCCTCCTGATGTCCCTCTGCCAACCAGTTCATACACTTGATATCGGCCTGTGTAGTGTCTCGCAGTAGATGCGGCCTGTCTTGCTCCACAGATCTCTGCTTCTTTTCTTTGCGTTTCTTCTTGCTCCCTTTGCTGGACTGATGATAGGAGTGGTGAGACTGTTTGCCTGCTGGGTCGGCAGCTGGAGGCGTGTCTGCTGCCTCTATCGCCCCCGACTTCTGCCAGGGGGACGGGTCCAAGGCGTAGGAGTTGTCACCTGCCAATCCGGTCAGGCCTATTTCAGGAACTCTGCGTTCCTGTTCGTTTGTCCTCTCATCTGAACTTTGGCGTTTTACCTCTCGTTGACGAGTCTTGTGTAATTCCTTGTTTCCACGAGTTGTTGTCTTCTGCGGGTGATCCTGATTTGGGGGGAGTCGAAAGGACACACCATTCGGTACGAATATATCAGGTAAGGTTGTGTCCGCCTCTTTAGTCTTGGAGTGCTGGTGATGTTGATGGTGCGGGTTACGATGATGATGTGAGCCGTGTTGACTAGCCTTGCTCCGCGGCGATTCCAGCTTGGACAGTTTGCGAACGACCCCATCGGTGATATCGTCCTGCGAATTGGAGGCGTCGCTGTACCCGTGCTTCCCGTCCCGTTTCCTGCCGTTCGTCAGCAGGTCCGCGTTACACGACACCGATATAAAATCCCGCGAGTTGTCGCTCTCTTCAAAATCGTCCTCATCATCGTACCCGTACTCGTAGTTTGGCGACTCCTCTCCCGAGATCTGCCGCCTTGGATTGCCCATCAGGGCCGGGCAGCTCTTGGACAGCGGTAGGCAAGTGTCCCTGGTTCTGGACGGCAGGCTGAGTGACGTCCGCGACGTTCGGTCGTGGTGTTCGGTACTGATCTGTGACGACGAGCCGTTTATTCGTGGCAGTACGAAGCTGTCCGACATGGAGGATTGGTTCACCTCCAGTCTGCTCTGGCCTTTCTTAGGTTTGGCCCGCCACCGTGTGCTCAAGAATTGGGTGTTTCTCGCCGTGGCCTCGTCAGAATCCTGGACCGATGCGCAGTCATTCGTCCCTGTGCATCTCCGATGGGCATTGAGGGGAGGCAGAAACACGTCTTTCTGCCGGCCGTCGACAACGGGACTGTCACTGAGACTAGAGCCCTGTAGCATCATCATACATCTGCAATCTTTTTTAAACTGTGAATAGTTAGTCAAGTAACAAAAGCAATTTCATCCATTCCACAATATTGTGATGTTGTTAATGCAGGCTTATTCAAAGTAACTCCTCGCTTGTATAATTATTGTCAAATGCCAATCAACAAGATGCACCGAGCCTCCATAATTATGCACAGTGTTTGATGAGCTTCGCGTTATATTAACGAGAAGATATCCAGCTAATCGGCCATGATATAGTTAGTTTTGAAATCAGCATTTCTTAGGCTCCCGTGTATTATTATAACCACGGAGCTTTGCGTTTGCTGAAAGGTCATGGGAGATTTCCTCACACATTCCGGCCGATTACTCCCTGTTCGTCCGCCGACACTAATCACCGTTGAAATCGCATAAATTTCGTCCGTCACAATCGTCAGAAGCTTTTCATATCATCCCAACAATTACTCGTGCATGCAGCAGTATCATCCTTGTATCATGGATGTGCATACCCGCAACGATAAATATAGAAATCCTGGATCATAATAGCTGAGTCATTTATCTGGATGTCGCCGTGCGAAATATGATAACATACCGTCACTTTGTTCCCGTTTATGTAAAAATCCAAGTTTATCGTCGACCTCTACAAATTTAATCTACATGTATATCCATGCGATCGCAACGGTGAGTTCCACGGTTGAATGAGTACGAGTCCTCCCTCTTGGAGACGAGACGCTCACCCTAGGTTGCTGCACTCTGCCCCCGTCCGCTATGTCGACTGATCGATCACAAACACCAAACGGCCGTGTTACTGCCACTCTCTCACTACCTAAAACACAGACACATTGAACAAAAACAAAAGCATATCGACTCGTTACGGCAACTCGTCACAAAAGTTCACACTGGTGCGAGGAAGATGGAGATAGAGAGACAAGACATATGTAATTCCCGGCTGTGTGCACTCACATCAAATATTGATAGTCAAATGAAGATTGTGTTGATTGGCCGTCTGGGGAGGTCGAAGGCGATCGATGGCGTAAGCAGCTCGGACAATGGCCTTGTTGGCATTCGTTGGGCAATTCTTTTCTTCTTATCCCTTTTGTCCTATCACAAAATGATGGCTTTTGTAAAGCAGTGCGTATGGGCAGAAATGTACCCGGTGGAGCGTCAAACTAGAAGAATGCTTATCCGCACTCGTTACACAATCGCTCATGCGCGCATGCGGAGGAGTGGTTAACGATATGCTCATATTATCAGCGTTTCCTAAGCTAGCAAGATTAGATTAATCCAGTTGTTGGGATTTTTATTCGCCCTTCAAACCAACGTTTATTGAGGCATGGAATGTGGGGCAGTGTTAAAGCGGATCGTCACTATCTTGGTTGAAGGTTCGGCATGACACAAGACAGCCCATTCGATTCCCTACCGTCAAAAATGGTCCTCATCAACGAGTTGGCTAATACAACAACTGAAGTAATCATCCAAATACAATAATAAGAAGCCAATCAAGGTCAATCTGTCAAGTTTCTGTTATTCAGTGGTTGAATGATAAACGAATATAACCAGTAATATAACTTGAGGGAGTTAACATTTTAGGCAGTCGTGTAGTTTAGGACCCAGTTCCGTACAAATGAACGAAAATGCACTTTTATGTTTGGGATTGAATACCTAAACATTTGGCTTTGATACAAGTAGTTTATGTGTTTGGAATCATCTAAACAGTTCGCTAAAGAAATAAGCCATATATATAGCTGATATTCAACATGATGATGCATATCAGCTATGGCTTATTTTTTTTGTGGAAAGAGGGCAGGGTTTTTGTTTATGAACGAAACTTGTAAAACATAGAGGTGTCCTAAACTACACGACTGCCACATTTTATTCCAAGTAATTTTTAGTCGAGATGGGCAAAACAGCTCCTGGACGATCGAAGTGTCCACCAGTTATAGTATAACAAGTCATGTATATTAAAGTCAGATTCTGTATAAATAGAAATTTAAAACACATAACATATATTTTTCAAAACCTTTAAGCGATGTGTTTTGCTATTTTTTAACGGTTCACGGCTCATGTTTTTCTTATTACATCACTTCAGCTGGTATTCGTTTCTGCTCTTTGGAAACAAAAACAACACTTCATCACAGTGCTCTCAACTTGATATCTCGTATGTTCTCGCGCTGTACCTTTTAAGTGCTCATCCTAATTATATCATCGTAGAAAACACCTGCTCGCGATCATCCAATTCTACCTTTCCGCAGCACTGTAAGTGATGGGATTAATACTCAATTTCGCACTTGCCGTGTGAATGGAATATTGCACAGAGCAATGGAAAGAGTAATTCTAGAAGTGCATATATCTCGAAACGCTTTTACCCACATTTTTCTTTTTTAGTCATCGATTGAGTAAAGGGGTCTGGCATTCCAACCAGTACGACTTGTGTTTGTAGAAATAATTATGTGCTTATGATGATGTACGTGAACTACATTTACTATGCAAATCGACTTTTCAAGTCTCAAGGTAACTTCCAAAGGGATTGAAATGAATTAGAAATTCGTGGTTTTCCGGCGAATGTCTGGCACAAAATAGGGGAAAGACAGCGGACGATTAAGGACCGATTGTTGTCGGTTTTTCTCCAATGATCCGACGAACAAAAAAAAACAACCAAAACATTTTCCTGAAAGGTACATAAGACCATTTGCCTTTTGTACATTGTTTTCCTTTTCTTGAAGCAACAAAATTGCTCAAGCGGTGCATGACAACTGAATGGTTGAAGTTTCAGCTCAGTGGATAAAACAGAGAAAGCGTTTGCACAATTGGAGGGTCTTATAACTGGATTCCGTTGCTAACTGCGGGCACATTTTCTTAAACCACCTTCAATAATTGTTTTCTTCCGAATTTTACAATTTCAGGCGGAATAAGTTCACAGAGTATTCGGCATCAGTCCTGTCTTCACTTTGAGCGAGGAGCTTCTCGTTAAATCGGTAGGTATCGTTTCCGGAAAATTGCAAGTGTTCTTACGTGCCTTTATAGGCCTAAGCATCATTCGTAGTATGTGAAGTTACTAAGATGTAACTGAAGATGGGGGAATGGTGACAGTATTGATAGTTGGACAGACACATCATTATTTTGTACAGTCACACTTGGATGGAGTTCCGAATGTAACGACTTATAGGAAATCCGGTCTCACGTCTAACATGCATCCACGCCCTCACACTTACCAGTATTCTCTCATTGTTTTGTGTATACGGGCAATGCACACGGAATTCATTCCGCCTCGAGGCATCCTCCCCGTCCCAATTTCGCAGAAAGTATCGACCAAACGCGAGATTGGAAAGACATCTTCGAGCACCTTTTTGTCTTCTGTCGGGCTTCGTGACTAAACCTCTCAAATAAGGGCTTGAACTGTTGACCAACCGTCTCGACTCCATGTAAGTTGCAATCGAATCGACCGCACCTTCACGTCAAGTATTATTCACTGCTCTTTGCTAGATCTAGTTCTTTTGTTGACTATTAGACTTGAAATCAAGTCGGTGTTTGCAAATGATAAACACGATACACAGCGCCGTGCTAGTATTGGGTCGCGCCCACAGATAAAAATCGACTGTCTACAGCGACTTGTCCTCAAGTCTATTTGACTGTACGGAGTGTACAGGTGGAAAACGAGCGCGTTCTTGTCATATTAATGGCCCCCATTAACGGCGACAACATGAGGCAATGTGCGACGACCTTTAGATATCTACGATAACAATATGCCATATATTGTTTAATCTTATTTGTGTAATATGATTTACCGATATCCCCGTTGCTTTAATGTAGCTCACATTCCGATATTGCCTAGGAATGGACCAGACAAGTCGTAACATCATGTTATCATTTCAACCTTTGACAAACAATGTACATGTAAAGGTTTGAGGATGTCTGATAATGATGTCTTGTAATGCCAAATAAGGGTGGGTTCTTGTTGCCAGCTGACCGAACCTTAAAGATATAAAGCACGCGTGCTATATTATGAGTTTCACAACGTAAAATAGAATCGTTTTAAACTGTCATTTACCTATTATAATTCAAGACTTATTCACTTTTGAAACGTGTGAGAAATCGAACGAAAATGCGGCACACGTTTAGTCGTGAAACGGTTACTTCACAAATTTTGAAATATTTACGGCCGGACAAAAATTTAGTTCTCGGAAGGTACACGTGTAGCCTACACTAATTCCCGCCCCGATCAGTATCGGAAATGTATGGACCGCGAACCAGTCACCTCGATAATTAAGCAAAGTAGGAAATTACATGTATGTCAATATAATACTGACTGAAAATACATGTGCGTCTTGCCTTCTCATTCATCATCACAAAAAAACAAATATCCATGCCCGCACATGACCACAATCTTGTAATTCCTTACCTCAAACCCGTACGTCTATACAGCATTCCACTAGAAGTGTTATCGAGATATGGGCCGGGAACCAAGCTAATATGTTGAAATGCAACGGTCTATAAATATGATCGTGCTTGTCTTTCCTCATCGCACTGAGCTGAGCTTACGACACACACAAAGCATCCCCAAACACAAATTGTCCCTGGGGGACAAGACACTGGTCGTTGAACAAAACTCACCGTGTTAGGAAAATAATTATGGATTGACGTCATGGTGACGTCAATCACACAGGACCTTCATTTGCCAAAGGCCCATTTTTTTTTATCATCGTTACATAACTCCATCATAATGAGGTACAAAATGTATACAGGACTGATGAGTGCTGCACAATTCTTATCGTCATACTATATGCTCTGGAAGAGCATCTGGTCGTGTTTCGCCAATCTCTCCTAATCATTACTGCATCATTAAATGACTTGACATTAAGAAATGTATAAATAAATGTATGTATTTAACGGTGGTGAAGAGGTGGTTTCTTTGATAAAAATATCGCAACCCGAACAATAATTGTTCAAGGTGGTACGTTGCACGTTGCAATGATGCACGTGATTATCATCATTATAGGTTTTCTGTGAGGTGCGCACCAAGGTGAGACGAACGTCATTTGGAAATCATTATACAACTGACCTCCGGGACACATTTTTGGTTGCGGCTATATATACCTGGATAAGCGTTACTATAGTCACGTTTCCTGAAATCTTCAGAATTTGTTTCAATAAGGCCAAACAAAAAGTCTCCGGTTTCTGGTATGGAGCTTGCACGAAAAGTGGTGCGGCGACGCGTTTTGTTTGTTTTTTACCCTACTTTTTTTTTCTTCAAATGTCGGCTGATGTTGCAGATAACGCTTCGATCCCCTTCAGACTCTCAATAATATCTTTCAGAGTGGAGCTTGAGGTGACCCCAGTAAGGCCATAAGGCTTGAGAAGTCTGCACCAACTTACGGTCTCGACCAACACGAACATTCTTCAGGAATTTTGATAGTCAAGACAAAAATCAGGGAAAACGGTAACGTCAGACCATACGGCGACATCGACATCGTGCATGTGCTGCCAGGCTGGTCATTAGTCTGCTCCCTTACATATTGCAATGATTAAAAAGCGTTTAAAGGTTCCAGATACACGACCATCGCTCCCTCAGTCTGGCTGATTACCAAATTGTAACACCGTGTGCAAATGGTGCCCGACTAAAATAATTTAGTGCAAAATATATGGGAGCCCAGAGAGGCCAAAACAAAGCTTATATCCGATCGTAACCCCATCAAAAAACACGTTAAAATGTGCAACATCAGGATTCCAGTCAAACCAGTGAGTTTGGCGGTTTTGAGACATCATCTTACATTGAAAAAAAAAACCTTTTTAAATTGCCGACGCGCATGGCTACGGCGACGCGCGCGCATACCAGAAACCGGATACTTTTTTGGCCTAAAAGACAAATATTTCAAAAAATGATTTAATACTAGATTTAGATTGAGTTTATGTGTGTCGCTGCATCAGTGGAACAGCGATGGCGGTGACCGTCGGACACCAAACTGGTTATGGGTATAGATCCTTACAGTCAGAATAACCTACACGACCAACACGCACAGCACGTCTTAGAAAATATGTTGAACACGTGGATACATAGAACAATCGTGCATGAGTTACTAGTTACATGTATTTATCATGCCCTTGGTATAATATCTCATTCATGGTTCACCACGGGAGAACAAAGGTTCCTTCAGTGCAGTTTTGTGGGCGAGTCCACCACATCCCGAGTCCGAGTCCGAGTCCCAGTCCGGACTCGAATCCCACAATAGCCCGAGGTGTCGGCTCGGAATGAGTGGGATATACAGATATTAATATAGGTCAACTCCCCGACCTCTTCGTGTGTATTGAAAGAGATAGTTCCCCAAAACCGTGTCAAGATTTTGCAAACGAACTAAACTAATTATAAGTACATTGTTTCTAGTGCATTTCTTTCGCCAGATTGTCAATAATTTAGAAATATCATTGGGCCTAAGTTCGGCAGGGCATCAACCATCTTAAATCCACTACAAAGCTGCTCTTGGCATAAATTCTTCCTCCTGGGGATGTGAAAGAGTTATGTTCACAGCGTACATGTACGTCCATTTGAGAACGAGGTGAGATGAACCTTGGGAACGTATTGGAGTCCTACATGGGTGGACGCTTTTGCTCTTACGGTGCTGCAAGTGGTGGCAAGAATGTATGCTTATTATGCGGCCTTCATGAAACATCAGAGAGATGAGTTCCGTAACCACCATCTCGATAAAAAAAAGAGACTTCAGACATAGGGAAAATCATGATTGCAATATCCCTTTTGGACCACCATGCCAGTGGCAAAAAAATACGCGAGAGGCCGTCAGATTCAGTGGCCTCAGTACATAAAAAGACCGAAAACGAACTGGGATGTCAGTCTTAAAGGTTTTTTTATTGCTCGGTTCTGAAGTAATGACCGTAAAGAGTAATTTCATGCACGAGCACCCCATGAAGGTTGTACAGCACAAAATTTATATCCTACACTAGCAGTAGAATTAGCCTCGAATCAGACACATGTTCCGAGAGAATACTCACCTCAGTCTAACGAGAAATTCCTAAAGACGCATCCTTGTCAAAGAGCCACAATAACAACAACTCGCTGTCATTGCTAGGTCATGTACATTTGTATTACGTTGGCATACACACCTTGCACTTCACGATGTCTGCAAATTGTCAGCGTGCAGTCCCCTTTCTTGTCATGACCATCACGTGGCTGTTCACTTAAACCATGGAGGAATAAGAACATTCTGCCATGCTCAAACACACCAGGCATGGTGAATATTTCACACTATGACATGTCTGGGTCTCCCACGAAGGCAACGGCTACAATTTCAGAAACTCTCGTTCCGACTCGGTGACTATCCGGCTTGGTTTACTGCAAGTTCAATGGCGTGTTCCATTTCGCAGGTGCTTGATCAAATAGGTAATTAAGTGCCTCTAGACAAGTTTGGAGCAAGCAAAGGGGCACAAGTTCATGTATTTTGCAAGATCTAACATTTGTCCACACTAGTTCGAGTTGGGGAGGAGGAAGGGCCGAAATCTGACACCAGGTGGCGTTTTTCATGATAAAAAAAAAAGTTCAGGAAAGAAATTTGTCACATAGACATTCACGTTTTAAGTCCATACCCGGCAGTTTCTACCGTTATTATTTTCCATTTTTAAGAAAAATAATAGGGTGTTCCATTACTATCTCTACAATACTTTGATTGAAGGTCATCCCGACTTATCTCTAGCATACCCAGCGTGGGCAACATTGAAAATATAGAGTTGGCACAATTCGGGAACAATGTGTTATTATTCACCTATGTGTTATTATTCAACCATGCAAGACGCATAGCTTCAGGTTTTTTTTTAGGGCCATTGTGGAAGGTGCCTTTTTTCCTGGATAACTGCCCCTATTTGGTGTTGCCTCCCCCAGTTTGAACAGCGTTCCGTCGCCCATGCTTTGACTTGTGTAACGCGAGAAACATGCAATTTGCTCGGCACAGTCTTCAGTAGCAAAAGTAGGGAACAATGGAAACACGTGCATTTTTATTATTTCCAACTCATAAATAACTTGTTATGCGTTTAGAATTTTCGGGTCATTGAAACTGCTCAAAAACGTATATCAATTTTTAACCGATTTCGACTGCACATGGTATAATGACGGGTAGTTTCCATGGTGTGAATACTCATTATGATCGAACAGCCTGCATAATGGCCAACATACACGCACGCAATAATATACCTAAAGCTACTTTCAGAACCGTCCCAAACCCAAATTCATCTCATCTTAAAATCAATGAAAACTCACTGTAATATATCACATTAATCAATGGTTTAAATTATATATGCATGTTTACCGATGTTACAACGTACAGTCGGGCCCCTTGCTACAGCCTGCGCTCGAGTCTCAATTATATTTGAGTCTCAATCTTGCAGTTCGATTGTTTGTATTTTGAGTCAATTTCCAAATTGATTTCGTTTCAAAAACAATCTACATATTCTGAATAAGGCACACTTAAAATTCTTGCAAACTCAAAATATTCTGGACAAGAAAACACATTGACATTTAAGTGTCATGCAAACAACGTTTAAAAATCAATCTAATTCACAAAGCATGACAATACCCGCTCATTTTATGGCCTCTTGGGTATGAAGCAAAATTTACGACATTTTTAATAAGCATGCTGTGTGGTGTTGTATACACAAACATGTGTCTATTCCAACAAAAGCTCGTCTCGCTTTCGACAGCTGTACAATTGCATCGTTTGTCCATTTTAGTCATTTGCGTCTGTGCCCTTTTCAGCTGAACCCCCTGCACTCTTGTAATTGAAAGCTAATTATCTCTTGTCCATTATTGATGTGGTCAGTATATAGTGGCTTAAAAAAATAGTCAGAACGATTAATTTTTGACGGGTGGCTGGTTTTGCGAGGGCAGGAGATGAGCTGAAGGCCAAGTGACTTTTTATGCATTGCTATTTTTGCTTTGGCCATGGTGGTGTAATCATCATTCCAGCGAAGGCCAAAAAAACAAACAAACAAACAAACACAATTGGTCCCATGTCAGACCAAAGTTCCGGGAATTGATGCGGCGATCCTTTTTTTTTTTAAAGCTCGAATTGCACAGACATGGTGGGCACTATTTTGCTCTTTTGTGTTCTCATATACCTTGGTGTCCTCTATCATTTGCCTTGGTGCCCTCCATCATCTGCCTGTGCCCTCCCCATTCCTTTGTGCTCCTTGGTACGAAAATTTGAGGCGGTGCGGCAATAGTGGGCATTGTTGTAGCTATCGTTCGTTCGTACCCACCCCCTGCACACAGGGCGATGGGAAGGGCTGATGAGCTTCACAGAATCTTGTGAGGGAAGTGGGGATGGCATTCTGGGAAATTTATCATGACCTGTATAATTGTATAAAGCATCTGGCTGAAGTTGTTGGACAATTTTACACAACGTTGGGTAAAATTTAAACACAATTTTAAGCGTTTTGAGAGTGTACCAAGCACACTCCGGCCCAGTGAATGCTGCAGCGAGGGCAGACGCCAAAGTGAGTGAATCGTGGAAGGCATGCCTTTATATCCTAATAGGATTGGCTCCCATCCCATAATATTTCCAGGGGTGCGCGCGATCCAAGGCGCCTCGATAATAAACACGATATGTGTAATAATATGACATGTTGAATTTACAACTGAGATTAACCCAGGTTGGACTCCGTTGTCAGTCGTAATGCAATGAAGACGTCGTCCAACCTGGGCTAAACTGAAATATGTTTTCACTGAGAATTAACAAATGTTCTTTATAACAGCTGTACTTTACCGGCCCAAGAACAGACCATCTATGTGTTCCATTCCGGTTACAAAAAATTACAATACCGCTGTGAACACCAAAAATCACAAGTGAAAGACCGATAACAATCGGATCATCGCTATAAGTGCAAAAGGTGTGTCGAGTTGACCGACCGCTGAGCGGGAGAAACGAAGCCACGACATAACTCAAAGAACATTTACATTATTCTACATTTCAACAATTTCTACCACAATACCACAGTGCACTGCACGACGAAAAAGTTGACATCAACAAAACGGTAAGCTAATACGAGAATAGAAATTAGGCTCGTTCCAATTTCGTCGACCAGGCCCCTAACTAGTTTTAAAGGAGTTATCGTAATACCTTCATGATGAAAAAAAAAGCCAAACAAGTCGTACACTTGACAATGTTACTCGTTTTTTTTCTCCCACAATTTTATTTCCTTGAAATTCATGTTTGGTGGCATTTTCTTCGAACTGAGCTTGTTATGACTGATGTTGTTTCCCACTTGTACACCCTCAAAGAAATACTTTTTGGGATTTGTAAAACGTCCCTAAAAAGTCCCTTTTCTACAATATTTATTTCAGCCACACTATTACTATAATATAGAAAGAGTTTGTTTGTAAAGCGAGTAAGTTTACGACTTTTTTCTGTAAATTTTTGTTGGCCTCGGTCTTAAAGATGCAGTCCTTAAAAGATGGTCCTAATTGGGGGAAATGACAAAACAATTAAGCATTTCTATCGTTTCCTCTTTATTTTGTCTCTCTCTCTTCACCCGTTTATTGTTGTATAGAGGTTTTCACAGTCCCACCTGTAGAGGCTTGTTTTTGTGTGCGTGCGCGCAAAATTTTAAATTCAGTATGCATGCCAAGTATTAACAACCCATCTATTAGAAAGGATAACGGCTCCTGTCGGACACAAAAGTATCAGCAAAAATCATATGTCACGAGAATGGAAAAATCCATCTGCCATCTTTGAAAATCCGTCATCTCGGAGAAAGAAAGGGACTGCCTCCTCCTTCTTTTTCAAAAAGCCAGGACGATATTTGTTTACTTGCAATTGGCCTATAACAGCAAACTGGTCTATTATGGCAACTCAGCAAGAGAAGGTGTTTTTTTTAGCCCAGGTTGGACTCCGTTGTCGTAATGCAAAAAAGACGTCGTCCAACCTGGGCTAGTTTTTTTTAGCTTTTGTTTTAAAATAAATTACTTGAATGTAGTGATTAAAAAAAAAGGTATCAGAATTTGTACGATATCCCCCACCCATTATTTGTCGGATCTTGTTTTACACCCGACACTGCATCATTATCTTTTTCTTTTCCGAAGTTGAACCTAGCTGAGTGTTATTTTGTAGATACTGATTTCTGTCATACTGTGACAAGTGGTTCATCACCATGACCTTGTATTCGCTTTAATACAGCTTAATTACAATAATTAAAGGTTGATGTAAAAATGGCAGAATATACATATATCAGTTGGGCTTACTGACACTGTCCCAATTACCTCTCACATTACCTAGGTATCTCTTTCAAGTATCTCTTTAACTGAAACAAAGATGCTATGAGTTCTGGTAATGAAGGCAAATCCTGTCTGGTGTACCTCTTATTAGTGGAAACTTTTCCTGTATATCGATCGGTTTCGTAAATAAATTTTGCTCGTCTTCGGATTCACGTTGTCCTTTTTAACTATTACATTCATGGGGTTCAAGGTAAACTTTCTTTTCTTTGCTAGCCATATTTCAAATATCTAAGGTCACAGAAAATCCACATAATGTCTTACATTTGAAAGGACTCGAGCATTTTTTAGGAACGTAAAGCCTTTCATTGAGCAAAACTTGTGAGGGATATGACAGTAGAGGGCGACATACAGTTGTGCACTGCGTCAGCGCGCGTGTGGTAAACAATATTTTAATAGTTGACAGTTCTCACATGCATCATACACGGAAAAATGAACTAGATACGAAATGACAGAAGAAAGGGAACAGCAGCGGAACGATGGCTGACAACGCTGAGGCTGGAAATTTTAGTTGTAAGTGCTGCAAATCAACTGAAAATCTTAAGACATGTTCAAAATGCAAATCTGTGTTTTACTGCAGCAGAGAGCACCAGCTTCAAGACTGGAAAAAGCACAGGCGATACTGCAAGAAAATCTCCCAGGATCATCATCAAGAAGAAGAGTCCATGGCTGACCTCGCTCGAGAGGCTACCGTATCCAAACCCATGAAAACGAACTCGAGGTCTGCTGCAAATCATAATGGTAGGCCTAAACAAGACAACATAATTCCAGTCATGCCAGTTGAAATGAACAACCTATGTGTTGAAAGTTCAAATGAAACCGCAAAAGCGAACTCTGAGAGCACCACACAGAATGAGAAGACATTTACGGTCAATGAAAAGAAAACCTTGAAATCATGCTCTACCGTCCTTAAACATGAACAAAATGTTGGCCATGAACAGAATGGGTCCCAATCTTCACCCAATTACGACCCCCGGCCATTCATCCAAACCGACTTCCCACATCCAAAATCAAGAGACGGGGACACCCTAGCAAGGCATGCTGCAGTCCATCTGCAGAAGAGTGGCTACTGTGTGCTAGATGGTTTCCTTAACCAGGAACACAGCCTAAACGTCTTGCGAGAGGTCAAATCAATCCAAGACAGCGGTGTTCTAATCGATGGCCCACTGAGTGGTGGGCGTACGAGCAGCGAGAAGTCCAAGAAATTCACCAAGAGGGTCATACGGGGTGATAAGATCACATGGCTGCAAGGTCAGGAAGAGTCTTGTCCAAGGATCAACTCCCTGATTGCACAGATGGACGAACTGATCCAGAGACTGAATTACTTCCTTCAAGGCCAATATGCCATAAGTGGGAGGACAAAGGTGATCAGATTAATAATATTATGGAGATTAATACACAGAATAATTGTTCCCAAAGAAGTTTGTACCCAACAGCATTTATGGTAGTTGAAATGATCCTGACCGGAGAGATCAGTCATAAAGGCCCCCCCCCCAAAAAAAAAAATGGTTCTGCTTCCGGTTTCCCTATCTACCCTATTCTGACAGCCCCTACCCTACATTTTTTATGGGGAAAACAAGAAAAAAACACCCAAAACCATCAATTTCCACCTTTTATATGAGGAACATGAGGTGATGTACTCCGTTGAGTCCATCACTAACCATCAGGTGGTCATACATGAACTTTTACAATACGTTGAGTGAACAGTTCACATCCAATGAAATGTCACTATCTAATACCATGGTATAACAAGTGATTTTGTCTTTGTCATCATCAGGCGATGGTTGCCTGCTATCCTGGGAATGGAGCTGGCTATGCCTGTCATGTGGATAACCCTAACCGTGATGGACGATGTGTCACCTGCATCTACTACTTGAATGACAAATGGGACGTCACGGTATGTGACAATGTGGACTCTTTGAGAGGAACACACCACATGTACACATACTGGTTGGGTTCTGTATGGTGCAAATAGAAGTAGCAAAACTTTTATTTCTGAATTTGCACAATTTAAAATGGCCTTACTGAGTTTTCCTCCCATTTGTAATTCTACTCCATATATTTCTTCAGACTTCTGAGCAACAGGGCTCGTGCACTTTTGATGAATCTTTGGTTTCATGCTAAACAAGGGAAAGGGGGGGGGATGTCTTGTGGTTTGGAGTCAGTTCACCAGTCTAATTTTACGTTAGAGACTGTCTTTACACAGGGTGAAAACAACTCGGAATTGGGAACAAGCTTTATGTTACTGTTTTTGTCCTTTGATGGTTCACAGACAGGTTGCAGTGTTTTAGTCAAGATCTTTTCAAAGAACTCACACAAAATCTAATATCATGGAAAATCAGATCTGAGTCAAGCTTTACACATGTATGTTCAAGTGCAATTAAACTGCATCTACAGGGTGTCCAGTTAAACGAAGAAAAAACATCCTGTCTTGACAAAAAGGACATTTTACATTGTAATTATCATTTTGCAAATTTCTAAAAGACTCGGACAAGTTATAAATATAAAACGATGTATAACAAAACAATTGTCTGTTGTAGTCCATGGGTTTTGTACTCCCTCAGGGGCAAATGGCACCCTCTGCTTAACCTCAGGTGCCATTTGAATCCCTCGGGCATATAAAAATACACGATGGACTACATCAGAGTGGAGTGGACAATTGTATATTATTTGCATTTAGCTAGGGGACAAGTGAACCACCTTGCTTGCCTCTCTGACCTTTCTTTGATGTTCTTGCAGTCACAAGGTGGCTTGCTGCGGTTGCTGCCTGTGTCAGGAGGCCATGTGGATGTGGAGCCACTCCTGAACCGCCTACTTCTCTTCTGGTCCGACCGCCGCAACCCACATGAAGTCCAGCCAGCTTTTGATATGAGGTACAGAAAACAATTGTGTCATTAGCTTTTGCTTTTGGAGCATCTTTCAGAATTAATTCAATTGAAGTCTGTGTGGACATGCGCAGGAATTATGTTATCAGTGCATATTTACTTCCATTAGCAGTTCTAATGTGGGTATTATTTCCTATGGGTATTGGAACTTTTTGGGATGGGGCATTTTTGCAAGTATAATATTTAATTAAAAAAAAAGAAAATAAAAAAAAAGAAAGGTAAATAAAAACAACAACATAATTCACATAATCAAACACATGATGAGGACATCAGCTGTTGTGGAATTCCTGGGGGAAAAAAATCATTATTTGCTGCAGCAAACAATTTTCTGTAAGTTTTTGTGCTTGTAATCTTGAATGGTAGTCAATTTTATTCATGTGTTCCAATGTCCCTGGAAGGTATGCCATCACAGTGTGGTACTTTGATAAGTCGGAGCGTGAAGAAGCCAAAATGGCTCAGCTGAATGAAGGTAGCAGTAAATTGTTCATTTTTCTGCAAGTTGTCATCACTGTTTGCACGTTGCTCACAAGTTGCTGCTGCTGTTATTGTCACATCATATGACACACACATCAAATGGGGCCAGGAATTTACCATCATGTTTAACAGTGCTTCTCATGCTGTTGTTATTTTTTGCCATTACTTGAACACCCTAGATCATGCCTGATGTAGCCATAGGTTTAGGGTATTCAAATAATTGCAAAAAACAATGTCCATCGATGAAATGCTATTATAACATCTCATACATATTTATCAGCAAAATAGTGCTTCTTTCATTAACCCTAACAGAACTCAACCCATTAAAGTTCAACAACAGGTTTTGTTTAAATCTGTTGGGATAGGTACAGTACCCCTAAACTGATGGTCTTTTACACTGGGGTTAGCATACCTCCAGAAACTAAGTCCAACAGTGTGTGTGTACAATTTCCCATGTGGGTGTTGGAATTTGCCAATATGGGTATGGTTCCTAGTAAATCAGGCTGGGGAGTTAAAGTTAATTGATGTCCCAACACATAGGAAGGTAAAAGGAGCTTCTCGGATGCACACACGTGCGACGCCGGAATATCGCCCAACTGGTTATTAGTACTGGGGAAGTAATACCCAAAGATTACACTCCCAACTTCATGTATGCAACCGTTGTGATTGCAAGTGAAGTTGCTGGTGGAACCATACTAAAACCTTCATGACAGATGAATAATGAAACTATATGAGGTGTAATGAAACAAATGCAGTATGGTTAATTTTGGGAAAGAAATGCTAAATTCTTCGTCCCTTGGTGTTGGGATGTACTCAAATCAACCAACACCTTGGAACCAGTAATTATGCACTACCTCCCCTCAAACCATGTTGTACTTGTAAACTACAAGTGACTGGCTCCCATTGCACTTTTTGCAGCATTTTGCGTCACATACAGTCAGCACATCTACCATTCGGGAACGTCTCAAAAGTCGGAACGTTCCCGTTCCATATGGAATGTTCCTTTAAGGATTGTGTGTTCCCATCGGAAGCGCGCTGTGTACCAAGCGTGTTCCCAACTGGAACACGCCATTCCTGAGTAAGCCTGCACGCGCATAGACCAAGTTTCCCACGCGGGAACACCTGGCATTCCCGGGCTGTTCCCAGTGGGAACAATGCATGTTCCAAATTGAAACAGGCGATGTTCCCCGATGGAACGTTGCAAGCGTTCTGACCTTTGAGACGTACCCTTACCATTAATTAATAGCTTCTCCAATATTTTATTACCAACACCACCATGATATTTGCCATGACCATCATCCCACAATCAGCATTTTAAATTCATTAGTATACAAGTATTTGTATTTGTTCAAGTGGTGTGGTAAAACTAGCCACCCAAGGTGATCCATTGAGCATTATGTTTTTCCTAGGCGAAGCCGAGGGAAATGGAACACTCATCAAATGTTCATCAGCTTCTTATGATGCGCTTTGCATGCGGGGTTTGTAGGGGATGAGCACCTACCATAGAGAGCTAACTCGATGTACACAGTAATGCCTGATGGGCGCATCCATGTTTGTACACAAACCTATGGAGAACTAGAAATTTTGTATGGCTTTTGTACGGCTATTTGCATATCTGCATTTGTATTCCATACTGGTGCGTTATCGAAGCCGATACGCCCCAAACCGAAACGCACGATCAGCAAATGAGCGTGTCATTTTGCTCTGCACAAACAGCGCAACACGTGCGCGTATTCGCTGCAGATGCTTTTTGCCGTGACGTTTTTTTGAACTGTCATGACGCGCTGAAGTTGTTTGCGTATGTTCTACTTGCGCGTTGCATGTAGAGTACACTTTCGAAATTTAATCCATCTAATTTCATTATGTTCTACAAACACGCACATGAATTCAAAATGTCTCTGCGCCCAGGACGGCTTCAAAGCATCTCCGCGCGCAAGAATGAGGAGTTAGCGCTTTAGTAATTTAATATAGCTCTATGGCACCTACCCACAGATTTAACCAAGTAATCTTCAAGAGCACTTCAGACTGTTATAGCTTTACCAGCAGTTATGCAAGAGACAGCAGAAAGTTAAACTCATGACAACTTGGCACTAAAACCCTTGCCTAGAAATTATTTGTGCTTTCCCTGCTAGCATGTCCAGTTGCATACAGAGCAAATAACCATTATCGTGCTTATTACTAAATATGATTTTTTGTGTTAAATCAACTAACAGCTAGAATGTAAAATGCAATGTCTTTAAGGTCTTAAAAGTCCTATCCCAAAGGGGACATGAAATTAATTTCACAATTAAAAACAAATTGCACTGTTGAGAAAATATTTTATAAATTTTTGGGGGTTTGGTTTTATTTGTTTAAAGTGCACTTTTAATATTTTTTTGAAGTGTTCATGCTATTTCCTGACATGCTATTTTCGGGTCATGAAACAGCTTAACACTAAAGCTTCTGCATATTAGACATGGCTACATGTACACAGCTTTGCTTATTAATATGCAAATTACTCTTTGCATTAATACCAAAGATGTTCTGAAACACCCTTAGAGATGTTAATACAAAGACTGAAAAAGGAGAATGAACAGGAAACAAAGGTGCAATTCGACGTGTCCGTTCAACAGGGTCATATTTCCTAAAATGGCATTTACGCAAAACGCGAGGTTTAGAACATGTAGAAAGACACAAGGTCATATCTCGCTTAAAATAACCCCGATGCATACTCAAAGTCAATGGACGTCAAGATACGACATTGTTGCACAGAACATATTCGTGCGAGATACGACTTTGTTGCAGAATGGAGTTACGAACTTGTTGCATTGACGCGACAAATTCAAAAATTCAATCCCAAAATACATTGCATAGATCCTTTAGATAATCTGTGCACCTCTTTACAGACATGAGTAAGCTGCGAGGTGAGGTGTCTTTGCCTGATGTCAAGGAACAGAAAGAGAGAAAAGACCACATTGAAGAGGAGATTCAGAAGAAATCCAGTGATGCAGTAGCAGGCCTCTCTTCAGCTGAATTACAGGTATGATACTGTGGAATATTCGCACCCAAATACTTTCTTTACTATTCTATGAGCTGGTTCAAGTTCGTATTTCACCCAGTCGAATTTGAAGGTTTGCTAGCCTGTAATTGGAGTACAGTCATATCACAGTTTTCTTACTGTGTATATTTTCATGAATTGAAGGATCAAAGTTTCGTACACGTTGGTTTTTCTTGTCAAAAGCCTTACTTCCCATAGTATTGGAAAAAAGAATGCTTCCTATGTCAAAATGAAGTTGAGTAGTTTTCAAGGCAGACTCATATTCTATGTCTGAGAATCACTTGGAGCTTGTGTCCTCCAGCACGTTAGTTTATTGCAACATAGTCCTTTCCATGTAGAACCAGAATCCTGCCTATAGACCTTTATCATGCTGCCACCATTTCAGTCATGTTCCCTGTATCCAATAACAGTATTGAATGATATTTTTTTTGTGCAAAAAGGAACCAGAGTATTGTCCTTCCAGCCTCCCTTTGGTTACATTGATTTGAATGGGAAAAAGTCAAATGGCTGCAACATGATAATGGTCTATTAAAGGATCTTGATTTCTGAAGTGGACATACAGAAAGACTGTTGTCCACCACATCATACATAGCAAAATGGCATTTTCGAAGTAGCAATTTGGGTCTGATACATGAACACGTGATGCCTTACATTAAGAACACAATGCATGATGAAAGTTTGTTAAATTAGCTATTCACCCGTATTCTGTTTTTGTCATATTTTTTTCCCATTTAAATTGGACTCAGGTAAAACAACAAGTTCTTGTTTTCTTGTTTTTTCATTTTGTCTCAGGCACTGTCAGGCATGCTGGAAGGGCAGCCCGACCCACGAGCAATCCTGACTAGCCACGGGGTGGCACCCACAATACAGGACGCCCTCTTGTGTCAGCTGAAGGGGATGAAGTAATATGCTGGAAGGTAGCAAGAAAATTTACTCTGGACACGCGGCTTCCGCAATATAAACAAGGGGAGGGGTGGGGGCTGGACTGGATACCCTATGACAAATGGGTTCCCTTTCAAAGCAGTCAGCAATAAGCCTCTGTACTGATGACATCACACTTTGTTTACACTGTGCACTTTCCTATGGAGCCAGTAGGGGCCCACGGTCCACTAAGCACTTTCAGCTGACACAAAGTGTGACTTCATCAGTACAGAGGCTTATAGACACTCAGAGAATAGGTGGTGCTTTTCTTGGAAGCATATACGCCTAGATTTTGCCAATAGGAAAGTTATTTTGCCAAAACAATAAATATTAATGGAGTGTGTTGACAGAACAACAAATAATAAGATAGCATGCATTATGTTTTTTTGTGTCTATTACCGTCTTTCAAACAATGATTTCTGTATACAGAGACCATCTTCAATTTACCTTTCACATTCAAAGTCATGGAAGGGAAACTAATTATTCATCAGAGATTAATTTGAACTCTCTGCATTCAGTTTATGCCTAAAACATATGTTTCTTGATATTGTTGCACTGTTTTGTGAAGTTTTTTATAATTAAATTTCCCAGATGGTGGACTTATTAATTCAGCGCGCTGTGATTTCCTTCTTAATAAACATGTTCAGTTGTCTTGACCTTAACAGATAATCTGAGACACTAATTTTTGTTTCTGGGGTAAAATCCTTTTTCAGCTTGCCCCAATTTTTCTTTACATTTCACCTCCATTAGAGAGTTTGAAGCAGCATGTTTACAAATGTATACTTTTTTTGTTTACAGTACCGGTATATTATGTTTATATCTCAGTAATATTCATTTTAAAAAAATGCTACATTATTATCAAAGACTGAATTGCTCATAAATGTAAAAACTGTGGATTCTGTTGTATTTTCAACCAAACTAAATGTTGGTTGCCTCTAATCGCATTTTTTAAAATGGGCTTCAAATTTAATAAAAATCTCTGTGATATAGAAGTACTGTGATTGTGATGTCAGTTAATTATGTTACATGGTCAGTTAGTTAAATGGTTGGTGTTATCAATTGGGGTGTGGTTAAATATAAACAAATAGATTCTGTGTCATCACAGAACCTGGTAATCCTGCTGCCAAGGTAAACTTTCCCATTTGGTTTATTCATTTGAAAATGTTTCTTTGGAGGGCAGCAAGGAGGGCATGGGGAAGGCTCCTATAGGTTTGTGCTTTAGGAATCTGGAATGGAATAATTCCTAAATCCGAATTCCTGTTGAATGAGGGTGATCAACGTAGGAGAAATGTACAGTTGAATATAGTCGGATAACTCCTCCATACCATAAATTAAATTCTTCTTTTGATCTACTTCGTCAAAAGAGGGAAGCAGTCCAGTGAATTATCATTATTAGACAAATTATCAGCTTCAGCAGGAAAAGACACGCAAGTTCTTACAGAAGTATACTTAAGAATAAGAATATGACATGGTCATAAATTAGTCCTTATTGTCATATTTCATTGACATCGTTACTAGGAGAGTTAATACATGTACTAGGATTCCTTAACAGTTTACTGTTATGATAAAAAAAGACTTTAAATTCTAGTCATTGTCTAGATTTCAATAGTGTCTGGGTTTCTCCCTGCAGTTAAAATTGTTTAGTTCTCTTTTGTTTGAACGTCTATACTGAATCCCCGTTCATAATTCCATCACCTGCAGCACATTTAGACAAGAAAATATTGATATCTGACCCGAAATCTTACGCTACAATGGAAAATACATATCTTCGTTGAATCTAAATGACCAGAAATATTACGGTTTTAGAACTTTAAGTCAACCTATGAAAATAAACGAACAGTTGCACAGTACTTCAAAATAACATACGATTATCACAACAAAATTTTGTTGAACTAATTATTTTCAAAATATACCCGAGGTTTTTATGTTCATGATGGTTATTTTCCTCCCAGGAAGAGAAAGTTACTAGGTCAGCCGATATACAGCACCTGGCCAGTGGCCGCATTCCTGTCTTTTCATTAACTTCAACAACCTTCTGGGAATAAGGGCCCGTATAGCCACGCCTACTATTTTATTTGCACGTGCAAACACAATGCCATCGAGCGTCACACGCGCCAGACGTATTCATATGCAAATTGCTTGAAGGCAGCCAGCTCGAGGGTTTGCCTTTAATACTCAACACAATGTACTAAACTGATTTTACATTTAGAATTTACAAGGATGGAATGTTAATGATCAGCGATACAATGACAACTTATAGGAAATGGAGGCCAGTGGCCCTTGACTTCAGAATAAACACAAAATAAGGGACATTTTCACATGACTGTTAATTTAGATAAGTTGGAGTTATTCAAAAAAATCTTATTCAACATATTAATAACATGATTGTTTGTTGTCTAAGTTCAAGTCTTATTTTCGCAAACAACGAAAACCTAGGTTTTACTCACCTCAGGTCCGTTTCACAGACTTGATTCTGGCGGCCGCCTCTTCTGGTCCTCGTATGAACTTCAACTTTAGCAACCACCAAACTGAAATCGTGACAGGACGACGGAGGAGAACCAAAAGTCACAGTACGTACGTTACCATTTTGTTGGTTCAGCGAGTTTCGGTTCATTTTCAACATGTTGAGTAGGCCTACTATACTTCGTTCAAGTTCCATTCAACTTCAATTCAAGCTCAGATTTTCGCAATTTGTGAGGCTTGATGAAATCTTGAAGAATGGAAAACTACATGTAATTGGTTGTCCATTCGAACTTATAGCATGCTTGAAGTGTGTAAACTTTACGCCGACTCACCAAGCCCGTACGTGCAGGACTCTCCGCTGGGATAAAGTTGTGTTGATGCGTCGGCTTGTGAAGTGGTCTTTTGGAGGGAAGATGCTTTGAACAAGATGGCCTGAGCTGGCAGCCGGGAAAATACGTTACGCCAGGGCGAATTTCCTGACGATACGATCATACTACGTGGAGCAAACTTTCACTGATCCTCTTCCATTGAAATTTACCTGCGGAGTGAGATAGGAGTGAAAAGACGGGTAGGTTTATTTTGCACGCGCACGGTGGAAGCTTCTTGGTTGATGGCCGAGGGTGTATTTTCACAATTATTTGTCCTTTTTGTGCAATTTGGAGTAATAAAATGTATAAAATAAGTTAAGTCATGAATACGATCATGATTGAGAAAAAAAGTGAAATTTCAGGAGCAAATGAAATATTTATTTGATGATAAAACTGGAGGGCCTACTTTTTGTAAGCATGAAGATCAGACGATTGGGGAGGCACGTGACGTAGGGCGAACGGGCGATTGTAATTGGTCAGAAGTGAGATGGGTGACCGCAGCTGGTCGATCTGATCAATTTGATTGGATTATCACAATTTCTCATTTAAATGGCTGCAGACGAACACAGGTGAAAAAGTTCACTGCCTTTGGCGGGAAGAGAAATATGACTCGGAACCGGTTCCAACCGGTTCCATAGACTTGTCCAGTTGAAACGTTATCCAAAATGGAAATGAAAAATGCATTATGATTGTTTTAAAAGGGAAAAATCCAACCAATTTAATTTCAGTTTTGCAGAAAAATACCAGAAAACAAGATGCCATGTTCTATTATTAAGTGGTGCCGTAATTATGGTTAAATTTGCAGAGGCTGGCCTAGGGGAATCGATTTGTGCGTCAAATTCAGGGCCATTACTTGGAAGAACGTACAAGTATATAAGTGCATTGTACATGCACACACAAAATATTGTGGCTCCTACAATATCCTGGCCAAATCTCGCTGGGCCCCACCCTCCCCCGGCCCCCGTTGTTGTCTCTCATTGCGCGCGGTGTGTGCTCCATATGTGGAGAGAACAACTTTGACCGGGGGAGCGGGGGAGTGGGAGACCGTGGACAGGCTCAGGAAGTGTCCCAACCATTTTGGCCGGGATTGTAGCCTGCAAATAAAATAGAAAAGGAGAAAAAAATTACATTAAAAAGAGTAAAATTCAGGGTACTGTTGAATAGGAGGGAAGTATAGACTAACGATATACATCCGTGCTCACTGACTAAAAGTAAATGATTTCTTAAGGGAATAGGTATGGAGTATGGACCGTGGTATGGATTATAGAACAGATTTTTTGGCATGAACCGACCAATCAGGGTCAGGGATTGATCAAGTTTGCTTGAAGATATACCTAAGTTAGGCCTACCTTCAGCCTTCTACGGTGAGCGTTTTTGGAACCTCGGCTTCTTTCGATTTCAGCAAATATTGTACCTGTTCCGGAATATATAATGTTATAATTTAAGGATACAATTAGTAAGCCTAATCGTGTTCATATGATAAAAAGGAAAAGCCGGAGATGGCGCTAGCTCCATCAGCTGAAAATCTCGAAACTCTGGGAAAGAGACGCCGTGATCGTCAAGAGAGGGCGGTATTTAACTTAAATGGACATCAACTGATACATTTTTATACGCGGAAATAGTAGTACAGGATCTTTGTACGTACGTACATCTGGCGTAATATTGTGGATGTGCAATCATGGGGTCTCGAACGTCGAGTTTACTTCAGGCGGAGGAGATAGAGCAAATTCAGAAAGAAACAGGGTGTAAGTTGACATTTGTAGAGACGGATTTCCAAAATGATGGTTGTGTGCAAAGTCTGACGGGAGTCGTGAAATTGTTCCCAATTTAAAAAACAAAATTGATTTTTTTTTCTGACTCGGCTCGGTCATGTTCTTTCCACTTCATACACTGATACAGGCAGTCATTCATGGTCATGTCACTTGTCAGTAGGCCCTAATTAGCCTACAAAAGCTACAGTACTATTTTGTAATGACTGACTATCGTCATATTTTTCAATGGTGATTTGTACAAAAAACATAAATTCCCATGAAATGCACTTTCATTGAACAATTTCATTTTCAGCAGTTCTATTGTATTTTAATTTATTTGTTTTGTTACAGTGAATCAGCATGCTACATCATACATGTAAAATGCCTAGGGCTTTTGTTATGCAGGCCTAATTGCAGTCATATCCTCGATCCTGCATGTCCATAAACTGCGCAGGTAACGCTTTGCAACACTCGTGCCTTGTCAACGTAAATTAAAGTCGAGTGCGTAGAAATAGGATCGCATAAAGGGGTCCGACGATACAGCAAGTTAAAATAAGTATTGTGGCCGTCATCTGCAGGCACTGAACTTTGAGTAGATATTTGTCAGATATTTTTATCCATCATACATATGTATTTAACTTTAAGTAGCGAAATAATAAGAAGAGTTTATTGATTTCTTTTTCACATGCAGTTTCGAAAAGACAAATTGTACGACTGTACAGTCGCTTCACAAGCTTGGACAAAAGTGACAATGGATGCTTGAGGTAATAGAATGCGATATTGACATTTAAGCAGTGTATAAACCAGATAGTTCAATTGTCTTAATCTTACTTTTCATAATTTGTTGAGGGCTTAAAAATCACATTTTGAATAATTCTAGACATGCCCCTCACTCTCCTTTCCATAGATAATCAAAATTGTTGTCTATTTTTTTGTTTGCCTTACTTCAATGTCACTATGACTCCCTTGCCCGACACTTTTCTTTAATATTGAGTTGTCGTACAGACACAGGTATTTTTTCTTGTCCATCCAATGCAAATACATACCTCTGTCGTTTAGATTCCTGATCAGATCAAACCATTTTTCTCGATTCTATGTCTCACGATCATATACCTTGATAACCTCAATTTCTCAACAATCACTGAATTCTCATATTGATCTTCCACACACTATTAAAGACTTTAAAAACGAATTTCTTCATTTCGCACCTCAAGTCGAGAAGATTTGCTAAGAATTCCGGAGCTTGCGATCAACCCGCTAGGGGACCGCATCATTCACGCCTTCTTCATGGACAACCCAGAGAGCAAGATCAACTTCCGGCAGTTCATGAGCACGCTGTCGCTCTTCAGGCCCATCAAGAGCCATGACAAGGACATCGAGAACCCTTGCAACAGTAGGGACAACAAACTAAAATGTGAGTTTATAGGGTCATTTTTATTGTTAGGGAAAATTCAATCAGATACAGCATTCAGAGCACTCCAACATGCTTCAACTGTACCGGTAATTGGAAATTCACAGATGATTTGGTGATGCTTTACTTTAGTTTACCCTTTTGGTGCACAGGACAGTTGTTAGCAACCACTCAGGAAACGTTATAATTTTTGCATCTAATCGAAAGGGTCAAAGGTTGAATCTGACCTGTGTCCATTTGTCATGTCCTTGCAACATAGTTTGTCTGACATACAGATCCTTGTTATTTGATTGGTGGAACTCACATTACGTGACATTCATTATTGCTCCCATTCACACCGGTGCTCAAAAAGTCCCATTCACCCATGGTGAATGGGATTTACTATTCAACAGTTGGGATCATCCTTGTTCCATGGCGCGGTATAGATCTGTGTGCAAATGAATGGTGGTGTGCGCGTTGCGCGTAGCATGTATTGTTCCCAAGAGCCAGTAGCAGTGTTGGAGCAAAGGCTTTGACCCTCAAGGCCAAGGCCAAGGCCAAGGCTTTGACCCTCAAGGCCAAGGCCAAGGCCAAGGCTTTGACCCTCAAGCCTCGAGGCCAAGGCCAAGGCTTAACCCTCAAGGCCAAGGCCAAGGCCAAGGCCAAGGCCCTGTTTTATGAAATGACCACTGATATAGAACTAATTATAGTCACATGAGTGACACATCATCACGCAAGGGCGGATCCAGAACACAATTTTTTTTGGGGGGGGGGGCAAAGAAATTTTTGTCCCCCCAAAAAGTGGGTCAAAAAATTACGGCTTGGGCTTCGGGGCCTGCTTAAGGGCCCCGAAAATTTTTGGATTCGAGATGCTCTGTGGTGCGATCTGAGGCAATTTCTGACCACTTTAACCCATGTTTTTTGAGGAAAAGATGGTGGTGTACTCATTGCATGCCTTTATTACGACGTCACATAAAACAAAATGGTTTCGTTTTTTTTTGGGGGGGGGGGGCATGGCCCCTTTTGGCCCCCTGGATCGGCCCTTATCATCACGAATTGCTCGTTACGAAGAACAACATTTCTTTAATTGCAATCAACATGCTCGCATAGGCCTACACCGTTTTATGACTGCACTGTATCTATTAAAGTATAAGTTCAGGTCTTCAATATGGTTTAACTAAACAAAATAATGATTTACTTCTATATTGACACACAATTCTCCCATGTGTAACAAAAGGGGGATCCAAGAAACTGATTTGGGAAATTTTTATTTGCTGGCCCAACATGGTCAGAAATATCAGCATTATCTAAAACAGATACATGCAAATCTTTAGCACTTATCAGGGAGACATATACAACCAATCAGATCTGTTCCATAGTTATATGCAATTAAAGTGATCATCTCATTAGCATTAGCCCCACAAGTGTACGGAATATTGTTGCAGCAAATCTACTACAATGGTAACAAAATGTGATGCTACAAAAGTGGAAGTGTGCCCAACACACAAATCTATAGGGTGCTTCCCTCCTCCATGGTAATACGATTAAAATGGTAACAGCAAAATTTCGAACAGATTTATCTGGAAAATGCAAAAATCTATGGGCCTTGAAGAGCCTTGACTCAAAATTGCAAGGCCCTGAACCCTCAAGGCCAAGGCCAAGACCAAGGCTTTTGCCCTCAAGCCTCGAGGCCAAGGCCAAGGCCCTAAAATCCAGCCTTAAGGCAGCCTTAAGGCCAAGGCCCAGCATCAAGGCACTACATCACTGGCCAGTAGCTACAAAGTTGGGTTCAAACATTTCCCACCAATTTTGTATTGAAATACAAGTTTATTTTATCTGTAAATCAAATGACAAGGATATGTCAGTTATGTAAAACAAATATTGAGTGGCTTTGAATTGTGAAATGGGAGGAATATAATCGCTCGGTAAAATCTGGACTTTTCCATTTCACTAGGCTTCGCCTCATGGAATAGAAAAGTCCAGACTTTACCTTGCGATATTCCTCCCATTCCACTCTGAGCCACTCAATATTTGTATATAACCTCACTTCACATCCATTTCCCATAAAAATAAATGATGACTTCCTGATGTGGCAGGTTGACATTAAATTGTTCACCTCTACTGCCCATGCAATAATCTCCAAACACACTAATATAGCAAGAGTAAACTTTGGAGCATGATAGTCCTAGTGCATTGGGGCAAAGTTTTCCTGTTAGGAGCATTTCAGCTCTTCATTCTGATTAACATGATTCAAGAGTTCATTGGTACTAACTGAGCTTGCTGTTTCGAACCTACAGGACTGCCATGAATGCAATATGTATGTGCATGTGTAAAGAAACAAAAAGGAAGACTTTGTAAGTAGCTCATCATGAACGGGTTTAATCTCTCATTTTCCCCCAAAGTTGCCTTCCGCATGTATGACCTGGACAACAGCGGCATGGTGACGCGGGAAGAACTGCTGGTCATCCTGCAGATGATGGTGGGATCCAACATAACCGAGGAGCAGCTCGGATCCATCGCAGACCGGACAATAGCTGAGGCAGATGAGGACAACAGCGGTGCCATCTCCTATGAAAACTTTGTCAAGGTGGGCATCAAACTTTCCCAGCTCCCATTAAATTGCATACCCAATGCTCTCCAAAAAACATTTTTCTCCTGACAAATTTTCAATTTGTATGTTTTCATTGTTTTGTTTTAACAAAAAAAACTACTTTATTCTGATTTTGGGTGTCTGCAACCCTCTGAAAAATGGCTTTCAGTTTGCACACAAATGAGCCCACCCTGTGAGAGCCAAAATTGTCTGGCAGCCAATCATTTAAATTTTGTGGAGAATACTAATTAAAATACTGAAGATTGGTGGATTGTTTTTGTTCGATGTCTCGTTCAAAACTGAATAGCTTTTATATTCCTAGGAAAATGACAAATGAAAAAAACAATCTATTTTGCCTGGTGACACTCTAAAATAGCACACTTTTGTACAGGTTCATGTATTTACCTGAATTTATCCAAATTGCTGTCTGTAAATCATGGACCAAAAAAAGGTGTCCGTCTGTCGCCGTTTTAAGTCGCATTCTCAAAAATTCTCCTTTTTCTCCCCAACCAGGCTCTCCAGAGGGCCGATGTGGAGCAGATGATGAGCATCCGTTTCCTGAATTAAAGATCTCTTATGGACGTGGGCGGAGACACGTTAGGATAGATTAGGGGTGGGAGGTACGTGACTTCCTTGTAGGAGTCCAGTTTCGGATTCCCTAAATCAACCACCTTTTCTTAAGTTTTTGAGGTCATATACCAACCCTCCCCTTTATTTGGGTACTCCCATCAAACGCTGTTTGCTTCATTCTCTTATGCAATATCATGTAGATGTACATGTACATATACATGTACAGCGAGTGTTGCATAGTTTTTTAATCATGGAATTGGATTACATGTATATTTTCCTTCAGCTATCATAGTTTTAGTTATAATAATTTCCCACTCCAACTGATAGGTTGAAAAACTAGATGTTGGTGTATTTTTTTTAAAACATATAATTGTTTATAATTTATAAAGTTATAATAGTTTATGCGGTACCCTCTGCTATGTACATCAGATTCGAACCAGCCAACCGATCCCGTTAGCTCGTTGGTCGAGTGGTAAGACATCTGCACTAGAAAGCAGGAGGTTGTGGGTTCGAGTCCCACCCGAGTGATTTTTTCCAACTTTCACTCGGGAGGTTACACACCGAGTATACAGTGTTTAAACGTTGGTGAAGGGCAAAACCTAATTTGATTTATATCACCCCGACGCAAAATTCCATCTTATAACTGATAAGTTATGATATTAATGGCAAAGGGGATCATTTGCATTTAAACTAAAAGTAACCTACCAAATTATTATCAAAAAGCTTACTTGGATTGTCAAAAGATCGTACTGGTACTAAACACCCCTTGATATTATTCCGTCTGGCTTGCTGTCATTTAGAAGAAATCAAGAAATGTAAGTGATTTCCAATGATCAGCCAATCGACTAAATTTGTAGAAATAAAGAGTGCTATTGAAAAAAATTGTGATTCGTGATCAAAAGGTTGTGCATGGGTTTTGTACTGTTTTCCTCGAAAAGTGTAATATCCACTGAGCTGAAACTACAATAGGTTAGGTTTTAAACCATCTTCTTCGAATTTTGAGTCGAGTCATCTTTGAAAAACGAACAAGTTGAGTCATCTTTGAAAAACGAACAAAATGCATGACAAGAAAATGAATGATCCTATATACCTTTCAAGACTTCATATCCTAGAGAACAACTCATTTTTTAAGTAGAATTTATTCAAAAGTTGCTTTTGACATAAAAAGGGCTTCAGTAGAAGTATGTTTTGACTAGTTTTGAGGAGTTTCCGTAAGAAATAATTGTAGTTTGCTGTTTTTCCCATTAATCAGCTAGTTATGGCCACCTAGTTGTAACTGTGCTTTTGAAGACAATTATAACAACTGATCTAGTTCCACCTGAATGCCATTATACACAGTTTTGCATTAGAAAGTTAATTTTGACAGCAACATACACAACATTCCATAGCACAGAAATCGGTGGCACACTGGGCGTAGGGGTGGGGACGGGGGCTTGAGCCCTTTCCAAGACATCACCTCTCCCATAACTTTTTTTGGGTGGGGAAGGGGGGGGGGGGGAGGGGAGGGGGAAAGGGGAGGGAGGGGAAAAAAGGGAAAGAAAAGGAGGAATCACTTGTTGATTATTCAATTTGTTTTAAATCTTTGTTGGGGCCCTGTTTTGCTATTTTTGTTGTAACTAAAATGTGTATACATGTTTACTTGAATAATATGGATATTTTTATGAGTGAATTAATTTATTATTTCGAACAAATTGTAAAGTTAAGAAAGACCAGCAAGTTTTTCAAACTCTGCATATTAATTTTATGAAGACTTGATCTTTGCCTCCGTTCTGCTATTGGACCCAGAGCAATTTGAAGATGCCGCCATGGTTCATGTATCTGGGGGTGCAGTAGTTAGATACACAACTGCTCTTAAGTGTCCACATATAAAACCTGTAATTTTCTTTCTTTAGAACCCATGTTATATTTCCAACTGTGAATAATAAGTATATTTTGAATATTTGCATATAATGGAATGCCTATTAAAATAAAATATACATATATAAAGGTATACCGCACGCTGTATTTTATATTCTGATTTGTCTGTGAATTAATTCCCAAATATGAACTGTGTTGTGTTTTTTCCTGCTCTGAAGGTTTACTTTATTGATTTTATTCTCATTTATTTATTTCTGGTAATGAAACCAAGGATTCCTCAAAAGCGCCCTGCAGAAGCCTGAAGAAACTTGTAGAGAGAGAAGACAATGAGAAGAAATTACAGTTTTAGAGGTGGGAGGAAAACCCCAGAAGAATATTCTGAGGAAAACCCACAGAATCATCTAGGTAGGGGCTGAAAAGCCAATCCACATGTGAACCAGGGCAGGAATCGAACCTGGGCCATAGAGGTGGAAGGCGAGGAAAGAACAACTACTCTGCCAACCTGACTCCCTGTTACTGTGGTTCCTTGTGGGCGTTACATGAAAAATGATGTGGTTCCTTGCTCATTTCAACTTCACATCATTTTGCCTAATGGGGTACATTCCTGATATGTTAGGGTGCAGACCACTAAAAAGATCCCATACACACCAATGATATATATATCCCCACTTCAAAAAGTCGCGGGGGGGGGGGGTGGGCACCACTTGCAGATGTTAACGTTAAAGCCATACATCAAATTAACTCGCGATTTACCTCCACTCTTTTGTTTGGAGGGGGGGGGTAACCAATGGCTTTGGGATGATTTATTAAAAGTTATTCCTCCCTGAATTTCGCCCTGTAGCCCACCGCCATATTGACAAATCACCCTCCACTCATTTGCAAAATGTAGCAACTTAATTCCAGGTCCAATTTCATCCATAACTTTCGGAAATTCAAATGCAGGGGCCACAAAACTATACGTTTTTAGAGAAAATTACATTATATACATACATATACAACTGATTTTGGTCAGCAAAATTTGGCCTAAACCGGTCGACAACAACAGGATGTGCGCGTACGGGGATACCGGATAGGCTACCTGAAAGCAGTCACCACAGCTAGTACAGTATCATGCAATCGTGTTTTATTGCTTCCATCAGTGGCGTAAAGCACGAGTAGCATAAAACTGACAATTAATAATGATCGAGAATACCCTGAAAAATAATTGTAGGAGATGCCCGTTTCCCAAATTGTCGCAATAACGTTTGTCAAATAAGGAACATTTCTTTCATTTCTCACAGTCTTCAAACTGCACTTCCTTGCAAGTACACCCTTTTGGAAAACTATTCGGAAAAAAATTCAACCATTTCGTGTGTAAACGAGGTAACGTACAAGACACCGGCCGGACTTGACGTAGGCGGTAGTGTTTGCCCAATTATAGGACAGATTCGGAATTATGCATAGTTCTTCTTAAAAATACCAAAGTTCCATATTGCGGCTACAGTAAAACAAAAACAAAACAAAGAGTACACATCTGCTAAAACGAGGTATCTTATAACAAAATATAAAAGCGAAAACAAAATCAGTATATCATTTTTCAGAAAATGTTCCTAGCAACAACAAAAATATTCACTTTGAATGAGACATAGAACGAAAATAATCCACCGACGTTGAGTTATTGAATTATTCCTTCACAAAATCAAAATCGAATCATATACCAATAAATCGGCTGTCACGCGTCACGCCAGGCGGTCTCATTTGTGCGCAAAATGAAAACCTCCTTTTTCCAGTGGGTTTAATGCAGACGACAACAATTGGACTGAAGTAGTCTGTTCGTTAGAGCAAAACCAAAAAATTGAAAATACGTTGGCGAAAAAAAATAATCAACTTCTTTCTAAAGAGCACGGAGTGTGAAACTTTAATGTCATACGTCCGTCCCTCATCAGGCCTGCAAATGCAAGGCCGTAGTAGTAGCGTAATTCATTTGCCTTAATTTGCGCATATGCGTAGAACGTCAAGTAATTTAAGTGAATTTGTTTAATCAATTTTTTTACTCATCGATCAAATACATTTCACCTTTTTTATGATTCATGGCTCTGGAATTTTTTTTTTTTTTTTTAGAAAGGCGCAAGTTCGTGGTCCGAGAATCCAAGAAACCACAGAAAAAAATATTTGCGGCGGGGAGCGACTGGAGAGGGCGCCCTGTAGTTCTAATGGCCGGCTGAAGTCGAGTCGCAGACAGGAAGGTAAATTCTTTTGTGACAAGACAATGGTCAATGTAATCATATTTTCGCACAAGTTCATTCTAATGCACAATTTCATTTGATTTAAGTCCCTCAATGTGCAAGACACGGGAACCAGTCAACAGTCCCATTATTAAATATTAGGCATATTACTTTGGGGGGGGGGGGGGGATCGAGGGAGGTGTTTCGGGGTGGGGGGGGGATAATGGGCGGATCTAGGCTAGGGGGAGGGGGAGGCGGGCAGTGGCGGCGTTAGGGTCAAAGAAATAATTTTGGGGGGAGGGCAGCATAGAAAATCACCTGCAACATTTGGAAAAAGCTGGGGGGGGGAGGGGGGGCCTGAGCCCGCCCCCCTCCCCCCCCTGAAAATTTTGAAATCTACACTAGTACAATTAATTGTCATGCTTTCTCCTGCATTCTAACTTAGAGAATCTAATTCTAAGGCAATTCGAGAATACAATTAGGAACTTTATAGTATTAACCATCAGCTGCTGATATTGGGGGGGGGGGGGGGAGATATGGGGAACTCCCCCCCCCCCCACCCCTCCCTAGATCCGCCACTGGGGTCGGAGGGGAATGGGGAGCGTAAAAAAAAAATCCCGAGCCCCTCATCTCTGGACCACACAGCCAACAATATCACCTTGTGGTCCAGACGTCCAGGGCTGAATTTATAATATCCATTTCTTTTACATGAAATGCATGGGCAGATTGTCATGAAGCGAGTATGGATATTACCATGAACTTCAGTGGCCACATGGCACATTGAATTAGGCCTACTTTCACCAACATATAACCACCAGAGATCATCTGGCAGAAGATGATGATGCAGATCACTGTTTTTTTTACCTTTTTAATTTTCTAATAGGACATATTGTTTTATATAGGATGTCAACATTGAGAATGAGGCAGAGAATAGACAACTCCACATAATGACTTCAAGACTTCAAAGCCGTCCGAACAATACCTCATCAGATGAGGCCTTTATTCACCTGAGACTGAAGGAAGCCAGGGTGTCCCAGTACCTCTGCCTCAACAATGTCAGACTTGCCCGGATTCCGAATGAGCTGATCTCTAAGGTCACTTCCCTCCGGTATCTGTACTTGAGCAACTGCAAACTCAGAGGACCTTTGCCTTCGTGTTTGACACGGCTAATGCTCCTGGAGACGTTGGATATCTCTCAGAATGCCATCAGTGACATCCCTGGCTATGTCTGCGAAGGGCTGCCCCATCTGGTCACGCTGGACCTCAGCTTCAACAAGCTAGTGACTCTCCCGAAGAGCATCGGCGGTATGCAGTGCCTGCAAGAGCTGAGTGCGGCGCATAACAGAATCGTCGTGCTGCCATCACAGATTGGCGACCTTTCAAAACTGAGAGTGGTAGATCTCACAGGCAATCTCCTACGGAGCATTCCGGGAGAGGTGTTTGCTGGAGGACTGTGTCACAGCCTTCTCATCTTGAAACTAGGAGGCAACCTTCTCAAGACCCTCCCACCAGAGGCTGGCCTGCTGTGCAGACTGGAGGAACTTGATCTGAGCGAAAACTGCTGCTGTTACTTGCCATCGACGATGCGGTCGCTACGGCGACTAAAAGCCTTTCATCACTCAGGTAAGGGCTTGATTATTAGCCTTACATTGCCAGACTCAACAATGTGCACCTTGTCACATCAGGCAGTCAAACTGAGACAAGGGCAACTAGTCCAATTGTATTGAATAGTGTTGGAGCCCAGATTTCATAAGCCCAGATTTCTTCGGTAAGCTTGCAGCAAGCTTAAATGACTGAGGCAGCTTGCAGCTAAGCTTGTGGTATTATGGCAAGCTTGCGGCTATGTTCCCTTAAATTAGACTGAGGTGAGTTTACTGTATCGCTTGTACTTGTAGGCTTCCAAAATGCAACTTAGGTACTTGTACAAATGAAGTCAAAACTGAAAAAAAGTCCCAAATGAAGTGAAAAGGTATTGACTTAGTACAGTACAGTTGCATTATAAATGAATAAGAGCAAAACATTGAAATTTGTTCACAGTTTTTTTCCTCCAAATCGTTAATGGTATTATCCCCTGCATACACAGGCAATGACTGGATGATGTTTCCACCTCACATCCCCGGTGTCCCGGCCAAGGACCAGTCTAGCTTTGGCTGCAAGGCGTTGGAGAAACTCTACAGCTACATGTATGTGCACCCTCCATGATGGACTGGTTGATTGGCCAGAGTTCTATTGGTAAAATATCATCTACGTGTATTAGCTTTGAAGTATCAATTAACATACAGTGGCATTGTCAAGAACAAGTACAATGTAGTTCTCTTTAAAGGTAGAGTTGCAGTTATCCAAAAATTAACTGACAAAATTATTGTTGAAAAGCATACTTGGTTTTATAGATCTATAGTAATGGCACTAAAATCCCTGTGAAATTATTCTTTCTGGCACGCTGTCATTTTGAAGAAAACAATAAATGAAGGTCATTTACAAAGATGAGTCTAAAGACGCCTTTTTGGAAATTCTGTTAGAAGTTTGTTTTTAATTCGAGGAAGCCATGACTGTAGGGTGGGCACAAGCGTTGACACGACACACACGCACGTGTGGTTGCTAAAATTGGTCGGTCCAGTGCCTGAAATCAGCTGAATGAGAACGTACATGTCCCGGATGCTGATTTCGGGCGCAATTCAAAACACGACTTGGCAACGTTTGAATTGAAATAGAAATCCTAGAATATTGTTTTGGTTCGTGGGTGATATTGGTTGGTCGTGATAGCCCCCTCTCGCGGTGGCCGGTTAAAGCGGTGGCGGGTTATCGGCGTAGCAAACAAGAACAGCGTCTAGCCCCTAGACTAGTTATGTACATGTTGTGCCTTATATGTTCCGTCAGATAATTATAGAAATATGTCAGTTATTTTGATGATTATTTTCGATACTCTGGTGTATTTATGTTATCTAACATATTTATGTTATATTCAAAAGGAAATGTTGACTTATAGCCTGTTATTTATTTTTTTATTTTTTTTATTTTTTTTGGGGGGGGGGTAAGGTGAGGTTAGGGTTGGTGAGTTTGTTTATGCATTCAATAGGGGATGTTGAACAATAGAGGACAGTAGGGTCCACAATTCCCGATTGTGTACAAAACATATGGCCATTGGAGGTCTTCCTAAAAACTTAAGAGTACAAACAAAAGAGGGACAAGATTACGATCAAACTCGATTGTGCTGTAGGCCTACTGCTGCAGTTTCATTTTGTACACCAAAAAAGGATTTGTACAATGCCAACTACATTTGATGCATTTTAACATAAGTTACATTTGGGGATTTCCCTGGTACATACATACATGTACAGGTAGTTGTGCCACCAAATGTACAACGTTGTACTTTTGAACAATCAGTTTCCTTTTTTTATTATGTTGATTTTGCCAACCATTACACAATGATAACTGTGGTTCAACTGTACCTAGCAACTACTGAAAGCTCTTTGAATGCTGTCATGAAAACTTTGTGAAGTATACAAATACATTGACCCTAGTTGTCAACTCTTCCCAAATGTGGCAAAGAGTGGTAAACACTCTCAGTGGCTGGCATACGTTTCTAATAATTACTGTATGGTTTTGTTATTATCCTATTTTGAAAAGATATATATTTGTTGATTTTATTGGTTTTTTTTAATATGTTGTTTGGTTGTCTATTTTTTTACAACTGGTTTTCTCTTACTGATATTAAAGAGACAAGATGCATATTTGAGACATGTGTATTGAGAATGTTTTTTTTTCAGCAAACTCCCTCGGAACCTTTGCAGTTGAGGAAGTTGTGTAACTCCTGTTTCCCAATGGATTTTTCATCTGCATTAATTATAAGTTTGTGTTGACCTTTAATGTCATCAGTATTTAACACTGTGGCACCTAATTTGAAACCCTTTTTGTTATCTTCTAAATGGATTTTACTATTGTGTAGAGACCAAATAATGTTACAATGGGTTAAAGGTGGAGTCAGAGAAAAAAATGGTTATCGCAAGGATTGGCATGAGTAATCATTTTGCATTCACTGTTTGGCCCTTATCAATTTAAATAACTTTAGAATACCTCCAGTGACACTTTCAATGCAAGGTCTATAAAAAAAAATGGTCAGTGGGTTGACCCGCATTATGAATCGTCCCATGGATGACAACACAACAGGTCCTTGGTAACCAAGGTGTCTATTGTCATGATAATCAACAAGAATCTCTCTGCTTCTATCTGCAGAGCATGAATGGTCTATTGATTCACTGGCTGTTCGTGTTTATCGGGGCGTGCAAATATTGACTGGCCCTCAACTCCTTGACTATTGAACAGTAGACCCTGCATTATAATCTTGTCTCGTATTCGCATGGTCTGTTGGTTTGTTGTTGGTTGCGGCATTTTACATGTGATTGTAGTCGACGCACACATTTCTTTAAAGTGCTGGATTTACCTGGGAGTTGTAAACACTGTGTTCCCTATTTGTGATGTGAGTATACGCTGTATGTTTTCAAAGCTGAAACTGTTTCAGGAACTTCAACTTTCAAGAGATCTCATCACAGGCATCACATGTTCTGTACTACATGTAGATTTCAACTCTTTGTCATGTGCAAAACTTGCATGCATACAGACATGGGTACAACTATAGAATGCAGGGCCACTTCACTCTACATCTGTGCCTCCGTACGGCTGCGTGGAGACGTGGATGCCGCAGTCGACCTACCTCCGAAAATTGCTCCACCAGACATGACAGAGGGTCAACTGATGCTGCTTGTTTAATTGTGCCAAATGTATTGAATCTCATCTTTCTTTAGGTTTAAGAAATTGTAATGGGAGTTTTAAGTTTTTTATCAAGGCATTGTTGGTTTGGGAAAAACAAGAAATTAAAAACCAAGGAATTATAAAGAGAATGTAGAGGAAAGATCATGTTCCACTTTGTAATACAGTCGAACACCTTTATAACAAGGTACTTGACAAATTACCTTGTTATAACCATGGAGGAATAAGAACTTGTATTAACAGTAATGGGAAAACAAAGACTTTGGACCTAATATTTTGCTTGTTATTAGCAGGATAATGTGTTAACAATAACAGTGCCCTTCTTATCAGGGTTCGACTAATCACAATGAATTGGCGTTGAGATTTATTTTTATGATATGCATATTGAAGAAAACAATTAGAGAAAAGTACACCTGGATTGACTTGTAATACATGTACATGTATAATGTAATTACATTGGGAGCATCTTTTCATAGTGAAAACAAATAGCACAAAACAGAATCTGTGTGCTCATTAATATTAATTTAAAAATAGAGCTAAAATATGCCACTATTCACACAGTGAACAAACATTTTTATCACCTGTGCAAATAAGTTGTGCCATAATTTATGGTGTCTCGTCTGCTCTGTATGATGATAAATGTGCACAAAATGAAACAATTTGATAATGCCCCTTATACCCTTTCTGTTTTAAAACAGGAGTCTAGGACACAGGGAGGAGTGGTCGGTTAATGTAAATCTGGTCTTTAGAAACGTTGTTTAGCGAGGGCAGATGAATTGAACGTGTTGACGTTAAACTGTTTCAAGAAAGTTCTGAGCGGTGCAGAAATATTGCTGTTGCATATTGCCTGCTGTCCTAGCCCCTATTAGAATACATGCACTGGGTACGTTTACAGGGTATACTCTGCCACACATTCAACGCGGTTCATCTTTAGCAAACATACTATATGTACATGTCAATTAATCACATGGGAGTGATTAAACAGTAGAAATGTCAAGTCTCACAATTGCCAGCGCTGGGATAGAATGATAAATTGATGGAGCGAAATGGGAGACATGGATGAAACTGAGAGCAAAGACAGCAGGCCGGCCGATGGAGAAACTGACGGGGACAATAACAGTCGTGCTGGAGTGGAACGGCCAAGATCAGACGGGGGAAGCCCTGCCGAGATTAATCACTCGGAGTTGCCAGCAGGAAATTGCGACTCTAGAACCTCTCCCGGCGGACTTACCGCCGAGGTTCAGAAGAGCGAGGACTATGACTGGGACACGAAGGACAGAGCTGCCAGGAAAGGCAGCGCCGGCAGCCATCGATCGCGGCACAGCAGCGGTGGCAGCAGCAGCAGCTCCAGAAAGAGAAGCCGCAGCTGCAAGCATCACAAACTCAAGCCTGATGGTGACTCGGCGGGTCATGAGAGTGAAACAAGGCGGCCAGATTCTAGCCAAGGCGAGCAGGTTAATGGCGGTCACCATTCACGGACTAAACACCACGAGCACACAATGAACAGCAATCCAGAAAACGGCGCTGCAACAGAGGAGGATGACGACCAATCCTGCTCGGTGGTTCACAAGGACAGTTTCACCCTGGAAGACAAGAGGGAGCGACCAGCATCATCCTCCCACAAAGAGGGCGCAGGGAAGGACAGCAAGAGGATAGCCAAGATGGGGAATAAGCTTATTGCAGAGAAACAGAAGTACTTGTCAGAAAAACAGCTCCTCAAGGCCAAAATGGAGATAGCCAGGAAACAGTTCGCAGAAGAGGTACATTATGGTTAAGGATTTTTTTTTTGGGGGGGGGAATTTTTGTTTGTTTGTATTTACATGTAAGTCTCATAACTGGTGGTAAATTGTACATGATTTCCTCAAATAAGTGCAGACAAACTCTTCCTTATTTATGGAGCTGTTGGGTATTTTAAAGAATGGTCAAAATATCTGGTGCAGTCAGTAAAATATAAGTACATGTAGAGTACAAATCTAGGTACAAGAATATGAATATGAAACGTCTTTTGTGAAATGACCACCGAAAAGCACATATTACATTATTTTTGAAATGTTTATTCGGGAAAATAAATGTCCAGCATACCCAAAGGCAACCATCCCCAATTTTTTCTTCTATCCTTTTGAATACCTTTTTTTATGAAGAAATTTACAGTTAGAGGGCATACAATGCACTTCTTATAATATTTGTACTCATGTACAAATACACACAGTCGAACTTGTCTTGGTACAGAGGTTCATTGCATCCCTAGTTACAATGGCTGTGTGCATCACAAGGCACAGAAGGAAACAAAGACCAAGAAGTGTTTTTGTGACTTCTTGACATTGTTTGACTAGATACAATTGCACATTTCACGATATTGTTGACTGCTGAAATGTGGGATATGCCGATTTTAACACCCGAGGGACACGCCGAGGGTGTTATGTGGTGTATGCGCCCCGAGTACAGCAGTCAACAAAATGTTTTGTAATCTCATGCCAATAAGTCAAAACGATAAATGGTTGTAACTTACTTTGCAACAACAAAAAATCAGTGCAGTGTAACCCTTAATTATCTGTTAACTGCAGGCTTTCCTGCTGGACATGAGACTGAGTGGTTGCGCATTGCACGAGTTCTCAGTCGCAAGCGCCCATGCAGGTTCTACACGCGCACGCAACGCGCATTGTACATGAGGTCAACCATTGTATTTGCATGTTTACAGACTGGACGCGTGGCCGTTCTCGACCAATATTAAATTACGACCAATATGAAATTAAGCACACGATATAACAATGCTATTTATTAGTGTGCACATATAAGTCAATACTAGTCAACCAAAAGTGGTCCTTACATGTAATTGACCTTAGTCAGTGGTGTTCAAGTGTCAGTCAAATATGTATCTCCAGGGTTCGACCGTAACTTTTTTGTTCACTAGCCAGCCAGGCTACTGAAACAGACTATTAACTAGCCCGCGGGCATTTTCACTAGCCGCATGTTTTTTTTCCCTTCCTATCCTTCCATCTTTGCCGTATCCCAATAATTTTTTGACTCGCCAGCCGGGCTACTTAAGGAATAGTTTGACTAGCCCGCCGCTGTTTTGACTAGCATTTGGCTAGCGGGCTACCGCTAATTTCGAACCCTGGCATCTCTCTGTCACCGTCTAGGGGATACTAGGAGTCCGTAAGTCTGAGTTTTTTAACATTCCCTCTCCATTTCTAACCATTCTGTTTTACCGTTGACAGATCACCAAGTATGAGCAGGAGCTGGACGGCAAGCGTCAGGAGATGCAGATCAAGCTGAGCGACCTGAGGGTGGAGGAGCAGTATGGCGCCCTCAGTCAACGCATGGAGGAACTGGCGGGATTCAGGGAGGAGTTGGACTCGCGCTTCCTGCAGTGTGTGGAGTATGAGAAAGAGGTGATTCTTTGTAGAGTGTAAAAACTGGAAGGCAGATTGCTAGAACATGAGAGTGTGAGAATTCAAGGAATAGATTGTTTTAAATGTGGGTTTCCTTTAAACAGTAACAATTTATGAACTGACTATGCTTTTGTTTTGGTTTAAACGTTTAAACATGTCACATCCCTACCACATACAGCATGTAAAGGATAAATCAAACCAGGCAACTGCTCATTCAGTCCTTGTATCCACATGTTTACATAGAAATGACATCCTTATGCTTTGCTGGTGTCTCAAGAGGGTATTCGTTGTTACTTAAAAGTACAATCCATCATTTGTAATTTGTGCATTTTGTTTGTAAGAAGCAACAAACGTGCTCAAAATCTAAAGAAGGGTGCTGAACAACTAACCTGATGAAGTTTCAGCTGAGCTTCAGCTGTGTATTTTGAGAAAAACAACATTCTAGGATCTCGATTTCAAATCAAAAGTTGCTGAATCATGTTTTGAATTGGGCCTGGATTCAGCGTCCGAGACACGTTCTCACTGAGCCGATTGCAGCTATGCGATGTCGCGCACTGATCCGACGAAGAACAGCAACCGGGCGCGCGTGGGGGTCGTGTCAGCGCTTGTGTGCGCTTCGCCGAATAAAAAACCCGAACTACTAACACAAATTTCCAACGATGCATCTTTAGACGCATCGTTGAAAAGGCCTTCTTTCGTTGATTTCTTCAAAATGACCGCATGCCAGACGGAATAATTTCACAGGGAGATTAGTGCCATTACTATCTTTCAACCAAGTATGTTTTTTCAACAATACTTACGTCAGTTGCTTTTTGGATAGCTGCAAATGATGGACTATAGCTTTAAATTTGTTAACAATGAATGCACAAAAGGCCCTCTGACTTTGCCTTACACACGAGGTTTACATCCTGTGTGTTCATATACAAGCTGTGTTTATCTGACAGTAACAGCTTTTCCTTCTTCACACCCGAACAGATTGAAGAAAAAGAGCGGTACCTGGACAGGAGGCAGGAGCTGTGTAACAGCAAGGAGGAGGACCTCAGACTTCTAGATGATGTGAGTACACTGCCCCCATGGCATCAGTTATAGCAGTTTATCAAAATAAGAAAACATCTTGTTTTTGGAATGGATCACAATCTCTTTGCAGACACAACATTTGTTTGTTAGCAGTGTTCAGAGCTTGAAATTGTTTAAAATATCAAACGTCTATGACAATTTCAATTACCTTTATTTTCTTTAGCAACTGGATACACTGAATCAGGAACTGGAGTTGGACAAAGAGCGTCTAGAGAGGGCAGGCTATGATGCAAGCAATATGGATCCAAGGTAAGATAGTGAAGGATCCACAACTACAACAATAACAAAAACTCTGCAACTGGTGGCTTCAGTTAATGTTTTTGTGTGTGTACATGTTAATTTACATCAGGGCGATGTAGATTTGGGTTCTTTTTTTGTTACTAACATACATGTAAGTTATTGTAAGCAGTTTATTATCAGGGCTGTGCAAGAGCTTTTAGGAAATATACTCACAGGTATGCTCAGATCAGACAGGAACCCATGACCTCTTTTAGTGTAATTTTCTTTACCATTCGACAACTGGACTTTCCAGGGTTGGTTGGCCAGTTCCAATCCGATGTAGCAGATAATGTAATCAAGGACTTTCGACTGAATTTTACACTGTGGAGATGTTAATTAAGACACTAATAAGCACTAGGAACACAGGTTAGCAGTAGGCTGCCGATTCAATTCGAGGGTTTCTCAAAGTGTTTTTTTTCAAGTTTTCTCCAAGTTTTCCACACTTCACTTGCATATACAGTGCTTCTATAAAAGGATGTCAATGTCAGGCAAAACCTGATGTAAATGTTTCAAGTTAACAATATTACCAGTGAGCTTAGGCCAAAAAAAAAAAGTCTCCGGTTTCTGGTATGGAGCTTGCCCAAAAAGTGGTGCGGCGACGCAGCTTTTTTTTTTTTACCTGATTTTTTTGCTTCAAATGTCGGCTGATGACTGCAAATGGTGCCCGACTAAACTTAGTGCAAATATATGGGAGTCCAGAGAGGCCACATAAAGCTTATTCTCGACCATAACCCAATCTAAAAACAAGTTAAAATTGTGCAGCAGCAGGATTCCAGTCAAACCAGTGAGTTTGGCGGTTTTGAGACATCATCTTTCATTGAAAAAAAAACTTTTTCATTTTGCCGACGCGCATGGCTACGGCGACGCGCGCGCATACCAGAAACCGGAGACTTTTTTGGGGGGCCTTAACATCAGCTAGTTGAATACACATACAAGTTACTCCAGGTGCAGTGTTTTTTTTCAGGGGAGGGGGAGTCATTGGGGGCTTAAACATTTAGAGAAGTAAAGCAATTTTTACCAACTTAATATTTGAATTTTTTAAAAAGGTCATATTGTACATTTGTGAGCTTCTGTACAATCGCCTGGTGGGGCTATCGCGTACAGCCTCATACTGTATGTATGAGGATAACTCATAACTCATTTTGGGGAAAGTACCCGACAAAACAAATCTCAGGATAGATTTACAGATCTCCCCATCTCCATGAATGAGTGCCTCTGCTTGAATACTGACCAACCGCATGTGTTGTGTTTCAGGAATCGATCATCCAGCCTCAGGACTCGATCATCCAGCCTCAGGAGTCGATCATCGAGCTTCAGGGCTCAGAAAAACACAGACGATGAGGATGATTACATCCTGAAGGCCAACCTGCGCAAATGCCACAGCGATCTCAAGAAAGCTGAGCAGACTGTACAGGAGAGGGATCTGCAGCTAGCACAGGCCAAAGAAGAGGTAAGATAGGTAGACACTCCAACTAAACTGTTTGCAGGCTTCACACCCTTGCATGGGATTTCTTCAAAGAATACAGAGAGTCCCAAGAAAAATGTACACCCCTTCACTTTATTGATTGTATTTCTGGATCTAGGGACCCAAATGGAATGGGGTAAAAAGGAGTGGATTGAGAAATAGTCTGGCTTTAATGTAATATATAATTTCATTAAAGAAAAAAACATCAAATAGTTTTAATTATTTGTTTTCTGAATGTTGTACCTTTTTTTGGACACTCTATATTACTAGTTTGACATATTCTTTTTACGGTTTAATTTCACGAAACATGTCTCATTTACAGACCATAGTGTGAACTATCAGTTGAAATAATCACTGAACAACAAGGTTGGACCAATACAGATTTATTTGGCGTGGATGTTTTTACAAGCATACACAATTTTGTTGCACAATCCAGATCGGATACAATTAATGTATCATATACAAAAAGGTCATCATTTTATTAATCTCAAAATGATGTGTATCATTTGTATAAATGTTTTGGTGAAGATAATGGCAATACGATGCTCAACAATATGATGCTCAACTAGTTGAAATGTCACCTTACCACTTACATACAAATTGTATACCTGCTTAAACAAATGGGTTTTTTTTGTTTTGTGTTGACAGATTTCATCACTGCAGACAGACAAAACGAAAAACAAGGAAAAAATCAAGCAGCTGGAGACACAGCTATCCGTAGCGCTTAGTCAGCTGAAGAACCAATCCAACTCCTTGCAGGCATCGACGCAATCCAGAGCAACTATCAACCGGCAGGCGTCATTGCGTTCCCACGTGTCCCTGGACCGCTTCAAATCGCCGGGGGACCTCAGCATAAACCAGCAGGCGCAGCTGAACCGGTCGCTGTCGGGGAAAGAGAAGGGAGGAATGTCCCCCGCTGGCAAGAAGTACCTGAGTTCTCCTGTGACGGACTCTCCCACGGCCAATTCAAGGTCCAGGAGTGATGGAGAACACAGCAAGGGTTCATCCTCGGACGGGGCTGGCAGTGAGGGGGACCCTGGGGTGGACTTTGTGGGGAACAGACTCAGGACTTCCACTGACAGCTCCGTCAAGTCTCAGTCTCGGACGATAAGCTCGGCATGTGCCGTCATGTAAAAAACAATGAACTTGAGTTCTCTTAAGTCACAAGTCTCAGATCCAGTGACGAACTGTTCAAATAAGCTGTGACACAGGCAAGCCTTTTACATGCGACTGATTGATGATTTGACTTGTGTTGGACTAGACGTACAAACTCTGAGTGCTCACAACACTGATTATTAAGTTGGTGTCAATATTGCCTGGAGCAAAAATGGACCGGTAGCTGTAACTCCAAGCAACTTCGAAAGTTTAGAGTTTACCGCTTCTTGCTGTATAGAGTTAAAGTCAGCTTTTTTTAGTTTGGGCATTATTAATACATGAAGTTCCGGTATACATGTCACTGCTGACCTGGTTTAACCGTTTAAAATCACCATGTTATTGGATGAAAGATCAAATTGAGCGTGTTTAGCATGCACGCAAGTTGTGCACCATTCTTGCACATCCATAATCAACTGAATGTGCAAACCTAAAGCATAAGAAGGATGCAATAAAGCATGGTCATGTGCAAGTAAATTAACAGCAACTTCTTCATTTTGATTATTAATGCTCCAAAGAAGTACATGTACATGTACATGTACATATATTCATATTCCATGCTTCACCAAAACATGTACAGGTAGTACAATGTAGGCTTAGGCAATTCCAACATTTTTGGAATCGATTCCACTTCCATCCAGGAGTCTTGGTTCTGTTCGGAATCAACTCCAAATTTCCCCAGCGAAGAAAGGGCAAACCTGTTAGTGAATCGCTTATACAAGGTAATTAAGAGGGCATATAATCTCACATACCACATAAAAATAATTTAGTGTCATGGCCTAGCGGTTAAGAGCACCGGACTCATGCTCTGGTGTTTCAGAAGCAACAGTGGCGTGGGTTCGAGCCCGGGCCCGGACACTTGTGCCCTTAAGCAAGGCACTTAACCATTATTGCTTCGTCCTTCGGATGGGACGTAAAGCCGTAGGTCCCGTGTGTTGTATAAGGCCTAACGCACGTAAAAGAACCCAGTAACACTTATCGCTAAGAGAAGGGGTTTGCCCCTGTGTTTCTGGCCTCCTAGTTATACTCCCTTTTGGAAGTCTTGAGGAGAAGAACCCACCAAGTGCCAAGTACTTTTCACAGAAGAAACACATCAGCTTGATCTGTTACATGTATGTGCCAAATGCTATTTAAAAGCTCAACAGAATCCATTTCTTCCCGGAATTGTCCTATCATTGAACTCATGTTGGAGTCGGCCCATCTTAAAAATTGTCCGGTGCTTCCTGGAAACGACTCTTGGGGAATTAGAATCGGCTGATACAGAGAATCAGTTTGTCAAAAAGATAGAATCAAAATTCCGATTCTGAGTTTCGAATTGATTCTGTTCGATTCTGGTGCAGAATCACCCAAGCCTAACATGTAGCAACTGATATAGCCATTCAGTTTAATACTCGGGCACTGCATTGGGCAATTGTTTTTGTGCCAAGATTAGCAAAGGTACCGGGTATATGTAAAAAGTCTTGTACATGAACTACAGCTTTTTTTTTTACAGTGTATATATAGTACAATGTACATATTTATTTATCAGTGCCCTTAACATTAATTTTCTAAATAATCATGTAATAGAATACAATTTAGAAATAAATATTCCTCTAAATTGTCCAAGCACAAAACTTTTCCCTCCGTAGATTGCCCATAAACCAAACTAAAACTTGCTCAATGTTTTATATTAATTTTATTCTGTTAGTACAGATAAATTCCAAATTGAACAAAAAACAAAGCTTTTGAAAATAAAATTTGAGAAAGATTCCAAGTGATATACATTTACATGTATCCCAGACCTAAAATGTATTCCAACTTTGCAAATTCACTGACTTTTATGGTGGTCAATGTCTTTGATTCAGGTAGCACTAAATTACAGATGCAAAGAAACGTATACGTGCATAAACATATTATCCAAAACAGACGGGTTCCGGTAAATGCTAGCAGAAACTAATAAAAAAGTACTGTTGCAAGGAAATGTGAATACATATGCGACCTGTGTCTGCAAAATATAATCGATACAGTCACACTATCCATATACATGTAAACATTTTGATGGAACTGAATTCCTAAGAATCAGAACCTACCAGTGACTTTCAGAATTATTTCGGTAAACCACCCACAATTTCTACAAAATTATATAATACAGCAAATTACAGAATTCAATCTTCTTGTTTTAATCACTTCATTTTGAAGAAACTTGTTTGCTGTTTGCATAAATGTCCTTTCTATGGCAATGCAAGATCAATTATTAATTTTCAGACTTTCACATTTTGTTTTCATTCTTTTATGATAACTTGGGCATTGTCAACTCATGGGGTGTTGTAATGTGTTCAGCACAAAGACTTTCAATATTTGGAGATCAAACCTCGGCAAATGACTTGAACGCTAGGTGTTTACTTGTCTGCATCACCGTTGCATTGAGGAAGCGGCAGCAATGAAGTCAGGTCACTCATTCCATGGTGATCCATGTAGCCCTGTCAGTTCCAATTCGCACACAAAATCAACATAAAAAAAATGTAGATTAACCCTAACCTTCACAAATCCTCCAAAATCCTTTTTGCAAAAAATTTTTTTTGCAAAATGGAGGATTCTGCAGGATTGAGGCTATACGGCAAAAATGTGTGGCTGATTTTGGAGGATGCACTGTCGTGTGTCAAGGTCTTGGGCCAGACCTTGTGTTGTTTATGCTCAGTCGTGCAAAAAAATTAGGCCTAAAGTATGCTTGAAATCCTCCGCACTGTTCCAGGATGTCACTGGCTCTGCCTCAACATATTGCAGGCATGCAACTGGGATTTTAGAAAAACCACACAAGACTTTGTACAGTGTTTTCCAATTCGTAATGGCATTCATGAGAAGTAAAAAAGGAGGAAATCAGCAGATTTGACGAAAGGTTGCATGTCTGATATTGACAGTGATTGCTGGAGGATTTTGCAGGATTGAGGCAGTGGTCACCCCCTCCCAGGACCACATTCAGCATGTTCAGGCTGTAGGATTGAGGATTGAGGCTGTATGCAATTTATACATGGAAGCAGTTGGAGGATTTGCAGGAATGAGTTCGCATCCTAGCAAAAACGCTGAGGGAGTTAAGATTAAAACTCCTTTGTCGAATGGCTTACTCTTGCAACTGAATGTCGATGGAAATGTATCATTATCATAAATTATTGCACGTGACAGTTTACCCATTCCTATTGGCCAAGAGCATGTCACGCTGGTTGTTTTAAACCACCTTTTAAACACCAGCAACAAGTGTTTAAAACAGAACAATGATTAAAATGGCTCCTCACTCAGGACAAATTTCTGCTTTCGTTTGTTTTCTTTGGCGCAGGCCATAATCAATGACCAGGCCCCTTAAACTAGTTTTAGATCAAACGTTAATCAATGACCAGGTCCCTAACTAGTTTTAAATCAAACGTTAAAACTGCTTCATTACACTATTATTCCCTTATTTAAAAGCCCTGCTTCAGAACTGTATTCATGTGTAGTGGAACCCAGCAAACAGAATTGGAAGCTTTTACTGGGTGGTGTCACACTCACGGGCATGCTGTAAGCGTTTCTAAAGACGAGGCGCACGCGAATTTTGGTATTCCTATTGGTCAGTGGAATCCGGCCACCAGAATTAGAAGCTTTTACTGGGTGGTGTCATGCTCACTTGCATACTGCACGCGTTTGTAAAGACGAAGTGCACGCAAATTTTGATATTCCTATTGGTCGAAGGAGCCTGGAGTACGTGTGTTCTGCCTGAGCATGACTCGCCCGAGCCTGGCACCACCGCAGAAAATGGCTGCAGCCTGAGTTGTCTATAAGGCTTCAAAATCTTGTATTCGTACCAAAGTGCCCTGAAATAAAGTTAACTATAGATCATTAATAGGGCCCAAATGTGTGAGCAAAAAAAAAAATCACTATTTCTTTGGGTACCATTTCATGAGCCCCTTGGTTTTTCTTTCAGGGCAAGTTATACTCGGGATGGCACCCATACACAGTGATGATCAATGTGGTTCATAATGCGATCCTTATGGTAAGGTAGCGGGGTATTTGAACGACTCAACCTGCAGGTCATACAAAAGCAGTCAGGACACTACGCAGTAATGGCAGGGTGAATGGAATCTTACCTTGAGCTGCAGCAAGTCATGTGAAGAGCCGGAGTCTGATACCAGAACAGTTGGTGAGCCAGGATTGTTGCTGTAATAGACTCGGATGAGACTCACGGCATCGTCAAACCTACGGATATATTAAGGTTGTGGTAATAGATAAAGTAAATACAGAGCAGCTTGTTGTTTCGTTAACAAACAAAAAAAAGAAGAAAATATATCGCTTCGGAAGGGCATTTCTGCGAGACCGTCTGTCCCTTCAGTGCGTAGTCCAATGGGACGGTAATACGAGGTTCTGCATGTTGGGCAGCTCCCTACCCCGACCGATGCAGCTGGGGTTGAACCAAGAGATGAAAAGCTGGTCGGCAAGAGTGGTAAGACCAAGGGCAAATCCAGCATTCATCCCCCAACTCAAGGACCGAAGCACACTACAAGTGGGGAAATTTAATATGCTGACTGTAGAACCCGCTGGTGCCGTATCTGATACAGTTTCTGTCCTTTCTGGTCATGGGTTGGCAGCTCCGTGCATGAGCATGGTGGCCCCGACCACAATGCCCCCCCCCCCCCCCCCACTAGGCCTCCCTAAAGCCAGATCTACGGGGAAAGAAAATTGTCAATCCCACAAGTGCTGGGCGCAACGCGTGCACAGTGGGGTGCTCGGCCACGGATGAACTGGTTACACACACCCATGGCATGAGGGCCGTTACCTGCACCTACTTTTGGGGCATCTTTGACATCGGAATACGCCCCATGTTCTTGGGTACCCATTGTGGACGGATCTTCTGAGACTAAATCCACTAAATCTCGAGGCCGATCGGCAAAGAAGTGCATCAACATCAATCCATCAATAAACAAATGTACTGCCGTGATGCGAGATATGACGTTTTTAACACCGGAGGGCACATAGCACCGGAGGGCACATAGCACACGCATTAATGAGATAAGATGACCCTCAGACCGATCTTAAGTTAAGGTTCAGCCGCATAGCTAAGGAAATTAGGACGTGTTGAACGCTTCTTAAGTTTGTTGAAATATATACTAGGACGAGTCACGAGTTCAGACGAGTTACCCTTCCTAAGTTTTAGCGTTTCGTGAAATTGACCCAAGCTTCACTGGGCTTGCATTGTCTCGATATCATACCTCTTAGCCAGCAGGCACTTTCGCAGCAGGCCTTGAATCTTGTCTTCCCTGACCAGGTAGTTGACTAACTCAGGGAAGTGGGGAGTGGCCAGTAGGTTTTCATAGCTAGACGTCTGCTCTATGTACTGGAATATGCAGCTCTTGATCTTAGGGATAGAAACAAGGAAACCCACATAATCTGTCAGCATAATGGGCCATCTAACTTGAAAAAAAATCTAACTTCAAGAGGTCGGCAGTAACTGCCTATCCATGGGGGTATATTACTATGGGAATAAACATGTGCTTGACTGGTTTTAAACAAGTCCGTTTAAGAACGGCTGGGGGAATGGACAATAGCCCGAGCCGAAGGCATGGAATATTATTGGCGACCAGGCCCCCAGCCAGTCTTAAACGGACTTGTTTAATACCACCCAAGCACATTCCCATTAATAAATACCGTTTTCGGTCAAAAAGTCAAAACAAGTCAAAAATTAGAAATTTCCAACGATTTCTTAAACACCCTCTAGCTATGTTATGGTATGTGCCTCTCGCGAGTAGTTGTTAACAACTCCTTATATGGAGATCGTTGCGCGCATGGTGCGTACTGCGTGATGTGGCGCAGAACGCAGCAGTGATGGTGTAGTGTCAATTTAGGACTCTCAAAATATGGATTCATAGGTAGAATTGCGCATGCCTAAGTGAAGATTGTGAACGTTCAACCAATAAAAGGGTAAAAGGGACCAGATTTCATACCAGTAGGAGTCCAAATTTCATGTGACTCTGGAAAAGTGTTTTAAACCAGCCAATTGGTGTTTTATCAACTGCTTAAACCACCCACGTGACAGGCTCTCGACCAATAGGAATGGGTAAACTGTCTCAGGTATTTATGAATACCCATTGTCATGCATATTAATCATTACTGTTTTCAATTAATTTTCACGGATGCATTTTTATTCAAAAGATATGGTTATCAACTGAACTGTGTACCCAAACAATTAAATTCTTCATTAATTCCATAGGTTTGAGATAAATTCAAATTGGATATTAGTCTAAACAGTACCCATTAATAGAGCAAGTTGGTTCCAAATTAAATATTGTCAATGGGAAAATCTTTTAGTCACTAATTTTCAAAGAGTTGATTATGTGCAACTCTTGATTAAAAAAAAAGATGTTAAAATTTAAACTAATTTGTAACAAATCCTTGAAAAATATCTATCACTAAGAATTCTTGGGAGGGCCAAACCTGTTCTGCTGTCGTCAGGAGTTTCTTCTGTCTCTGCATCGCCGTGATCTCACCCAAGATGGCAACGTACCTCTTCCCACTCAACAGGGCCTACGAGGAACAACACATCAGAGAAATTCATTGGATTGGTGGACAAGTTCTGTGGACCAATTCAAGATTTGTTTGCACGTTGATTAACTGATTGGGTATGAATTTATACATCAGTTAGTATAGGTCAAAGACTGGGTTTTGATTTAGGGAATAAATGTGTGTTTGGGAGGTATTATAACACTCTGTTTAAGACCGGTTAGAGTCTGGATGGGTAATTATCAGCATTCTAGACTCCAACAGAGTGTTTAATACCGACCAAGCACATATTTATTCCCATTCATAAATACCTTTTCTGTCAACAAAACAAAACAAGTCAAAAACTAGACATTGCTAACCATTTTGTTGAACAATTTTACTTCATGTTGCATCAAACACCCCTCTGACTACAATATGGAATGCCCCTCTACAATTCCTTGCCTTATAAGGAGATTGGCGTGTGCGTCGCGCATACTGCGCGATGTCACGCAAAACGCAGCTGAGCAGGTGTAGTGTGAATTTCGAATCATGAAATACTGATTCACTGGTAGTATGTATTGCGCATGCCTACTTGAGGAATGTGAACGTTCAACCAATGAAACGTTAAAAGGCATGGGAGTCCAAATTTCATGTGACACTGGAAAAGTGTTTATGACCAGCCAGCCATGTCTTTATCATCCGTTTAAGACCGGCCACGTGACGGGCTCTCAACCAATAAGAATGGGTAAACTGTATTAGGTATTTATAAATAAGGGAATAAATATGTGCTTGGCCGGTTTTAAACAAGTACGTTTGAAACCGGTCGGGGGGCCTGGATGCTGATAATGGCCTGAGCCAAAGGCGAGAGACAATAATGGTAACCGGGCCCCTGAGGTGTTTTAAATGAACCTGCTGAATACCAGCCAAGCACATATTTGTTCCCTATCATAAAACCTTTGATTCAAAAAATAAAAACAAGTCAACAATTATAAATTTCCAACGATAACGTTCAACAAGTTTACTTCATGTGTCATTGAACACCCCTCTAGCCGTTATGGTATTTGCCTCTCACGAGTTGTATTAAACATCTCCTTACATGGAAATTGGCACACTTGTGGTGCAGAACCCAGCGGTGCCGGTGTAGTTTGAATTTAGGACTCTCGAAATACGGATATTGTGCATGATAGTATTGCGCATGCCTACATGCAAGTGAACATTGTGAAGATGTTCAACTAATAAAAGGATAAAGGGACCAGATTTCATAGGAGTCCAAATATCATGTGACACTTTAAAGTGTTTAAAACCAGCCAGCCAGTGTTTTATCAACAATTTAAAACCACCCACATGACGGGCTCTCGACCAATAGGAATAGGTAAACTGTCTAAGGTATTTATGAACATGCCTTTTACACCGGCTAGCCACAAACAGTCAGATCATTATTTCAAGCAAGCACTGTGACTAGTCAAATTCAGTCAACAGACAAAACAGACAAGTGGTATGCACAGCTGGCTTACCAATCACCTACAGTCAAAGCATAGCTGTATCAAGCTACATAAACTGTCACAGCCAGTCAATCTGCTTAATGTAGGCTTGGAGCTCTTAACTGTTGAAAACAGTTACTTGATTGATTTTGACTGGAAGGACAACTTGGCACAGAATGTATGTTTGCATAGGAGGGTTGGGATACTGATATTAAAATTTACCCACCACTCCAAAAGTGACCACCTTTTGTGTTCACAATATTTCAACAAGGCTCATATAACAAAATCAGAAGACAACGATTTCCGTGAAATAGAAGGGGTTCCGTCAGCAGAAACAAATAATTAGCGGAAGTGCCATACATGTGTGTCCTGGCCTAGCGTTTCTTTTTGCATTTTACCTCAATCTGCTTGTCTCGTTTCTGCTTATCACTGATGTACATCAGGCAACCCATGGCAAAGGCGTACATCTCAACCTTCAAGAACTGTTGACACGGCTCCATCATGTCCAAGTCATGAACAATGGGACATCTGTAAAAAGACAGGAGAAAAGTATGCTGCATGTAATTCATGAAACTTTTACCTCAAGGAGATTAGTCCAACATGTGGATGCAATCAAACATTTTGAAGCACACTGCATGTTGCTACTAATCTTCACTGCTGCCAAACTACATGCACATCTGCTGATGGGTCTTATTTATCACTGTATTCTATGAAGTTAGAATAATTTTCAGAAATGTCTATCCATTTTACTTGGATCTTGTAAAACATGGTTGAATTTGAAACAGAGGATCACAACAGATCGATACCTTGCCTCACATGCTGTCAATAATAATGTGGTGCTTATAATGAAAGTACACAAATATGGAATGCTTCGAGTGGTGTAGTAAAACTAGCCTCCCGAGGTGATCCATGGACATTCTATTTTTCCCCGAGGCAAAGCCGAGGGACAATAGAATGGTCCATGGATCACTGAGGGAGGCTAGTTTTACTTCACCATGAGATAAAGCATTCAATATTTGTTTTATAACACTTCACCCACAGATTCTGCTTGGTTTTAATATTTTAAATTATTTAAATCTGAACACAGTTAAAATAAACTTTAATTTCAATCCAAAATTGGTGGGAAATGTGTTTCTCTCTTCCAAACCACCCCTTCGCGAAATATTTGAACCCAAGTCTGTGGCGTGCTCTCTTGGGAACAATACGCACTACGCACAATGCTCAACGCGCACACCAGATTGCATCTGCACGAAAATACTGCGCCATGGAAGAGTACTTTGGTTGCTAAAGGTTTAGTACTTTAGTTGCTACAGGTATAGTACTTTTGGCGGTGCACTGAAAGATAGCAACACTAGAAAGTACCATGTGACTTGCTCCCGGCCAATCAAGACACAGAATCTGTGGGTGAGGTGTTATATTCTTTATAAAATATTTCCAAGTGCTTTACAATTACTTCCCACAATTCATCAAGCCAAGTGGGACTTAAATTAAGACCAATCATAGCTGCAGCTGAGTACGTTTTTGAGTGCAATAATTGCTAGTGCAAGAAATTAAGCATTACAGAATGACAGTTTTTATCTTTTGCACTCTGAAGTAACTCAAATTTGGCATGCTACAAAAGGTTTCATATTGGACCCACAAGTTCAAACCCTACTTTGCCCGACTTCATATACAGCTCCAACCTTTACTACATCTTTTAATAATTTATCAGGATTTTTTGAAGATTTTAAGGGATCTAAGCCGATACTTCCCAGCTAGCTGCCACATTTTGCATAAAGCGTGATGATGCCCCTGGAAAGTATTACAAAGAATGTGCCACCAGGTTCTTTTATAGTGGTAGCTTTTGGAGTATTGAAGCTATAGTCCATCATTTGCAGCCATCCGAAAAAGTAACTGGTGTATTATTGTTGAAAAACATACTTGGTTGAAAGATAGTAAGTGGACTAAACTCCCTGTGAAATTAATCTTTCTGGCAAGCTATCATTTTGAAGTAATCAACGAAAGAAGGCCTTTCCAATGGTGCGTCTTAAGACGCACCGTAGGAAAATTTAAATTAGTAGTTTGTTTTGTTATTCGGCGCAGCGCACGCAAGCATTGGCACGACGCACAGGCGTGCGCGGTTGCTATAATTCGTCGGATCAGTGCGCGACATCGGGTATAGCTGCAATTCAAAACAATTCAAAACATGATTCAGCAACTTTTGATTTGGAATTTAGATCCTAGAATGCTGTTTTTGTCAGAATATACAGCTGAAGCTGAGCTGAAACTTCATCAGGTTAGTTGTTCAGTATCCTTCATTAGATTTTGAACACTTTTGTTGCTTCAAACGGACAAAATGCACAAATTACAAATGATGGACTATATCTTTAAAGAATTACCCCGTTTAGTGAAGGAATTCGCATGCAGCCCATATGCATCGACGCTGCGCAATGCCGGCTGGTTGCTAAGATCGTGTGTTCGTTTGTTTGTAAACAACACTCCAATGTATTAAGTTTGCTTGCCTGAAACCAAACATCTATTTGGGTCGACTCAAGTCGCTCCTAATCTATTTGGTTCAATGCCGGAACGCTTGTCTGAACCAGAGATTAGGTTCCTAACAAACAAGTCTGAGGTGAAATGGCTTGTACACAAGAACATATGCAGGTACCAGTGTATGACAAGTTTTGGAACACGTTCCAAAATATGTCCAAAATATGTGAAATAAAAAAAACCCACAAAACAAAAAACAAGTACGGACCTTTGCAGCAAAGCTGCTGACTGTCTACAGGCCTCTTCTTGTTCCTCAGTCAAAGGTGGGCATACTAATAAAATATTTGGAAAAGAGGGAAAGATGGTTCTTTCACATGTGTAAAGTGTCAGTGTTAAATCTACAACAACTGAAATGTTGAGAAGTACAGGTTGGGAATATATACCTATCCAGGGCGCTTTTTGACCACTTTCGAGAGCCCCATGGAAGGGACACATTACACGCACACACTAGTTTGCGCACGTATGGCACAAAGTACGCACAATTCTGACTGTTCATTCATTCATTCATTCATTCATTCAAACATTTATTTCAATATTGCTGATTATTAAACAAAATGAAAAAGGAGTCTATAAAAAAATAACATTAATGAGAAATTGAGTAAGGAAAAAAAAGCATAAAATAAGAGGAATAAAAAAAAGCAACAAGTAACGCAAATAATATATAAATCTACGACTCGTTAATAATAAATTATTATAACAGCAATATGGTGGCATGTGCAGAAGCCAAAGGCTTAAATTTCCATGCCAGGACAAACAAACAAAAACAAAGCACAAAGCCATAGCATTTTCATGTGAGCCTTTCTTACTGTTGAGGGACAACAGTGGAATATATATCGAACACTGCTATGCCGAATATTCGGCTATACCGAACATCGTCCTAGGCTCCCGATTTTTGTGGACAAAACGTACCGAACATTGTTGTTGAAAAATGTCAACAGAAGAGCGACTAGTGTCCTTAATTTCCACAAAGAATAGAAGCAGAAAGCCACCCATTGCTGTAGGTAGTAAGCTCAAAACCTGTGTAAATTTTACATAATTCAATAGTTGGCACATGTTCAAAGTCGTCTTTCAGTAACTACCAGGGTGTGCAGGGTGAAGTTTCTGAAGGGCGCTATTTATTGAAAAGTGAGTACGGGTGCACTGACAGCTTAATATCGCTATACCGAAAAATCGCCAGTACAAACATTTTCTGTGGATCCCGCAATTAATGTTCGTTATAGCTGCATTTCACTCTACTTGTGCATGTGTAGAGCCAATAGAAAAATAATCAACAAATTGCTCTTTTAAATGTCTGTTTTTCTTCGTCATAAAAATTTGCAGAACATCTAACCGCTTACATATCCAACACATAGCCAGCTTGGCAGTTATTCTTAACTTATACATTTCCATTGTTTATCAAATATCACATTCCTAATTCACAGTGTGAATCATAATTCAGCAATTCAACTGCCCCTACGTACTGACCTGTAACGAATGGAGACAGTATGACACTCTTCCACACTCTGGGCAGACACTGCAACTGCCACAGCTCTGATATGTCAGCCAGGGATACCAGCACGTGTCGAAGGTAATCCACCTAATTCCAAAAAAGAATATGGCGAAAAGTACAAGTTGGGAACTTCAAAAGACCTGTGACTGAAATTCCCAAAACTTTCATGTTTTGGATTGTTTACTTATATTATTTCAAATTTCTAGTTGACAGGAAACTAACCTAATGTCTTACCGTTCCCGAGAAAAGAAAAAAAAAAACCTGGTTGTTTACATCGGACACGACAGAGTACGCATACGTATTTCCTGTCGTTTTCTTTCAATGTACGATACACGTAGTGTGTCTCACCTAAATTACACACAGCACCAATACACAAATGTTGTTTCTTATACGTCCGCAGAAGGCGACCACTGTGCGGCTGGAATCACAACTAGCACTGAACAGCTCGATTTTTTGGGACAAAATTGTGACCCTCGAAAATCGTTCTCGCATGGTTCTCCCAAGAAGAACACAAAAACGCCGAGTTTTTAAAGGATGGTTGTGTGGACGTTTATATTCTACTTTGAAATGCTCTTTCCATTTGATATCACTTTGTTTAAAATGCGTTTTGTAGCCCAATTGGGCGTACTCCAGGCCGTAATGTCCCTTTAATCTGACATGGAGAAACCATAAAAAATAATTTGTGGAAAATTGACTAAGTGAGAATTAACCAGTTTTTAAAACAAAAAAAAAAGAAGTTTACCAGGATTGAGGTTGTTTCTTTGAGTAGGGGGAGTGGTGAAAATCACTGAATTACCGGTACATGTACATGTAGCTGCAACATTTCACAAACTGAATTATTCTTGTAAATTCTGATCAAACAAACTTTTGAATGTCTCAATCAATGTGGCCTTTAACTTGACTTGATAGTGCCTCAAAATACACTGGAAACAACCGTAAATAAACCGTATTTAAAAAAAAATTATACCCTTAATCTCACACTTTTAAGCAATCTGTCCGAGATGATAGTTTTGGTTTATGTAAAGAGGACATTGCCTGTAGATTCTGTTCATTGTGATCACTGGTGCCTTTAATTTAACTAAAACAAAAGAAAATGCTAGATTAGAATGTCAGTATTACCATGCCAAATTTGAGCAGTTGTTGCAGCACACTATTCCAGAGCCTAGGATCGTGAACTCTGTAGTCCAAACACAGATCAGCTATTAGACGCACAGCCTGAAATAAAAGAAATAAAAAAAATCCATAAATGTAAAATGAAGCAATAGAACAAAGACAAAAATACCTCCTGGCATACTTTTCGCCTGCTATTAAAAATCTGTGAAATTGTTGTCACAGACAGCGCGCTACTCACTCTTTTAAAACTTCATTATGCTTCTCCTCTCCTGAGCATTACAGACCTTTATCATGCTGCCACCATTTCAGTCATGTTCCCTGTATCCAATTACAGTACTGGATGATAATGATTTTTGTGCAAAAAGGAACCAGGCTATTTGTCCTTCCAGCCTCGCTTTGGTCACATTGATTCGAATGGGAAAAAGTCAAATGGCTGCAACATGATAATGGTCTATTGTGTGACCCATAACCCCTTTGCATGGTGGTCATTTTGGAGGTCCAGTCTTTTTTCCCCAAAGAAATACTAATGATAATGCCGTTTTTGTGCATTCATTGTACTGAATCCTATATTAAAAGATCCTACGCTGTCTGTCTGTCTGATGTCTATCTGATGTCTGTGTGTCACATTTTTTGTAAACTGCCCAAGTAGTGTGCGGAAGCGTAAAACGCAAGGGTTAATGGAGAGGTAACCAGTGTATGCAGGTCCTATGCTCCGATTACACTGTCCTCTGATGTCACGGTTGGCATGTGCAAACAAAATGACTTATTTGTTTGGTTTTCCTTTTTTTGGCAAATTTGTTTCTTTCAGACTTTGAATAGTTCAATATTACAACATTATCTCTATGAAAGCACTCCAAAACACATCGCTATTAGTTAGTACTAGTTAACAAACATATTAAGGCCAGTTTACACATATGTGACTCTGTCTCACGACAACCTCACACGTTGCCCCAAATGTGGTTCAGCATGACTAGAGTGCCAATATGAAACGGCTAGCATACAACTAGCACACTAGAACTAAAAATTTTAGGGAAAATTCTTTCATAAACATCCCCACGTATATTAATTTAAAAAAATCAAAGACAAACTTAGCCTGGTAAGTACCGTTCAACTTACCCTTGGTTCGTGGTTGTAATGCTTCCACAGTCCACGCACAAGGCCTTGCTTGTTGGATTTTGTAAAGACGCTCAGATCCATGGAGGTATTCAAAGACTCAAACTCCACCAGGTAGATCAGGTTCTGCATAAACTCCCTGTACAATCAGAACAATCAACAGTAAATAAGGTTTCTGGTTTCTCTTGTGTACAAGCATTACATTCACTGTGTGGACGTCCGAACAAAAGATTTCCACATAAACAGGGCCCAATTTCAAGGCACTGCTTAACAGTTATCAGAAAAGTTGTGCTTAGCATAGTAGAAAAATTTGCTAACCTTAGGCACTATTTCACAGAGTGGACATGCAAACGGTCGTGCGTGCATGGAGATTTCTATTGTAAGGTCACTAAGTTAAGCAATTACTTTCTTCTGAAGTAGTGTGCCTTTTGCTGTGCTTATGCTGACAGTCTCCATGAAATAGACGGAGGCTCTGTTAGCAGAAAATCGTGTGCTTAGCAGCGCCGTGAAATTGGGCCTAGGTAGCAGCGACATTGTGTGGACTTGCACACGTCCACACAATGTTTCCCCGTCTCTGGGTTAGGTTTATCAGTCCAAACACGAGACTTTCAATCAAGTCACAAGTAAATGTTAGTCATCACAACTCGATCACAAGCCGATGACAAGCCAATCTTGTGAATGGTTTTTGCAGCTGATTTTGTTACATCAATATGCTAAGCAATATTTGCTGGTGACCAGCTCTACGGAATTGGACTCAAATGACATGCCACACCAACAGAGCTATATTAAATTACTAGAGTGCTAAATCGACGTACAAAGTAATGTCTGATGGGCGCATCCATGTTTGTACACAAACCTATGGAAAACTTGAAATTTTGTACGGCTTTTGCACGGCTATTTGCATATCTGCGTTTGTATTCCATACCGGTGCGTCATCGAAGCCGATACGCCCAAAACCGAAACGCAGGATCAGCAAATGAGGGTTTCATTTTGCTCTGCACAAACAGCGCAACGTGTGCGCATCCCTCTGCACGCTGCAGATGCTTTTCGCCGTGACGTTTTTCGAACCGTCATGATGCGCGTAAGTTGTTTGCGTATCTTGTAATTGCGCGTTGCATTTAGAGTACACTTTTAAAATTCAATCCATCTATTTTGAAAATGTCTGCGCCCAGAGCGGCTTCAAAGCGTCTCTGCGAGTAAGAATGAAGAGTTAGCGCTCTAGTAATTTAATATAGCTCTATGGCCACACCTGATATCATCCACTGGCTTGTCTGCCACTACTTCAATCAGGTTGGTGTTGAGGAGACTGAAGAGGCAACGCAGGGCGCGCACTCGACAGGCATTGCTGATCTTACTGGAGGCTTGCTGAAATGAAAAGAAACACCAAGACAGGGAAAGGTTTACATTGATGGACTCTGTGCATGAACATTAAATAGCCCTTTGCCATCACTGATGAGAGCTCCATTTAGAGGGACACACCAAAAAGATTTGAAAAGGTGCTTTATTCTCTGTCGAATGACTTGAGAGGAGAAGACTGTCCTGCTGGACAGCAGTTATTAGCAATTCTTGAAGATTTGACAAAGCATATATATCACCGTAAACACAAAAGAAGTAAGTAAAATTGCTAGGAGAGATTCGAACACCATCAGACAAAACCAAAAACATGCATTGATCCAAAAATTTGTGATTTTACAAAACCACTATCTCATGACCATGGTTAAAGAGAACAAACAAGGATACACTAAACAAAGACACTTCTGAGAATGTAAGAATTTGTTTTAATGGGACCAAATCCACAAGGTGCTCAAATGATACACAAACAGCAAGATGTGCTTAGAGAGGCTGCGTACATGTATGCAAAATGTCCCTCGGGAAGCACCATGTACTGTTCATACATGCAGCCCAGATCCAGTGTTATGTAAGGAGCTTGGTTGTGAATTTTGGTGGTATTGAGTGAGCAATACCATTACAAAGCTTGTGCAGCAAAACTACTCTGCATTTTTGAAAAGTTTACTGTGAAATTCTGCATAAAAAAACTGCTTAACATTTTGCAATGGAAATCAAGGTATTCAATGCAGGATAATTAATGCTGACAGATAGATACTATGACCATAAGATGGGTTGATGTAAATTCAACATTAGGTTTTTCCCTTCACTGACACATAAACACTGTATACTCAATATGCCCCCCCCCCCACCCCAAGCGAAAGTGAGAACAAAATATCACTCGGGTGGGAGCATGTACTACGAGCATGCATACAAACCTTGTAGGCAAAGTTGAGAAGAAAGAGAGCACTCCCTCGGAACTCACCGCCATACTGAAGGAGATATTTCACCCTGAAAATGGAAGTCAATTCAAAAAAGAAAAGAAAATGAGGGTGATGCCAAAAATAACCTCATGAAATACATTCTTTATTCTTAGATATTATAACTAAAGCATCTGTACCAATTATATCACACATTTATACCAAGTCGTGTCTTCAAACCTAAAATAATATTCTTTTTGTAGTTGTCAGCAGTATTTATGCACCCGAGGGGGTTAAAAACAACATATCCCACATCACAAAAGTCAACAATTGTTTCGTTATATCGTGCCAATAACTCAAAAAGATAAATGGTTGTAACTTAATGTGTGAGAAATAAATTAAATCACTGCGATGTAACCTTTGATAACTGAAGGTATTGATGTTCTGCTGGACATGAGACTGAGTGTTTGACGCTGCAGTTCTCATTGCGTAAAGCTAGCGCGCCGGCAGGTTCCACACATGTGCGCAACGCGCACAATGAACGCAGTGCGATATCACAATCTGTGTGTGACATGCATTTTTATTGTCCAGACACGTGGCCGTCCTAGACTAATGAAATTACAGTATCCAAGCACACGATACGACAAAAATATTTTAAAGCAGTTCATGGATAGACCCTTGCTTTATAGGTGTAATCTACAGTGTGTTTTGGTTATTCATTGGTCCTTGTCTTTTTTATATAGATATGCAGCATACCGCACCCAAAGAGGTCTATCTTAATACTTTATCCTCCATGTTACAGTACCTTGCCAGGCTTTTTTCTTCTTCTGCTACTTTGTCTTCTTTGGGAGTCAGGAATGACAGACTGGACAGATCCACAGTCTGGAATCAGGAAAACACAGAGAAGCACCACGTAATACGTTGCACACTATGAAATTAGCCTTTCTGTAATTTGATTTTCAGTCAACTATGTTTGACATTTGTTTGAGTCTTTTAGAACTAAAAAAAAATGATTAATAGCAAAGCCTGGATGTTTGTTTTTCTTTTTGACACCCCTTTGCATTTCAAATTCTGAAGTCCAATGCTTTGGTGTCGTTGATATGTGTGACTGCATTACATGCACGCAGTTACATTACCTACATGTACTTTGTCAGTGTTTGGGTGCAGGGTCGATTCTAGAATTGGCCCAAGACGCTAGTGATCGATAGTGGATGGTGAGTAGTGCGCCCTCTGATGGCACAACAATTAGACCAGCGGGCCTACTCGCACTAATGTCTTGGCCATTTCGTTTAAGCCGTTTAAGTTTTTCTTTATTTTCTCCCTAGGCTTTTCACAGGAACCAATCAGCGATCGAGAAAAGAATGGCTCGCCCAACGGTTGTAATGTGCGGTACGTGATCAAGCATCATCGCTTTCCTAGGGAACCAATCAGCGATCGAGAATAGGTTCAATGGCTCACCCGACGGTTAACATACGCATTATACATGCGGTGATCAAGAATGGAGCTATGAAAAGGAACTGTATTTATTCTAATTTATACAGTCTTATTTACATAAAATGGCCCCGCCCCCATTGCTACGAAATGACCAAGACGTTAGTGAGAGAAAGTAAAACATCAATTATGCAAGGGGGCTACACAACATTGCAACTATCGCTCTTAATCACTGACGTCTTGGGGCAAGACTAGGTCGATCCTGGTTGTGTTGTAGAAAGTAGTGAAGATAAAATTTTTTTAAAAGACTTTGCAATGAACTGGGTGATGTACCTTGGGTACAAAGAACATGTGAACAGTTCTGATCCAACGAAATATCACAATCTCAAGGTGCTCTTGCGAGTGGCCCCAAAGCCCCAACTACTGTTCGTCATGCAAGGAGACCATAGTAAAAGACGAGAAAAGATGAGGAAGGGAGCAGTTCTTACTGTATCCTCCTCAGCCTGTTTGTTGCTAGATGTGTTGGGCAGCCATTGTTCAATCAGATGCAGACGGATCTTCTGAATATTACAGTTGTTGACCTCAGCAATGGCATTAGCTGCAGCATGGATGTCTGTCCCAATATGTGCATTGCAAGTAGAAGAGGCATGGACAATTTAGCTTGGCCCAGCGGCATATTCAAAACACCAAACACGATACAACTCGTATATTGTAAAAGGTGCATCTGGTCGATAGATAGTTGCCGATCATTGAAAGATGTATAAATTAAACTTCCTGGGATGTGATGAAGTATTAAGGTGCTTGTAATGCTTTGTAAATAAAGTAGATTTTCAGGCATTCTCGAGACAACTTTAAAACAACCTTAACCAGTTTGCGTCGGAGGACGTGATAACACACACTGGTTGTTTATATACACACGCAGGGCTGATGGGTTACAACCTCAAGATTGCCTCGACTCGCCTCTGGGTGACTTCTAATCACGCCAATCCCTCGTGTCTTTTGTACACACAGACAAAATCCGTGAAGTCTGAGGAGGCGGACCGTGTGTTGATCTTGAAATGGCTGCTGTGCACGGCCTATTGTATTACAATTTACGCTCCAGTGCACACGCCAGAGTATTGAAACATATGAGGTTTCGACAAGAAATATTGTACAAATACTGTTGAAATGACTCTTGCGAATCAGTGTTTGTGGCGTTTGGCTGTATATCACATGATGGCTGGAAATTTTGCCTTTTGAGAAAATCAAAATTTTCGGCAAAATAATCCCGGCGCGAAGTGGTTAAGGCAAATCGTGTAAACACAAGGTCCCATTTTAAAAATGTTTTGTTCCATTTTAATGTTTTGAAAAATTTGTGAACACATTCTGATTTTTTTGGTGACATCTTTACTTACCTGGTTCACCTCCCTCCTCAATTTCTAGAATCCTCCTCTCGATACTCTCATGCTCATACAGCTGGAAGGTCAGCTTGGCAGGCTGGTCGACCAGCTTGAGTAGCTCAGGCTCAGCCAGCTGATACTTGTGCAGCACCTGCTCTGTGGCCAGGCAACGGCAGAACTGGGCTAGCTTCTGGTGGGACAACTCTGCTTTCTGCTTCTCTGGACTCTGGAAAACAAAAAATGAAATGAGCCAAAAAATTAGTTCAGTTTTACTTTAGTTTCTTTGTGGACACTAACTGATCCTCAACCATCTGCTGCACCATTCCAAAATATTTAATGGCATGCGTATCAGGAATATTGATTTTTTTCAGTACTTGTTTAATCCAGAATAACCATGAACATATCTGTATTTGATGATTGTTCTTATGATTATTGCCCTTCTGTTGTTTCCTAAAAGGGTCATAAAGTAAACTATGACCAGTGCAAGACACAGAGGCACGCAGCAGCCAGTCAGCTAAGCCATTAGTACACAAATCATATGGTGGAGAAACTTTTGATGGAAATTTCTGGTCAATTACTAAACCCTGACTTAAACAATTCACACAGTAGCCATATTTTTATTTATATGGATTAGGAACTTATGAATTCGGTGCAGGTTTGAGCTCGGAACAAAAAACACAAACATGCAGCATTTTCAGTAGTCCTGGCTCCTTGGTGAGTAAAAGTGCACAGGCACTAGCATCTTACATTTATATTTACATTATTTCTCGGGATAGACAGTAAATCCAAGACAAACCAATTCAAGGACAACAACAGAAAACAAAAAGAACCTAACAGCTCCCGAAGGATAACCCAAAAGAGAGAAAGTCTCTGTCAAGGGGCTCTCTTGACTAGATTGGAAGCTTCGAGAAACAGGCAGGAAAAAAACATCAGAATAGTATACCAGAAGAAAAACCAAAGTATCAGGAATGGACTTAAAATCTAAATCCACATCAGCCTGGGTGAGATTTAAAACTGTGATCACAGAAAAGGAAGGGTAATGGTGACTTTTCCAGAGGCTGTCGATAAATGGACTAAATGGTTGGGAAACAATGCAGACTGGTTGCTTAGAGGTCCAGAGTCCAAGTTGCACTTAAAATCTGATGTAAAAAAATTTACAACAAGCTTCCATCTCCCACTTAAAAAGACTTTTTCAAACAAACATTCCCCACAAACTCCTTAGGATTGAGCAAAATGAAAAAAAGGTTGGAATTAAAGAAATTAAAGCAATCATAAGTAAAAGAGCTTCGCGGAGTATAAAGTAGACAAAGTGTCTTACATTGTCTGGGCATTTTTCTTTCCACAGACGAGCAAGCAGGACACAGATTTCAAGAGCCATCACCTTCAGAGGACCTGCAGAGACCGATAAAAAAAAGTGTTTTTACCAAAGTTTAAAAGGGGTTGGTTCTATTTCCAGATTTAAACACTGCGCTCTCCCTATATATATATATATTCCTGTTCTTTATCATCTGTTCTTTGTTGTTAAAGTGTAATACCTGACACACACCCATGCATTTGGACGATTCAGAAATTAACCACCATTACTTGGTACTTGGTACTTGGTTGGTTCTTCTACTAAGGACTCCGCAGGGAAGTTTTAACAGGAGGCCAGAAACACCGGGGCAAACCCCTTCTCTTAGCGATAAGTGTTACTGGGTTCTTTAACGTGCATTACACAACACCCGGGACCTACGGCTTCCCGTCCCATCCGAAGGACGAAGCAATAATGGTAAAGTGCCTTGCTTAAGGGCACGTGTCCAGACCCAGGCTCAAACCCACATTATTATTATTATTATTATTATTAATCATTTCTGGTAATGAAACCATGGATTCCTCAAAAGCGCCCTAGGCACTGTAGATCGCAAGCCTGAAGAAACCTGTGGAGGAAGACAATGAGAAGAAATTACAGTTTTTAGACTGCCTCTGAAACACCAGAGCACGAGTCCGGTGTGGCGCTCTTAACTAATAGGCTATGACACTGGACTACCACATTAGTCAAACAATTAAAATTCAAACCCCTTGGACCATACCCATGAGTATGGTAGCTCCATAACCACAATCCAATTGATAGTCACAGCCATTAACTACCATTATTCACAGAATAAAATACCAAACATTTGGAACTTACCCATGGGTAGTTCCTTAACCACCACCCTAGCCGTAGCCACAGCCATCTCGGGGCTGGAGATACTCAGCAGGAGCTTCTGCACCACCTCCAGGCTCTTCCTGTCCATTCGGCAGGCCCCTCTGTCACCCCCTGCCCCAGGGGCTCTGTCAGGGGATGTGTCGTCGGGGCCGGCGCGCTTCATCAGGTTGTTGATGGTTGTTACAAAGAGGTGGTCGGTGGGCAGCTTTGAAAAGAGAATGACAAAAGAGCTCATTAATTCTCCATAATTAAAACAAATGAATAAATCCCACATATCAAGATTTGATTGAAACAAATTTTGTAAAAACAAGATAATTGAAGATTTGTTCTCGCACATATTATAAATGCAAATGTAATAGTCAAGTCCTTTTCCAAGTCTGACAAATATACTGAAATAAGCTGATATAAAAGGAAGTATATTGTAAACCTGGGAATCTAGACAGAGTGGTGAAGGTATGTAGATTTATTGTGTGTAAGAATCTCAGAAATTGGTCAAAGGGGAAATTCCTTTTTTCAAATACTAGTACATTTCTTTAACCACTTCGCGCCGGGATTATTTTGACATTGACCGGATTGTTTTTCACGAACCTCGATGCCAGACGGGTTCAGGCCATCATCTGCGGGTAGCACACCCTGATATTTCTGGCCTCGCTCGCTGTGAGCGTGTTGCAGACAGGTATTTCCGGCCTCGCTCGTTGCATCTATATCCGTCATCCGTTCTGAATACCGCAAAACCATTGCATGTTCACACGTCATCTGATGTAGGCTGTTTAACTTTGCATCAAGTTGTGTCCAAGCAATAATGTTTTACTGATTTGAAGTACGAGAACCTCCTGAGCACATCCTTGGAGCACAGCCTAGATATTTGCTATGCAATGTTATATTTCAGAACATTTGGGACTCGGAAGAAGACTTGACTACAACACTGCGTATTTTAATTAATATTTGATCATCCCAGTTTCTTGGCATGTATGTATAAATACAAGCTGTCCCTAAAATTCATTAAAGTCACATCAACAAATACCCACATTCACGAAGGCAGCATTTACGATCAATTTGAGAGATATTACCTTTAAAAGTTTCGCTACTGGCAGGAGCTGATGGACCGTCTCCTCATTCAACTCTCGTGCTAAAATAAACAAATGAAAACTACAATATAAATGCAAGAAAAGAAAGGCCAGATAAATATCCTGAACTTTTAGCCACAGACTTTGGAATCCTCCCGAAAGAAGTGTGGGCTGATTCTACTACCGAATACTTACCCACAGACTATTAGTTAAGGAATAACAGTGTGCGGTCATTCCCCAAGACAGGGTCCTCACACTGTTATTCCCGTTAATAAATACCTTTCCAATAATAAAAAAGTTAAAATGCTTCAAATTTTGTGACTTTTCTTTCGGCGATATTTCCAGGCTTTTTGTGTTCATGTTCAGGGGCCATAATTTAGCTTAGCATGGTACCCCTTCTCTTCAATATGCGTGTTATTATCACCCCAGCCCAGGTTGGACGACGTCTTCATTGCTTTACAACTGACGTCAAGGGTATGAATTTCTGCTGCCATAGTGAACAAACTTATAACAATGTTTTCCCATATTTTTACCTGACAGAGGTAGCTGAAATTTTGTTTACATTTTCCTTGTGTCCAGAATCAGAAAGATGCACGGTTTAGAAAAAGTAAATATGTCGGTGGGGACATGTTTACCGAAAATAAATCGTTGATACACGCTTTCCTTGTAAACATCCTCAGTACGAACACTTTGTGTAAGGACTTACGCGCGCGTATGCACGATCTGCACAGTAACTGTGTTGCACACGCGTGCATAAGTCCAGCCCCGTCGCCAGCTCTGGGCATTAGGGGGGGGGGGGGGGGGGGGGCACAGTACAAACTAGGAGGGCACACCACAAGAAAATACACAATTATACATATATTTGTACGCTTATTTTTTTTGCCGATGGGGGGGGGGGGGGGAGGGCCGGCACCTCCCTGCTTGGCGACAGGCCTGCGTACGTCTTCACACGATGGTGGCTGAGCCAGCATGTACTGACTGCTGTATTAAACAACACTGCTCCATCATAATATTTACCAGATACGGTATATATAAAAAGGAGATAATGTCTGTGACTTACCCAGTATTTTCCACTGTCCCCCCTTCATGAGGGGATGATAAGGGAGCCGCTCCTTGGAAAGTGGGGAAAGGGGAACGCTGGTACATCGCAGCTGTAAAAAAAGAGCACGAAATATCAGGAGGATTCAATTCAAAGTGTGAGATTAAGTTAATGTACATATGTGGTGGTCCATTAGAGGTGAAAATGTTAACAGTAATGAGAAGCAAGAACACTTCAGAGCCATTAATGCACTATGAAATTGTGTGGATTTGCTCATTATTGAAGGCAAATTTGCCTTGGTAACAGATGAACGTAACAAAAACAAATAAAAATGGTGCAGATGAACAACATCTTTATTTAAGTAAGATTTGAGGCTTTGCATGGTGGAGATACTAAATAATGAAAGGTTTGCGGAAACACCATGTGCGAATAATTTTCTCAACTAAGAGAATGGTTCTGAAAAGGAACCAGAGGTAACATCTTTATTTAATGTATAGCTGTGTTCCCATACTACTTTTTAGCAACTACTGTGACTTCCCTGTAGAATCACAAAATTAATTCAACAGGGGACAGCTGAAAAAGTAATGTCCGTGTTCAGATATCCCAACCATGATGTAAGACTTCTGGGATGCAAGTTTCCGTGCAGCCGTGGAAGGTTTATTATAGGGATGCCAAAAAGTCAAATGGGTACAGCAAAAATATACTGTGTGTACCATTAATGCGACCGTGCAATGCAGGAAATAGGCTCAATGCTCTGCCATCCGAAACCCTACGTTTAGGCAAGAATGCAAAATTAAACAATTGGTAACTGGAATTTGAATCCCGCCATACCCAGTAAAACCCTATAAAACCTTATAAAATGAAGTTAACCTCAAGTTAACATCCGTTCAATTTGCATTCTTCCCAAACTTGAGATTCTCTTGACAGTTTTCGTAATTGAAGAGTTTGAGGAGTTTCAGACTGCAAAGATGTTGCCAGCAAAAGCAAGTGCTCAAGACAAGACAAAAAAAGCAAGGCAAAAGAAATGCCCGGATTATGCAAAAGTAAACATTATACAGGGGGTGTGAAGAACAAAATAATAAATAATGGATGCCAAATGACCAATTGTTCATGGCCTTATGATGATTTATATAGACTGCTTTACCTGATCTTCATCTGATGTGAGATTGAACCTTATTTCATACTCAGATGGCTCAGTCATGCGTGTGTAGTGCACTAAATACTCCATGAGCTGCACACCCTGGCAACAAAACACAAAAAAAACATGCGAAGACATGAAAGACGAGGAAGCAGTAGGTCATGCAAAGACATGAACTTTATCAGAATAAACATCGCCCAAAAGTAACCAAATGTCATAACTGCTGTACTCGTGCTGTGGCTTCCATGCACAAGTACCCCCCTCAACGGTTTTACAGGCCATTTGAAAAGCTTGCGACTTGTCTTTGGCCTGGATCAGTGGCATAGCCAGGGTTCTCATCCTGGGGGGACGAGGGGGGGGGGGGCTGGATGTTACAGTGAAGGGGCGACTAATTTCATCTGTGCTGAAAGGTAGACAGGTTTTTTTCACCAGACACCGGGCCTCTGTAAAATCAAAAAGTGTTGGGGGAGGGGACACCATCTTCCAGTGGGGGCGCTGTTCAAAACCGAAATCATGGTCAATGTCAGACAATAGGTGGCGCTATTCACTTTCCATGGGACATTAAAATAAACAGCCAAATCGCGAAAAATAAACAACAAATGTGAAAAGTAGGCACTTCATTTAAACCCGCTTATAATGGTAATTTATAAGACTGTGCTTTTCTACAGTTGCCACATTTACAGTGCCTAGGTGACTATTTTTTATGGGGGGCGTGTGCCGCCTCCCCCCACCCCAACCACGCCTCCCCGTAGCTAAGCCGTTGACCTGGATGACTTTTATTGGCTTGTGACTGACTGATCACAAAACTTCTATTGGTTATCATTGTAAGGGACATCTTTTGTAAAGTCCTACCCACCTTGATACAACTACCGACTACAGTACCGCCACTCGACTACGGTACCTGCACCACCTACTGACTTTGAAACAAATAATTGAAAATACATGATTTGAGGGACTCTTTTTGAGTCATGCATCAATGAATCTCTGCAAGCCTTACCACATCAGCTGAGGGGTCTTCAGGATTCTCATCTCTGATGCACTTGAGAACAAAGTTCAACCGCTGGTAGTCATAGGAGTCAACCTGGTCATTAGGAAACAAATGAGATTGTACTTTCATATTTGGGTTAGGAGGTAGAAGACACAAAGAGAAACAAAAGGGAGAATGGGACCCAACAAGTAAAAAGAAAAGTGGACGAACCTGTGCCCATCTTTCTTTCGTTAGCGATTGGGCCAGACTCATATGCTGCTGTGGGGGGATCGCCACACCTCCCCCACAGCGAGTCTGTTACCTTCCCAGCATTGATTAATGCCGGTACCCATTTAACACCTGGGTTGAGAGGAGTAACTGAGGTAAAGCGCCTTACTCAAGGGCACAACACGCATGGCCATGGCGGGGCTCGAACCCACAACCTCACGATCATGAATCATGTGCTCCACCGCTAGACCACACGTACCCACCAAACAAGTTGGTCTAAAGACAACTCTGTACCTCACAAGTGAAATGCCATGGAGTTTCAGTTTTCAAGCCAAACAAAGCAGAATAAATGTAGGAGAGTAGATTATTTACTTTGAATTAAGAAAGTTTCAGTTTTCAACAAAGCAGAATAGAGCCTTACATATATGCCACAATGCCTCCTTTGATAAGACTCCCTGCAAAGATACCAACATTTCCATTGTCTTCATTTATCAATCTAAATTTGTGTTTTCTCGCAAAAGGGTTTTCGTGGAGTTTTCGCCCCTTCCGTAATCAGCGAATCATTAGCCTTAATTTTTTGATAGCACAAATGTAAATACACATTTTTGTGTTCACTTAATTCACCTTAGTACAGCCTGTTTGAAACAGCAATGCTGTTGAAATACTTTTACAAAAGTTATAATAAGGGAATAAATGTGTGCTTGGGAAATGTTAAACACTATGTTTAAGACTGGTTGGAGTCTGGAATGCTGATTATTACCCGGTCGAAGCCGAGGGTAATTATCAGCATCCAGACTCCAACTAGTCTTAAACATAGTGTTTAATACCGACCAAGCACAGATTTATTCTCATTCATAAATATCTTTTCGGTCAAATAATCAAAACTTTTCGGTCCAAAAATCAAAACAAGCTAAAAAATACTGACTCACTGATAGTATTGCACATGCCCACGTGAGGATTGTGAACGTTCAACCAATAAAACGGTAAAAAGCACTGGATTTCATAGGAGTCCAAATTTCATGTGACACTGGAAAAGTGTTTAAGAACAGCCAGCTATGTCTTTATCATCCGTTTAAGACTGGCCACATGACAGGCTCTCGACCAATGGGAATTGGTAAATTGTCTTCGGTATTTATGAATAGTTGTTTAATATCTATGAATTAAGTCCATGCGCTTTTCTTTTATGTTATTTTTTATGTGTACAGTGTATGTAGTCATTTGTAATGTATGCAGGGCCCCAATGAAAACTAATATCCAACTGGTTGGGCATACCCTGGGTAACGAATCGTAACAAATAAATAAATAAATAAATACACTTGTGCGTCCTACTTGATGCATATCAGACTTTGGTGCACACAACTCGGACATTAATCACAACATACTTTATCAAGAATATCCGTCAGTCTTGCAACCAGCAGCTCCTTATTAGTCACCTCCCTGATGACACTCAGTACCCTGGCCTCTATGTCTGGGGGTGTATCACTGGGTGTATCACCGGCCTTGGCCTGGGGAAGCAGCAGAGTCTCCACGTACATCAGTAAGGCTTCGTCCTTCTCAAGTCCAAATGCACTGCATACAAAGATGGAGAGGAAAGATTACATGTCAAAGAATTTGAAGTTGAAGTGTTGCCTTTCACCCGTATCTTGCTAAGAAGTGTGTTGTTAATGTGGCGCAGCTCCTAACGTGGCATATTTGATTTTTCTCCTCTAGCTCCTCAATGGAGCAACAGTTTTAACTCAAATTTAAAAGGATGTGAAATTTCAGCAAGTTACGAATATCCCTGTTCATACATGTAAGTCTTGAGATTATTGATCTAACGACATGTAAGAAAAAGGTACTACAAAGAGCTTTACTTTTTTTAAGGATTTAACAAAAAATTATTTGCTCAAAAAAAAAAGAAGAAAAAAAGAAGAATATATTCCCCACAAATGTGATGTACACGAAGTAAAACTCGCCACGAAAAGTGATCCATGGAGGATTATGTTTTCCCTGAGGTGCAGCAAGGCAAAACAGTAAAAGTAGCCACTACCATTTGACTTGCTTTCAGTCAAACAAGAGACTATATAGTCTACGAACTGGGGCAAAGCTGGGCAAACGAAACAAAATATAGTATATCTTTCTTATCTTAGTTTTCAACCTTATTTAGGTGCTGTCTTATTGAGAATCTATATTCATACTTTTTGTTTTCAAAATAAGGGCGTACATTACAAGAGATGGGTGTGGTAAAGATTGTAAGTGGGTCCCCTTAGAGAATAGCCAAACGGAACTACACGGGAAGTACAAGACATTGTTAACTAATGAAATATGCCAGAACAGGTACAGGCACTGGTCTTCGCGTACAGAGTCGATCACACTACTTGCACGTATACATGACATGCATACACGTTGGGGTATTCTGATTTGGAAATGCCGGCTTTGTCTTCGTATCAGCTTCTTGAAGACACAAAATATGTGGGTGATGTGTCATAAACACAATCTTGTATGAGTGAAGCTTCTCACCTGCAGTACTTGTTGATCATAGTGATATCCACCGCAGGGTGCTTGACTATCTCTGGTAGCAGCATTCTCTTGTCTTGGGTGTCTTGGGCATTAAACACATCCTTGAACGAGATCTGTCAAAATGTTCAGAAAATATTAGTTTGACATTTTTACTGGATATTCAACATCACAGCATTCTCAAAACGTGACATGATCCTATGTACATGTATAAATATTAAATGGTCAATTTTGATTTACCAGATTTACATGTAGTATGCATTGGGAGCAGGATATTTGACTGCTATATCTTGTCATGGATTCTGTCATTTCAATGGTCTAAAACAAACAAGTGCCAAGTTCATAATGACTGCATTTTTTTCGAGTGAAGGCCAAAATGAGCCTGTTATTCTTAAAACCCCATTGAGTGCCCACCCCAAGAAAACAAGGCCTCCCCAAGTGCCCCCTTGCAAAATTGGACCAAGTTACAGTACACCACTGGTAAAAACATGATTTGCCATTTGTCAAGAGGCAATGGGGCAATTTAATTGAAACCGGGAGTACTTGAACTGGTTAATTGATGAACATGTACATCACAGTTATATATAACTGAATGAATTTGAAGCGCATTACAAGAGGTTTGGCAATCAAAGTGTACCAAGGGGACTCCAACAGTACAAGGCCCACCTTGAGTTTTCCAAGAAGGTGGCCCCAGGTAGCATCTGTCTCTAGTTTCCTGCAGCGTTCCTCCACCAAGGGCTCCTGGTGCAGCCTCCCTAGTTCACAGCCAACTTTGGCTATGGCCTTCCAAGAGAAAGAAATGGGAAAAATGAGTCGATCCTCTTTGACTGCATTCTTGTTCCCTGTGCTCTCCCCAGTCATTATGAATATTAGTTCCAGAGGCTATCAAGAATGTTAGAAGTTCATCCAAACTTAGGAAGTAGGCAATGATACTAACTGACAAATTCTGTGCCAAAAAGAGAGTTTGATTGACCAATGTTTCTGAGACTTTGCCCACATTCTTTAGTTGTCTTTTTTTTATCCTTAGTTGTTGTAGTCTTCCTTCCATACTCTCCTTAACTGATTCTCTGGGTTTTCCTTGGAAACATGTATCATTTGAAGGTTTCCTCTTACATCTAAAAATTGATATTTCTTCATTGCTACAGTGCCTGTGCCTATGCATTTTTACGACCCTTGGTTGCATTATCAAAATGAATCAAATAAGTAAGTGCATTTAATGAGTGTTGATGGAGGGTAGAGGACAGCACTGATTAACTGATTAGGCAAGCGAGGGGAATAATGCAAAATGGCAAAAGCAGAGCAAAAAAAAAACTTAAAATGTTGTGCTTGACTGCATGGCAAAATAAATAACTCTAATTTGAGAAGTGCAAACCATACCAGGACTTTGCGGTAGTGATGGCCGGCACTGGCTGTCAAGCTCTTCAGTTTCTCCAGAGCTCCTTGCTTTGGTAAGACACAGGCCATGCTCAGGGCAAGATGGTGGTCCACTCGACGACTGCCAAAGATCTGTGAAAGTGCCATACAATGTTCTCTACAAGTTAAAAGTTATAACAAAAGTTTTGTATTATTTGATTGATCTCTGTTCCAATCTACATGACACAAGGTTATTTGATGTTCCATTCTAAAGGCATTTATTTTTTTAATAAGTGTATGTGGTTGTTACATATTTATTATTCCACTTGATATAAATTGTCAAAAATCAGCAAAATGAGCCAAATTTATGGATGTATGGAAATGTCTATGTTTGTCTATACATAAGGGACACTTTTCTATGAACCACTTGATTTATTTGTATCAGTAGCCCTATTGGTCATTTACAGCCAAAATTAAATCATTAAGCACTTACGGTGCTGAGCTTGCCATGGAAGTGTGCCTGAGTTTGTGTAATTCAGTATCAGAACAAAACTAATCATTCTGGTGATTTCAACTGCAGCTGCCACAGAAATTGTTTAGAAAGAGCAGTCAAAGTTACTGAAGCATGTGTATTATTAGTGTCACAAATAAAAGTTGTTGCACATTAGTCACAGATACATTCTCTCACTTATTTCAAATTTTGAAGTACAAGTACTTCTAGCTGTCAATTCTGTATGACAAATGATTTTAGACACTGCCTTAAATAGTTCAATCAGTTCATTTCATTTTCTTCTTGTCAACCCTGTTATATAAGTGGTCTCTGAGCACTTGCTACTTAGCAGCCAGAACTGTAAAGCCCATAGCAACTGCAGACAGCCAGCATATTCATTCTCAACTTTACCTTGTCCATGAGAGTTGCAGTGAAGTCTCTAACCCTCTGTAGCCCCATCTTGACCATCTGACTGCATCTTTCTTGCTCCTTGCTCATGAGCACCTGAAACTCCTGCTCCATAAAATAGGAAAAAAATGTAAAATTCAACTATTACACCATCTTCAATATGTGCTTCTTTTTGTCTCATTACAGAAGGAAAGCAAGTAAACTGTTGACGCTGACGGTCAAAGATCTTCGCATCCATATCTTCAGAGCTCACAGACCGACCTGTCTAGCAGTCGAGTGGTGATATATCAACCATACATTATTTCAACAACTCCTTGTTGCCTAAGCTTCATTGACTGGTAACCATACAATACCTTGTGGTCTGGTAAGTTGCCCATGGTGTTGGCTGCCACGTACTGCAGACTGGTCCCCAGGGTCTCGGCCAGCACCAGGAATGCCATCTCATACTGATTGTTCTTTTGCAGGTCCTGGATAAGTTCCAGTGCCGCTGAGCTGAGATGGGACAAGTACTGAGCGCTGTTTACTGGGTTCTCCACATCTAGGCATCAAACAGAGGGACATATACTGCTAACTCTGCTTTCCCGTGGGACATGGCTTTTTTTACACCCAAGGGATACCACTTTGATATCCCCACATGACAAAACAACAATTCTTTTGACCTTTCGCGTCTTGCAATTTTGTTTGTGGCCTGTTTAATAGTGTCGTCAAAAGCATTAAAATAAGATCTGTGACAAGCGGTTCAAAGAATTAAAAATTATCGTAAGGCAAACTGTTTCTCCCTCAAGTTTGCTGAGACGAAAGGAATGCTAAAAAATTGGCACTGGTACTACATGTAGCTACACAACAATTTCAGACATCCAACTGATGTCACAGTTAATATGCAGGACATGTAAATTGCGTCCAATGTAATATTTAATAGATGTAACATTTATGATATGGCACATGTGCACTGTTACTGGGAGGGGAGCTTTTTGAGTGTACCTGCATTGACTGAGGCTGCACCCGCATTTTTTGTTTAGAGCTATTGTCTAGCTAGGTCTTCGCCCATTACAACTACGTAAGAACAAGCTGACAATAGCAGAAGCTATCGTTTAGGTCTATGGGCTCTGTGCGCCAACAAAAGAGGGCACGTTTTTACCAATTTTGAGAGCCCTGTGGACGCGACACGCTGCGTGAGCGTGCTGTACTGGTTCGCGTGCGAAGCATGCACGACTTCCTGAATGTGCCTAAGCTATTAGCCACAGCGTCTTCGCGTGAGCGTCAGGCGTCGTCGACACGCGAATACGTTCAAATATTAACTTACGATGCTCTCCCAGACTAATCCCTGCCCCCAATAACTTTGGATCATTCAAAATACGCAGTGGATGGACCGGCAACCAGTCTAGGTCTCCCCTAGGCCGAAAATTTGGGACTCTCAATACTTGTGTATGAGAGTCCCAAAACTTAGGGTACTGAAAACATGCAATACAAGAAAATAGACTGACATGTGAAACAACCAGTCCAACACTGCTTCAGTACTGCATCAATCAGCTGTGCCAAAAAACACGTGGCAAGAACCAGGAACTAGTCTCTATTGACTACACATTTCTCCATAGTCAGCCACCAGACTAATGAAGAGGTCGGTCTTTTCAAATAGTTGGACCATGGTTGGACATGTACCAGTCTAGTCTTTAGCCTTTAGCCCTCTTATGTGCGAAATATTGAAGAAATGTCTCCTTTAAAAATTGAATTGAGTCTGCAAACTTGGTTGGTGAAATACTGAGGACCTTTTCTTTGCCCAATGGAATTTTCAGAGAAATTTGCTGGCTAAAGAGTGAGTAAAGTTGGCCTGATTTAGTTGTGCACATTTCAGAGCACTCCGGGTCTCAGTCTGGGTCTCCCCCAGCTCTCCTTTTCTGGCTGTTGAAGGAATTCTTGTGCATGGAGCCTATAGCTCTTTCCCCCCAAAGCGGGTTGTTTCTACACTTGTCCAATCACCTTGCATTACGATGGCTGGTCTGCCAGCCATTCTGGAGTGCTGCAATGGCAGAGCGTCAGGCCTGGCGTCTGGCAGACATGACACCAGGAACTTGCAGGTTGTCGGCAGTGCATAGGAAGACGTCAGCACCAATGTGTTCTCTTGGAAGAAGTCACTGAATGTCCAGTCTTGGTAGGGGTCCCGCTTGGTCTCTGCACTACTCAACGACTACAAGACAAATAGGGTAGGGGATGAATACATTCAAATATACAGAAAATGAATTTGTTTGTTTCAGACATAATGTACAGACTAATGTTCTGCACCGGGAGAGGGTTGCATGACCAGGCCAAACCGACCCGAAACATAGATAAAACCAAATCTGAACCAAAACCGATCTGAACTCCCCAATTTGACCCGACTTGACCAAACAAAAAAATGAAAGGAAAAACCAACCTTAACCGACCTGAAACTGAATCGACCAAAGAAACCCCCGAATATCTGTCCTACATTTCACAAAAACCGTGTCCACTTTTGTGTGTGAACTTACTGGCGTCACGTGAAAATTGTTGACTCTCAGTAAAGAATCGTACCATATATGCTATGGTAAACACTCCGAACCTGACCTACCGGTGGGCCCATGATGATAGACCGCACGATGATAGACTGCTGCACAATCACGCAGTGGGTTGATAATAGTCATACTGGACACAGTGACTCTGCAATTACATTGCACCCCAATAATTGCAACTGCTTCATGTTTTATGTGGGTTTTGTTTTTGGGGGGGGTGGTCTATTTTGGGTTATTCACAACATGGCTTAACGGACCCGATCTGATCCGAAAATTGCAAATGCGAAACCGACCCGACCTGACTGAAATGATTGAAAAACCAACCCAATCCGAACCCAAGTCGGTTTCAGGTCAGGTTTGCACAACGTAATCAGTATGCCAAGAGCTGCCAAGTAATTTAAGCCTACCTGAACTGAGATTCCATAATCGCCACTTTCACACTGATGATAGACAGCGTCAGTCAGACGGAGTAGCTTGCACAGCTCCAAACAATCACACAGTAAATCTATGCAATAAAATAAACAAAGTAATTACTTATTGGAATCAATCATTGAAACTGTGAACACTTGCTGTATTACAAAAGAGAATATTTTAATCGGCTGGGTTTAAAATTGAATTATCATTGCCATCTTTTCTATTTCATTGCTTAGTCTAAGGTGTGCATTGGTAGTCGAGTGGTTAAGACGTCTGCACTAGGAAACAGAAGGTTGTGGGATCAAGTCCCACCCTCACAAACATGTGCATAGTGAATGTCAAAAACCAATACATCAATTTAACACGAGAATGGATTGTAAATATTAGCTCCCTGAGGTACGGAAAGTTGGCAAACTCGTTTCTAAGCAAAGCTAAGAGTTTCGCAACTTCAAATATCGAGAACTAATATTGACAATCTTGAAAACAAAAAGGGAGTTGTATTTGTTTTAAATACCTCAAACATATTCAATTACAAATTATTTTGTAATTTCAGGAGCCTTCAATAAGAAACAAATTGTAACCACCCTCTTAAAGTCTGTGCATGCATGCCTGTGTGTGATTGTCATTATGTGCACACCACCCATGTTATAGTTCCACACATGTTCAGTAATACAGTAGCGCAGATGACTTTCACAGGGTTGACTGACTCGTGCAACAGTATCCTGAACCAATATTTCCGCCCTTTTTGTGTCTTCTCTGGCTACGTGCCAGCACACACCACACAAATATCGGTCGGCAAGTGATGGAAAATTGACTGCTTAGAATTCAGCTCCCTGTCATGTAAGAGGTGGGAACATCTCTACCGGTACCTACTTTGGTCACAGTAGGCCAGGGCTTTGCAGGCCAGTAGGTACAGCTCTGTGGACAGACTAGGTGCATCGTCAGCAGGAGTGTTATTCATGATGCTGGGGTGTGACTCAGCCCAGAGTCTGCACACAGTGTGAGCTACCGTATAGATGGTCTTGGATATGGCTGGAGTAAGGGTGTACTCAGAGAGCTCCCTGGTAACATAAAGGAAATCATAGTGATTGTGTTCTTGAGCAAGTTACTTGACCAGGTTTTTTTTCAAACTAGAACACAAGTGAATTGATACAGGTTTTATTTGTTTAAGGCAAACAGTGTTGCACGGTCACGTCCTTTTTCAAAATACATGTACCACAAAGAAAGGGAAATACAACCCAGGCATGCAACTGGGAATTTAGAAAAAAAAAAAACGAGGAAACTCCAAACCAAACAAAACTTTGTACAGTATTTTTCAATTTGTAATGGCATTCATGAGAAGTACAAAATGAGGAAATCAGCGGATCCGAGGAAAAGTTGCACGCCTATAACCAAGTACAGTTGAATTAATCCTGCAAAATTAGACAGAGTAATGGGGCATTTGATTACGGGAAGAAGTCTGACGTTTTGGAAAAATTGTATGCTGGAAATGGATAAGAATTTACAAGTGGAGTCTGACTCACACAAAAGTACAAGTTCTTTTGCAAACAGTTGCAAGATATTTGCATATCTGTACCGGCTGTGTGTCTAAACCACAGAGTTATATTGAAAAAACTAGAGAGCACTTCGCATACTACGCGAACGTGACGACATGGACACGCTGCCGCCATACTTTTGGTGGAACAATGGATCAATGTGGATTGGCCATAAGCCCCGCCAATTTTTGCAACCACTTGGAAACGTCATCGAGCTCGGTAAACTGCGCAAGTGCACTCAGTCTACGTGTGCAACATGTATGTACGTCATAGGACGTACGTACACACGTACGCGCGCAAGTGTTATATTTAGAACAGCAATTCAAAAGTGGAGGCATTGTTCCAACTAAAGTATGGTGGCTGCACATCCCAGTCGGCACGAGTGCATATACGGGGAATGCGCTCTATCTTTTTTTAAAATATAACTCAATGGTCCAAACACATTATCCTCAAGTACTACATAAGCACAGACTAGGTGCTTAGGCTGGACCCCTACTATACATCTTTATATTCCAGTGTTCTTGGGGACTCACAAAAAGGACTCCTCAACAACTATGCCAGGGCTTCAAGCACACAATGAGCTAGATTCAGGAAAGATGTACAAGTTTGATGAGAAGGGGCTATAATGCAGCATCATGACCACCATACTTGATGGATATGCATGTCTTAAGTGAATATTGTACCATATCTCATAATTTGGTGGTAAATGCTTCTTGCATATGTAGGCATGCCCTGTTTTTCACAATTTTCTGTTTCCTAATTGTAATTTTTACATTGCAGTTTTTGTTTTACCATTTACTTTTCTGAGCTACATTTTTCATGTCAATTCTTGTTTTTGCTTTACTGTTTTAATTTCGTCTGTTGATTTCAAATAATTAAAAAAAAAATTAACAGTTATACATTACAATTTCTAACATCTGTAAAGTTTTTTAAAATGTTCAAATGAACCCCAAAGGGAATATGACTAGGTGAATTATAAAACAAAGTGAAAAGTTGAACAAAGATATGACTGGAGCAGGATTTGAACGTGCGACCTCCGGATTGCCATTCCGGTGCTCTGAGCTATCCAGCCCTATGTTGGTAGTTCCCCAATTCATCAACATCTTTGTTCAAGGTGCGCTAGTCAGAAGCCATATACCCGTATGTGCCATATAGCGAGGGATATTGCATGGTCACTCCTTGTCTGGTGACCTCCTTTTGCTAAACAAATGCTTTCTGTGCTGGGCAAAAATCTGTAAAAAAAATTTTTTATAAATGCTATTAATATATAATTTCTGAGGTCTTACCTGCACATTTTCAATGCAGTCTTGATTTGTCCAGTCTCTGCAGCTTTCACAGCAAGTTGACTCTTCAGCTCCTCATGAGACGTGCCAAGTATCCGGGCAAGACTGCATGGAGAGACAAAGGAAATCGCAGTGGTACATGTACTTTCCTCAGCTTTCATCTCTATGGACCGAGGAAACAGCCCCACCAGGGCTGGCACTTGGATACACCTCAAGATCAAATGAAATTACGTGTGTGCTTCCTGAGTGGAACCAGGTTGGAATGATGGAATGTCATCGCCACCTGGCTCCCGGAAAGATGATTTCTTACCTGCTTTTAGCAGAAATTATTGCCGATCAAAATTATGTGCTGAGCAAACAGCAGTCAAAAGCAAATGTGTTTTTGCACCCCTAGAACAAAAAAAAATCCATTACATTTCCAAGATCAAATTATGAAAATCCATGACCTAGTTCATCAAAATGCTGATCAAAACTGTAAAACTTGTTCCGTGAAAAGTGCTTAAAAGAAACAGAAAATCAACAAAACAAAGCAATAATGTCTTAGTTGGAAATCGAAATGTTTGTATCAGCAAAATTTGTCGCACTTTGTAAAAGTTTACAAATCAGGTTTTTGATGCTAAGTTATACAAAGTTTCACATTTTAAATAAATTGGCCCTCACAAAATCCCTTGATTTTTCCATGAGTTTTGTCATTTTTTTTTCAAATTTCCATGACTTTTTCAGGCCTGGAAATTGAAAATAAAATTCTGTGACTTTTCCAGGTTTTTTTTCAGGTCTTGGGAACCCTGTTTTAAGTTGTTGTTTTCACTCAATAAGAGGTTGGTTGAATGAAAGAATTGAGAAAGTTGATAGAAATAAATGTCCGATCCATAAAAAAAAACCCAGCTTTTGCCTCAAAAATCTATAGAGTCAGCATTCAAATAGCTTTACAGAACACAAAAATTGTGTTTCATCATTGAGAGATTGAGGGTAAAATTTGTTTTCCTTAATAAGAAATAAAAGAATATTCCAGCAAAGGGCAGTACTTGTAAAGTCTTGAGAAGTTTTTCCTTGTTGAAGCTGCTCTCTTTTTCGCCCCTTCATATATCGTCTCTTTCTGCAGGAGTAAATTGGAAAAAATGAATATGACACTTCATATGTCTGACCCCAACAATATATAATTGAACACCACTAAAGCGGACAACCACGATGTGAATATCTAACAATCCTGCCTGTAATGACACTTTGCGATTGGTTCATAGCAACGACATCTCAAAAACAGAAATACAGTCAAACCTGTACAGAAAGACCACTCAAGGGAAACAATAAAAGCGGTCTTTATAGACAGGTGGTCTTTCTGTACAGGTTGGTAATATTCGCCCTCCCTTGCCCTAACGTGGGGGTCTGTATAGTCAGATAAACCTGCCTCAGCGACCATTATGTTGTTTCTATGTACATGAGCATGTGGTTCTGTTTTCATTTACTTAAGGGTGCGTCAATATTTTGCAGCTCATATCATAAAAAAAAATGTGATTTTTTTTTAAGGGGTGGGGGGTTGGGGAATTTTAGCATGTGAGAATTAGCTACGCAGAAGCGCAGTACTGGCGCAACGACGGGCCGACGGAGTTTCTCACCAAGTGCCATATATTTTGGCTCTGAAAAGAGCCGTTGGGTTTAATGCGGCCCAGTATGGGCCAATCGGGTTCAGGGTTTTGTTTTTCTTCAAACTTTTTTGCAGAAGGAGAGCAGTGATGACTGGTTTGCGACTTGACGATGATGCAAGCTTTCTGCTGCAACCTTCTCCTCCATGTCCATGCAGGCATTGACGAGACTACTGGAACCTCTCATGATTGTGACACTTTCATGTCATTGAGAAGTGCTGCAAATTGTTCATAGTTCTTGACACTTGTGGATGGAGCTTGTTCTTGGTCTTCATCCCCATCGCTGTCAGGGTCTTCTGCATCATCGTGAAGGCGCTTCTGCAGATCACTAAGGGAGGAGGCTGAACCATTATCTGTGGTTGCAATTTCTTCATCAATGACAACCAGTTCCTGGATGGAGATGTCCAAAGCCTGACGACAGTTCGGGGCTGGTCATTTCTTTGTCAGCCTCCAGTTTCTGCAAGATACTTCTCAGTTGTTTCTTCCTGAATTTCAATTTCAGTGTTTGAATGATGCCCTGATCCATTGGCTGTGCCACTGAAGTTGTGTTCGGAGGAAGAAAAAGCAGCTTGATGTTCTTCAGCAGCAGGTGTGGATGACAAGTGGCGTTGTCCAGCAACATGATGATTTTTCTCTTTTTGCGTCCCATCTTCTTGTCGAGCTTCCTCATGTACAGCTCGAAGACGTTGCTTGTCATCCAAGCTTTCTTGTTGGCGTGGTAGTCCACAGGAAGATCTCTTCTCTCTAGTCTGCCAAAGCACTGTGGTTTGAAGGACTTCTCGATGACTAGAGACTGTTCCTTCTCTCCAAAGGCGTGAAGGAGAGGTCCGAACACGGAGAACATTCTTGCAGTGGAATCCTTAAACCACTCGTACAGCAAGGCGTTGATGTCCTCGTTACATGTCTTGCGAATTTTCCTCTTCCGATCAAGAGGAACATTCCCCTCAAACTCTTCCACCCACTCACTCGTCCTCTTGACTATGTTCTGGACTTGAGATTTACCGCAGCGGTGGCCTCGCATGCCCAAGTTGTCGACGATAGTGCGACAATTCATATTCTTTTCATCGTGAAGCTTGATGACTTCGATTTTCATCTCCAGCGACAGCTGATTTGGAGACGTCTTTCCTGGCTTCCGACTCAAAAGAATTCGGAGCCATATTCTCTTTTTCGGAAACGGTGTTGGAACAAAATTGCTCGATAATGCTCAGAATATTGGAACAAAATGATAATGATCGATAATGCTCAGAAAAATTATGTACGTTCGTATGCGATTTTGTGTTTACATAATATGCGATGATTGAACGCGTACGCATGCATGCTCAGCTGAAAAGATCAAAGGTCAATCCATAGCTAAAACAAATTCAAAGCTCTTTTTTACAATTAAAAAATGAAATTCAAAAATAAAATAACAATAATACAAGTGTGTTTTGTGATATATTTTCTTTCTTAAATATTCACGTCAATATTAAAAATTAAATTTATACAAATAATAAATATTAAATTTGGGCGAACGTTGATCACAGGTCATGCATAACATGCATGCTGGCCAGCCGTACCGTGCGCGTGCGATTGCTACACACGTGGCCGTAGGTCGATTGATACGAGGGCATTGAATAGTGCTGGATACACGAACAATGAGGGGCATTGTGGATGCGATTACAGCCCCGGATTAAGATTGAAGATGTCCTGGAAAAATCCCCTTGTTGATTCACTAAGCTGCAGAAGTGCTTCATGTCGATTTTTGTTTTCTTTAAAGTGAGTAAACAACCATTGTACAGAAGCAAGTGGGCATTTAGTGGTTGCTTTTCATGGCTTGCGGTTGTTGTGTACAGGCTTTGGCGTCTGTACGGAGGCAAAATGTGTGGTCGCTGGTCGCGTTGAACAGATGGTCGTTGTATATAGGATTTAAATAAAAAGCTTTTTTTCAGGGGGGGATTTTATACTGGTTGTTATTGACAGGTGGTCGTTGTGCACAGTTGGTCGCTAAAGCAGGTTTTACTGTATATAAAATATTTAATGAGTATGACTTATCAGCCATAAAATACTCACATCCTTGTCCGAGGATCCACTTTTGTTCCTGTAGAATGCTGCCAGGTGCTTGGTCAATAATGCCTTTCTGACGCTTGCATCCCGAAAGTTGTCCAGAGAAAGAAACTCATTGAACTCAACCTATGGTACGAAAAAAGGGGATGAAAATACAACTTTCAAAAGGTGTGAAAACTGTGTAGCAAACCAGTGCTACAGTATTGCATTCTGAATCATTTGGCTCCAAATGACATTGTCAAAAACCTTGTTTTTTCTCAAGAATAAAGGGGAGGCTCAATTGAGTAATTAGGATTATGATCTGTGGTCTCGATTTTATTAGTTATCCTGCAAGCACGATTGGAAAACGGAATAATGTAGTGCGTCTGTGCCCCACATACCACGAGGCCGAAGTATGTGGGACGCAAGAAGCACTACATTATCCGTGCTCCACGAGTGCGAATGGGTTAACAAATTTATTTTCAAGCAAACTTGACGCACAGTAAAGTTGGAACACGCATGCGGTACACAAACTTTTCAGCAGCTATTCTATTACACGTGTGTTCATGCAGGAGTAATGGCGTGCACATCTTGGAATAGCGTGATACAAAGTGCGATATTGATCGTGCTATTTAGGTATAATATCACACTATTGTTGCCATGGATTGACCAATCAGGATCAAGGAGTCAAGTTTGTTTGAAGATAAACTCATCTAACAGTCTTAATGAAATCTGATGCAGGCTCTAATTAAGGTCAATTTTAGTATGAGTAAAGTGTAACTTGTTTATTTATGTAATCTTGAGTCGTCTTCTTTGGTTTCCCCGAGTGCAGTACAAAAAGCAATGCAAGATGTTTCTTTCATCAAAGTCCACCATTTCTGTGGAACTGTTTCCTGAGACAAGATTCCCTTTGTCTCATGATCTGCTCTCTTTCAACGGAAAGTCAACTCTTTTCTTCAGAGTCTATGCTTTATCTTTTTTTTCTTCATTTTTCCCAATCTTAAATTTATTTGTTGTTAGCCTTTCATCCCCTTGAGTGACTTCTAGCCTCGTAATGAGTATAGAAGTTACAAGTATCGTGGGTTAAGTTGGCCTCAGGTCGACCCACGATTTGCTTACGCCACGACAAAACCGGCGGCATCAAGCACAAAAATTATGCTCAGGTCACAAAACTGACAAATCGTGTGATTGCCGCGGAACACGTCGTAGAAGTTGAAATGTTTCTACTCTTGCGACTGTTGATTTTTTTAGCGCCAACTGATGCCGATCGTCTTAATATCGTCGCAGTTACACTCAGGTTGCACAGAATTGGCGACTAATTTGTTCCCGACGGTTGTAGCTCAGGCACAGCTTGATCCTGAAAAGTCAGTCGCCGACTGATCTGTGTCGTCGCAAGGTCGACCTGAGGCTGGCTTTATTTTCATTGAGCCTGTACCTGCAATGAGAGCATGCATTTCAGGTCCTTATGAAGACCCTGCAAGTCCTCCAGTGTAGAAGGGTCGGTTGTTTTGTTCAGCAGAAACTTCAGGACACTGATAGCTCCGTCAGTGATCAGAATCAGTTCCTTCTTATCCTGCAATGGTAATTGGACAAAAAAGTCAAAGTTCAATTCATAGAGGAAAATGATGAATATGATACTCCCACTTCGGGTTGGACAGCTCTGATTTGTCTTCTACATTCTACAGTCAATCCTGTAGCACATAGGCTATGGAATAGATGCTTGCTCAACCAGGCTCATGAAATGTGTACTGACAGCTGTCTCTTGACTTCCAGATTTTTTACCATTCAGCTGAACAAATATGTTACTATTGTCCTTAATGGGCTCCGTTCACAAGTACCCCCTCACCGGCAATAAAGGGAGAGTTGGGGGAGACCATAGTCTGATACCCCGATCAAATAATTCCGACTTTTATTAATGAGGAATCTTAGATTCATCAGCAACAGATTCTTTGGTCTGGGAACCAGACTCGGTAGCCCATCAGGAGACATTCAAATGCACCACCGATGTCTGATGCCCGCGCATTTAGAATAAAATTAGTAGTGCGTACTGTGCACTATACATGCATGAACCAGTACGCAAATGCGATGTGTCCCGTCCATGGGACTCTCAAAAATGGTCTCAAAAGTGCCCTCTTTTGTTGGTGCATAGAGCCCATAGCAATACAAATTGCACTATTCTGTGCATCTGGCAGTGGTGGAATCAGCGGGTGGATGAAATACGCTTTCCAGGTCAAAATCTTTCACAGAATCCTTCCGTGGAGGCTGCCACGTTCTGTGCCATATTTTAATATCGACCAATAAACAGCTTTGGACACTTTTCTCTGGAAAATTGCATCACAATTTCAAAAGTATGTTCCAATTAGCTGCCGTACCATGTCACATATCGGACGTTCACCGCAGAGCTCGTGAGCACCATGATATTCAGTCTAGTAAGCATGTGGAGAACAAATGGAAACTCCTTTTTCTTTTCTTTTCTTGGAGAAGAGTTTGAAAGTCAACGTCTGTAGAACCTCATCATATAAATTACTAAGTAATTATATAAATATAATAGGTCTTATATTGTGATACAAGTTTGCATATATGGAATTTATTTGTAACTGAATTGAACGTAAGTTAAAATAATAAACTGAAAATAACATCGAAACAGCTGTTTATTTAAATGCTTCCCTTTGGTAAAACAACATGTGAGACCACCAGACACAAGCAGTTACTACAGTTAAGAAATTGTTGTGATGAACAAGAGTAGGAAAATGATGCACATGGGCTACAAAAACGATTGTGTCGTGTTCTTAAATTCACCACATAATTTGGTAGCACCCACAGAAATTATGAACAATCTCCCTCCAAAATCCAAAAGACAATGTTTTTTTATCCGAAATCAACACATTAAAAAGGATGTACTGTGATCAACATACTTCAGAGTCCAAGTTGAAGTGTGGGGGTTCATTTAGTATGACCTCTGACCAGGTCACGACCCTTTTGGAACATTCCACTGCTTCAGAGGGGTTCATCGATGACAGCATCTCAATTCCATCTTGAATCTGTAAGGAAAAAAAACACAACTCATTGGTCTCTGGGCTCTGGGATCAGCTTTACTAGGTTTGCCTGTCTTGTATATTATAGCGCCCTTACTGTCAACCCATGTACATGGAAGCATGTGCACATAATTTAACAATCCTTTTAGCTACATTTAGCAATTGTTGACTGCTGTGATGTGGGATATGACGTTTTTAACACAAGAGGGATGCATGCGCCCCGAGGGGGTTAAAAACAGCATATCCCACATCACAGCAGTCAACAATTGTTTTGTTATATCGGGCCAATAAATCAAAAAGATAAACGATTGTGTTTTACTGTGTGAGAAATAAATTAAACCACTGTGATGGAACCTTTGACAACTGAGGGTGCATTTGAGCATGTAACTCGTGTTAACAGGAGTACACTCGTGGGTGCACGAACGGCAGGAGCACGACCCGCTGTTTGTAAGAGCATAATCTTGGTAAGACCGGGAGTATACTCTTAAACTGAGAGTAATGCGCACGCAACATTTTTCTGCACTCGGGAGTAGCAAGAGTAACACGCTCGAACGCACCCATAAAGTTTTGATATCCTGCTGGACATGAGACTGAGCGGTTGACGTTGCAGTCTTCATTGTGCAAAGCTAGCGCGCCAGTAGGTTCCATAAGCGTGTGCACGCGCCCAATGAACGCAGTGCGACATCACTTATCGTCATGTAAAAGTGGATATAAGTGTGTGACATGCATTTTTATAGACCAGACACGTGGCCGTTCTAAACCAATGAAATTACAGTATCTAAGCACATGATGTAACAATAAGCCTCTGTACTGATGACGTCACACTTTGTTTACGTGTGTACTTTCCTATGGTGCTCAGTGGACCGTGGGCCCCCACTGGCTCCATAGGAAAGTGCACATGTAAACAAAGTGTGACGTCATCAGTACAGAGGCTTATTACATGTTTACTCAGCAGATCTTATTTTCTGGGAAAATCCCCCCCTTTTTTTTGATGACGGAATATCACATTTCATAACTTTGTTTTGTATCAGTCCTTTGTCTGAACCTTTGGGTAAGGTTTTATCATTGGGTCTTTAAGGAAATTGTAAATGATAACTTACCCTGTCATGTTGTATCAGAGACTTGAGTCTGAAGATGTACACATCAGTAGGTGACAGATGATTGTAAGCCTTAGTGACCTGCAAGGCATCCTCTAGGCAGTCTGGCTTGTCACTGGCAAGGATGTACTTGATCACCATCTACCAAAAAAAAGGTACATGTACAGAATAATGATGAGAATCTTTTTGATGTAGCAAACATATAACAAAATGTCCGTGCACTTTGCTGAAATTTCTCTCCCAGAAGGTGTCATGTGGCATGTACAAGAGCCACTGTCTGGATGCATATTGGTAACAAAAAGCACAATAAATAAATGTATGAATTAAGGGGCTAATGTGTGACTTTTTTTCATGTCCCTGTTGCCTTTCAACTTGGTAATTTGCCATTCAAGTAACCTTAAAAATGACTTCAAACTATTGTTTATTTGTTAGATAGGTAGTTTGCTTTATATGATCAATCTTTCAGAAAAGAAAGCATGAAGGAGTGCATCCAAAATTACACAATCATAAATGTCAGATGTAACAGGGACAGGAAAAAATGTGGACCCCAAATTTATAGAATGACCCATGTGCATGTATGGTTGACACAATGGATGGTTGTTGGTCATTAACAAAGTGTATAACTTAAATGTCCTGAGATGTGATCAAATACATGTTTAACATGTAGGTGCTTTTTACACTTTTTTAAATTTAAAAGGTTTTCGGAAAACTGGAAGGCAGATTGCAAATGTACAAAGTCATATAGTGAACTCTGGCTTCCATTGCTTGTTTGAAAACAGATTGGCAAGAGGATTCTCACAACAAAGTGGCAAAGATAAGTTGTTCAGAGAAATTATTTAAAAGAAGTTTAGTGCTTGGTTTTTGGTGACAAATACCAACACACAGTCGTGAATTTCTGTACGCCCGAGGACAATGCTTTGTGTTTCCCTTTGTCCCTGTAATATAACACTCTCCCACAGACGCACATGATCGAGGACCATTTTCAACAAAAGACCCAACGCTTGAGGATTGACAGGATCTTTTGTTCTCCCTTTGTGTGTCTGTCCTCTATCGTAAAGCCATGCATGTACACTAGTACATGTACTGGGATGTGTTCCCCTCATGCACACATTGCCAAAGCTCCTGGCAATGTGCAAATTGTTATCAAGAAACTATTGTCAACATGACAGTGCCCAGTGCTTCACATGGCACTAAACAGCAGCTTTCAAAATCCTCGAAAAATCAATTGTGACTGGAAGTTCAATTTGCTAGTGATACATACATGTGCATGTATCAAATTACTGGGGAATTTCATTGTTCAGCTCGAATAGAAACATGAAATTCACTGTGTGAGTCGGCCATTTAAAAAAACATTAGCGAAGAACTCAGGAAGACCGTTCGCCTTTGTTGCCAACGTTCACAAACATTGGTGACAAATAGTCAGTCCCATTGTTCACCCGTTTCCGTTAATCCAACATACCGGGGCGTTATCCTTGCGTACGTCATCGTGTCGGAGGTCATAGTTTGCCAGCATCTTTTTTAGTTGTACCAGCTTGTACTTCCCACGCAACTCCTCCACCCTGTCAATCAAAAGGCTTAAATGTGTTAGGATCAAGAACAGGGAATGTGTTTGCACGGATGACAATGAAATGGACAAGCTCAAAGTTTTGTGCCTGACTTTCAGACAATATCAAAAGTGTTTGGATATGTCTAGATTAACACACAAAAATAGAGAAAAAATTAGATATTGGCAAACTTTGCTTAATTACCCCCAATTTCCTCCCTAAAAACATTAATTGACAAGAACCAAATTTTCAGACATTAGAAATGTTTGGATGTGTTTGAATTTAAAAAAGAGAAACTTTTAAAACTGTTTAGGGAAAAAGAATAAAGCCAGGGAAAAGATGTTAAAAATGATAATTTGAAAGACTTTGCTTAATTATGGCAATGCCACTATTCAGGCTTCTGGGCTCAGGCTTCTGGGCCCAGGTACATGTAATTCCTCAATAGGAAACACAAATTAATTCCAATTTTGTGAACACTCTTATTTTCTTTCCCATAAAAATTCCAATAAATTTATTTAGTTTACATTGCATTTGGTTGCCTCCTATGCTATCTGTGAAAATTACCTCACGTTACTCGGCCCCTTAACATTTTCTTGTAACGTTTCATTTGTTTAAATGCTATCAAGTGAAAACCACTGAATGTTTGGCAATGATCAACATATGCAGCATTTTATTGCATGTGTTGAGCAACATTTCACTTTTCATAACATTTCCGTACTGACACATTTTTAAAAAGTTTCACAGTATATAAGGTCATAACTTACGCAACAAGTTATGGTGTAACTTGCACGTTCATTTTATGTTGCGTAGGAACTGAAATTAAATAGTTTACTGACTATTCAGGGACGTTGTTGAACTTGTCTTTTTCTCAACTTTCAAATTTGGCACAAGAAACTTAAAGCCTTGTTTCTGCACTTAATGAATTGCTCTTTTTACCTGTGACGTAATTTTTAGCACTGATGCACAATTTGGAAGAAAGTCAGACAAGTCTATTTTCAAAGTGGCATGCTGAAGTGATTCAACAACTGTTTGTGACTGATTTCTAATCAGAAATCCTACACAAACGGCTGTCGTAAAAGCTATAAAAGCTTGTCTAATATGTTTCAATAATTTCAAACGTTGTGCAGCTACTCCAAAATTTGTTAAATTGATCATAAGCTTATTGAAATCCTATGCATGTTGTTAGTTACACATTGTTTTTGTGAAATCTGTCGCTGATGCTTACTTTGGGTGCTTGAGGGACAGCCCCTGGCGTACTAGTTGCTCCATCTTGTCATTCCATGGCATGGACGCACTTAACATCAGGGAATAGATACCCAGGCACTTGCACTGCACCACAGGGTATAACAGGGGAGAAATGGGCACAAAATACAGTGACTTTGTTGCAGAGGTGAAGTGGGGACAGAATCGACACGCACAGCTTTACTTATCAGATTACTGCATTGATTTCAATATGTTTTGTAGATAGATGCCCTTAGTGATAAAAATGCAAACTCTTGGTTTTATTGAAGGACCCTTTTGCATCATTTCAGTTACATGCCCCTACTTTTGTGCATTCATCTCACAAACAAATCTCCTGTGAATTTCTAAAGAAAAAAAAACAACTGAAAATAGTATTGGATTCACTCTGTAGGCCTGCACAGATTAAACTAGTGCGCCAATGCAATGGCTCTGCTTATAGTAAGGGAACAATTCCTGCTACCGGGAATTGTAGCTGAAAATGTTGCTCTAATGGTGAGCAGATTGCAAGGGTTAGCAAGGAATTTTAGCTTTCACAATGAAGAATTTTGTGCTTACTGCATTTGCACAGATTTTCTGTGCGAGAGCTGTAAGCAATTATGGTGATTGTAAGCCCAGAATTTTGAGTTTAAAAGAGCTATGAAATTGGTCTCATAGTCTATACAGTTCCTGTACAAAATCCATTACATTTCTGTGGTTACTCGACATGATTCAATCCATGAAAACAGAAAAGAAAACATATCCCCCCAAAAAACAACATGTTGAGAAATCTTTGTAACACTTTAAATGGTGAACATGTATGTGAGCTTTTAGGGCTTTGCAAGAAATGTTTGAAACCAGAAAGGAAAATAAATCTGGCATATGCTGTGCAAAGAATCAATAACTTCTTGTTTATAGCTAATTAACCTAAAGCTGCATGTGTTCTTTACAGGTACTTTGCATTATTAAAATTGCATGAAAATAAAATATTAAAAATATAGAAATATATATGTATAATTTTTAACATGAATGTAAAAAGTCTATTGATAGTTTCAAATTTGTCCAAATAATGGTGAGTAGTACAGCTTATACAATTTTTAGTCAATCTAATGCTAATTTGTGAAATCAGGACAGATTCTTACCTCAATATCTTTGATGCAGTGGATAATGGCTATGGCTTTGGCTTCCCAGAATGCCTCGTAAACATAGGTGGCTCTGCGTCCCTGGGCGTAGCAATTCAACAAGTCCTGCAAAGGTGTCAAATACAAACATGGCAGTGTCAAAATGATTAATAGGGTGAAACTGTGAAGGGGACAATTCGGAATGCAAACAGTTTGACCTTACCACAGTTTGAAACTACCACTGCTACCTTTGCACAAGTACCCAATAAACAGGGATAATGAGACATTTAATCTAACCATCCTGCAATTTAAACAGTCACAGACAATCAAAATTTCCATCCACTTCCCCTGCTATACTTTTAACACAGGCTAGTCACCACCAGTCAGATCACATGTCAAGCAAGCACATGTGACTAGTCAAACTCAGTCAACAGACCATGCACAGAAAGAGCAGGCAAGTTGTGGGCACAGCTGGTTTTATCAATTACCCCAACCAAAGCATTATAGCTGTATCAAGTTACTTAATCAGTCGCAGCAAGTCAATCCTGCTTTATGTAGGCTGGGAATTCTTAACTGTGGAAAACAGTCACTTGATTGATTTTGACTGAAAGGACTACGTACTTGGCACAGAATGTATGTTTGCATAGGAGGGTTAATCTTCACAATTTGGTTCTTTTTAAGGCAATCAAAAAGGGGGAAATACTGTTTACAAAAAAGTATAAGAATATTCTAAACAGTGCAGTCCAACATTTTTTTGTAATTAAGTGTATGCACCTAATGCAAAACAGGAACTGTGCTTGAATTTTATTGGTAGCTTGTACCAGTTTGTACCTTTTACTTTTTAGACGTTAAACTACCCTTTTCTGGCACAGGGTCAGTTTGCATGTGTATGCAAGATTGCTAATCCCAAAGAGAAAATTGTGACACCTTCATATATGCAGCTGGATTACCTCCATGTACATGTGTAACTGGCTTATTTAAAGAGGTTGTGGAATGCTCGAAGACATTTCCGTCATTTTTCGGGTATATGTAGCCTAAGGTGTGATGAAATAAAAACGACTATTGTGTCTGTCATGAAATGAGTACAAAAGGTACTTTTGAGAGCTGTTTTTCAGGTCCTGTTTCGACCCGAATGTGCAATTTATGTAAAAGTCGTCGTTGGGGGCAGCAAACAAAACATAGTAAATCATGACGTAATAAACAGGACTCCCGGTGCAGCGTAGTATAAACGAGTCCTGTTTATTACGTCACGATTTACTTTGTTTTGTTTGCTGCCCCCAACGACGACTTTTACACAAATTGCACGTTCGGGTCGAAACAGGACCTGAAAAACAGCTCTCAAAAGTACCGGTACCCTTTGTACTCATTTCATGACAGACACAATAGTCGTTTTTATTTCATCACACCTTAGGCTACATATACCCGAAAAATGACGGAAATGTCTTCGAGCATTCCACAACCTCTTTAAAAAAGTCTGACCATCATTTTATTTCAAACTTCACAAGGCTTGTGTACTCCAAATGAAACAGACAAACTGACTGACCTGTATGTATTGCAGTAGTAGCTTATCCTCATTCAGATTGTGTTCCTGTATGTAGGGTCGGATCAGCTTCTCAATGGTGCTTCTGATCAGTTCAGGGGCTGCCACACGGTCCAGCATGCGGAATACCATCGTGCTAGTGGTTTCCTGAAAAAGCAGAAAGAGCAATAAACATTTTTATTGGGGGGGGGTGGAAGGTTGCACTAAGGCTTATATTTCAAGTGCTTGACATAAACTGGAATTTGGCATTCACATCATCTGACTACAATACACAAGTTCATTAGGAAAGGTGATTGTGATAACTATTCCAGTGAAGGGAGCATAGCCTGTACTGTGATAGAATGAGGATGTAATGTTTGCTACAAATTTGTGATATCATGAATACAAGATTTTCGTAGTATTTATGGGGATTTGACTCAAAGAGAGCTGTCTCCTTATGAAAATGTCATTAATCACTGAAACAAAATGTGCCAGATAATCTCTTGCCCATGCATCTTCATATTCACCAGAATTAATAATGTACTATTAAAAGAACTGTTGTACAGTGAAACGGCGCTATACCAAACACCGCTGTACCGAACGTTTGGCTATACCAAACATCGTGCTTAGCTCCTGATTTTTGTGTACAAAACGTACCGAACATTGTTGCTGAAATGTGTCGACAGAAGAGCGACAAATGGCTATTATTTTCCCAAGGAATTGAAGTGGAAAGCCATCCATTGCTGTACTAGTAGTAAGCTCAAAAAGTGTGTTATGACATAATTCAATGGTTGGCGCATGTTAAGTCGTCTTTCAGTGACTTCCAGGGCATGCAGGGTGAAGTTCTGAAGGGCGCTATTTATTGAAAAGTGAGTACCGGAGCACCAGCAGCTTAAAATCACTATATCGAATGATCACTTCTACGAACAATATTTCAGGTGGATCCCGCGATGTTCATTATAGCGGCGTTCCACTGTATATAATTAATGTATAAGTTTGTATTTTATAAGCTTGACATTTTAATAACACACCCATGTATTTTTTGTGGAGGGGCAAGCCAAGTAAAAGCTTCAGCTTACTAACCCCCCCCCCCCCTATTGCTCGAGTATACGTCTATCACGGCATCAAAATACCCATCAAACTGGAATTCATTGGTAACACTAATTGTTCTGAAAAGAAACTAGCCTATTTCAAATGGGGCATTCTCAAAGGAACAAGATTGACCAGAGGTCTTGAGACTCAGACACTCACTTTAATGCCGTAAAAAAAGAAAAAGATTTACCTGCGAGTACTCAGCCAAGGATAGCTTGCATTGGTACTTGCTGTGCAGTCGCAGTAATTCCTTCAGGTTCTTGATCAGCTCCTGCAGTCTACACACAGCCTCTGTGCAGTCATACTCAGTATTTACCATCTAAAAAAAGGAGGTTGTGAAACAACGTTAGGCAGGATTTCTTTATTAAACCAGACAGTTTATAGCTGTTTCTATTTGTTGAAGACATTGGTCTTTTCTGTTGGTCGGAGGCCAGCCTGGACTCCATGGGCGCGTGCGCGTTCCTTCACTAACCCATGGCCGTGATGAACACGTAAACGACACTGACCGGCTATTCAGAGAGTACTGCGCGTATTTCGAAGACTGCACGCCACATATTCGCTCACGCGCTATGCAAGTACGAACATTTTTTCAAAACTGAGCAATGCCTGTACGATATGGATTATGGTATAGTCTCGTTTTTCGCCCCAAAAACCTGTATCCTCGGTTGAAATGGACGAAAGAGGTACCGGTACGTACATTTAATACAAATCCTTGCTAAGTAACGCGACGTTGAAAGCTTGTGTTTGAAAGGATTGATTCTTCAAAAAAAAAACAACTGTCAACATTTTAAGCACTGTGTTGCGCGTTAGATACATCGACTGCAGTCCTAATGTAAATGTGCCACTATTTGACACATTTAAATTAGACATTTCCAGGGGTTAAGATCGCACAAGGCATGATGGGAAACAACATGGCACAGCAAGATCGTACCCATGGAACCAATGTTGGTCGGAGGCAGAGGGGTATGTAACATGGAGGACCATTTGAAATGATGTGCTTACAAGATACGTCTGCACTTCGGAAAAAGGTGCTGATTACATTACCATTTTGTGGTAATTTCACTAGGCCATATCTACATCTCAATATTTTGATGTAAGATGTACACTGTTGATAGTGTACACAATAAAATATCCACACAAAATAATAATTTAACAGGCGACTTTTCTGAGATGCATATTTTTCTGAACGCACGTCATTTCTAACGTAATCTATTATTTTCTATTCATCATAGTTAACCTGTTTCTATTGGTCAAGGGCCTGTTAACATGGGTGGCTTTACATTGTAAACTGTCGTTTAAACACTGGTCAGTGTTAAAAAAAACCAGTGTTCAAACATGCGCTTCACGTCACATGTGCAGTATAAACCGTGCGTGCCGGCTATAACCCAGTGCTACAAAAGCACATATTGTTTACAAGTGTTTAAATGGCAAATCAAGTTACAAGCTTGTTCAATCTATGACACTGATACAGAGTGTATGAACAAAATCTGCTTCACCAAGTGTGCATATAACATTTAAAAATGTGGACTATACCCTAATTTGCATTACAAATGCTGAGGTTTCGACAATAAGAAACCTATTTTACATTTAGCATGTGACCATGTACGTGTTCTACATAACCCCCGAGGACAGACACACAAAGGGAGAACAACAGATCCTTTCAGTCCTTGGGAGTTGGGTCTTTTGTTGGAAACGGTCCTCTGTAGTAAGTTTGTGTGCTGAGTCTATGGGAGAGTGTTATATTACAGGGAAAAAGGAAAACACAAAGCATTGTCCTCAGAGTATAGTGAAACAAGAGTGAGTGAGAAAGAACTGGGATGCAGGCTAGAAACGCCAAATATTAACACCCCCATAAAAACTCCATGCTGCCGAGTTGTGTATTGAAGACACTCACCTCTTTTTCAACCTGATCCTCACTGGCAAGTTTTCTTGAATTCCCAGCAGAAAGGTTGCAGACCTGCATAACAGGTAGTTAAAAGGTGTTATTGGTCATCAAAAACAGCAGTCACTATCTGAGCACAGAGTGAGGACCAATAGTTAAATCTTAAAGAATAAAGAATAATGCAAAAAATAAAGAATAAATGCGAACAATGAATGGGAGGTTTGCGGTAACACCATGTGATGACTGATGAAGAACAGAGCATACTGCTTGAAACTTTGAGTAAAACCAACTAGTTCTTCTCAGAACCACACAACTTAAGCCCCAGTCACACATTTACGGTTTAGAGCTAGGGATCTTCACGGTTTGAAATCTGTGATAAACCATGGGAGTACCGTATTCATCATTAGTACACCCATGGTCTTCCTTGGGTATTCGTGGAGGAGCTACGGAAGTTGCAAACTGTTCATAACTTCCGTGGTGAAACAACACATGAATCAATCTGTAGTGCAACCGTGGGACATCCGTAAGACAACCGTACTGATTCGTAGTGTTATTCGTGGCTATTCGTACAAATTCTTGGAGATTCGTAGCTCATTCGTGGTAGAAATCTCTACAAATTCGCTATGAATGTCTTGCGGATATGCCCTGAAACTGTAGTGCATTCTTAGAAAGTCAATTTCGCCACGAATCTCGACGGTTCATCGTGATCGATTGATTCTTGGTAAACCATGGATATTCATAGCTCCAAACCCTAAATGTGTGACTGGGGCTTTTCAAAGAGATATCATTCACATGGTGTTACCTTAAGTCTCATTTAAATGCAAACAGTTGGAAATATTTGATATCTGACTATAATTTCACCCTCTACTGTTTTACTAAAAAGTATTTGAATGGGTGATTTATTTCACAATGAAAAGTTCAAAGCAATGGCCGTTGGAGGCATTTCTTCTCCACAGCCTACCTCAGTGGCAAATTGGGCTGGTGTGGCGAGATGCCGACTTTGTGCTGCAGATGACTTGGGCTGACCGGCGGCAAAGAAGAGCTTGGCAAACTCCAAGGAGTTACTCGGCCAATGTACCTGGTGGCAATAAAACAATGTGATGTTAACAAAAGGATGGCATAAAGATGCAGTAGATATTAAAGTCACGAAAATAAGAGGGAAAAATATAAAAACTCAAGTCCCATTTCTTCTGTTGCATATGCAATATATAGCAAGAAGACAGAAAACTTTAATCATGAGTTGCCCAATTAGTCCATTTTCAACATGTTTTAAGTTGGAAATGAACCACAAAGTAACTAATAAATCACAGCCTTTTACAAATATCAATCCATGACAAAAACAATAACAATAATTCATTTATTTATCCCTATACAAAACCTGTACCTTTTCTGATATTTCCATATTCCTGGCCCTCTCTTCCATCCAATAGGCCAAGAATTTCTGTCAAAAATGAAAAATAGCATGTAAATACAACATAATGTACACATACACATGGAGATGACGACATTTTGTAAAGTCAGTAGTGCTTGCTTATTCTCTTTATTCAGGTATGCAATAGTCCGAGTATCATCCATTGTTCAACGGAGTCCTCTCTGTAAACAACATCTGATATATGTGAGCATACAAATTTTGTGCTACCCCAAGCGCCAGCCAATCGGAGTTGACTTTAGAAACTGTGACGTCATTTCGATCAGAAATGTGGACTAAGCTGTTAATTGGTCAGTTTGGCTGCCATGTTTTTTTAATATAACGGGCTACGGAAGACTCGATAGAAGACAACCGCATGAATGGTCAGAATCTCGTTGTCAAGACGCAGCCTTGTTTTGCATAATAAATCGTCGAATCTGCTCGCCTATCACAGACCCTTACTATACAAGGGGATATTCTAAGGGGACATTCCGTAGATTAGGGTGCAAGTGGGGGAGTAACCAAACAAGGAGGAAATTCCAAGCTTTACAAGACTTTATACAGTGTTTTCCAATTTGTAATGACATTTATAAGTGTAAAGTGAAAAACGAGGAAATCATGCCTGGTTTCTTCAGATTTCAATTGACAAGCAGAAATATAGTATTTTCTTCGGTTATGTAACAAAGACACAGTTCATCAAGTGCAACAGAGCAGTTACGCTCCAAACATACATGTATGTTAAATTCTTTTGATTTCTTTTTGGTCGGGTGCACCTTTAAATACGGGTACGGTATATATTGGTCATTCTTTCTTTTTCTTTTTTTGTAGTCACTGTTACGTTGGGGTATTTTGTGTTTGCTGTGTGCTCTCCTCCAGCCTCGCGTCTGCACTGGTCTTCTAATTTGTAAGTGTAACCCAATATTATAATTTATCTTCTTTTGTTAATTTACTCTTGGTTTATCTTTGTAAATAGTAAATGTGTGTATTATGAAACCAAAATCTGGGAGACGCCCCCGAAGTCTGTCTTGCTCTCCGTGTGTTTTCTTTGGTTGTTCTTTTACTTAGAAACCTCACGCCATGCCCCAGCCTGCTCGGCCCGTTACAGTTATTATGGTATCTCCAACTTGGACCAGAAATGGTTTATATATCACTGGCCAGTCAGGACACTGAGAACTAAGCCCATTCTCAAAATTTGACCTGGTGTTCTTAATACACATGTTGTATGCCCGTTTCAAAGCAGTCACAATCAGTTAAGCAAATCGTCTCACCTTGCCTCGAGGAAACCTGTGAATGACAAACGGAATGAGATCCTCTCTGAGCCAGGGTATGATCTGGGCAGACGGTGTGCTCTCAGGGACCGAACACAGAATGGATTCCAGGATCTCGTCGCCGCCGGATAGCAACTTACTCTCAATGGCAGCCTGCAAGACAAACCACAAGACACTTTTGATGAGACAAAAACCTAATGTTTCAACATGTTGGTTAATTGAGCAATTGATGCATTTCACAGGAAATGACTGCGCTTCATACTGAGGATCAGGTTATTTCATCATGTCACCAACGAGTTACAGCCAGTCTGGCAATCCTATACCACTGACAACACGGATCAGACAGAGGAGACTGCAGCTCCTGGGTCACGTGGCACGCGTGGATGAGTGTTTGCAAAACAAGTTATACAAGCTGCTTCACTCAGAGATGGACCCCTGGGCTGGAGGAGACCAACAGGAAGGCCTCGCTTGCCTTGGACGTCCCAAGTCTCCAGTGTCCGGCCACTGGCAGAACTATTGGATTTAGCGCAGGACCGGACAGCTTTCAGCCGTTTAGTTACCACGGTCACTTGATGTCCTTGCGAACATTTGTTGTTGTATAGTTAGGACGCATAATTTTTTTTTTGTGGAAATTCTGCAGCCCTTTGCTTGGGGTAAATTCTATCGCATAAACAAACATTCCTAAAGTTTCTCTCTGGTAGACTCCTGATAGAAAGGACAGAGGAAGGCTAAAAACGTGAAGTAGAACTCACATGTTATACCATGATATAAAGAAACAGTAATTAGGCTGGAACAAGCTGAGCAGTAAGAAGTAATGGATGAGCTCTGATCCATTTAAAGATAGAGTAAATATATCCCATAGATGCACTTTTTTCATGAAATTAACAAGGTTTTAGGTACAAACCTTGTGCCTTCTCCAAATGATGACTGCTTTGGCAATGTGGGCCATGGACAGCCAGTGCAGTAGCTCCTCTAGGAGGTCGGCATGCAGAAAGCGATCCCACTGATTAGCACTGAAAACAAACATAAATGTGAAACAAGTTAAAACCCCTGAGGCTGAGGATATTTGCACTGATATTATTCATAAGATGGAATTTGCGTATAAATGATGGAACCGACGTATAAATACTGTGTACTCGGTGTATTACCCCCCAAGTGAAAGTGAGAAAACCTCACTCAGGTGGGACTCGAACCCACTACCTCCTGCTTTCTAGTGCAGGCATCTTACCACTCGACGGTTCGAATCACTTTCACTCGGGGGTAACACACTTGAGTATACAGTGTTTATGCGTCGGTGAGGGGCAAAACCCAACATTGAACTTACATCACCCAGACGCAAATTCCATCTTATGAATAATTTCATTGCGGTACCCGCTATCAAATCAGATTCGAACCAGCCAAGCGATCAGATGGTCCCAGGAGTTCGAATCCAGGTGTACGCCACACGTTGTGTCCTTGGGCAAGCCACTTCAACAATGCAAGCCTCTTCCAACCCAATGTGTATACATTAAGACTGGCATTAGCTGAGGAGTAATCTATGATGAATTGGCATCCCATCCAGCCTCTTCATACTCACATAGAGAGTTGACAAAAGAATGGCCAAGTTTTGTGAAATAAATCCATAAAATATCATTTTGTTTGAGTAAAATATTTTTAAAAACTCATGGTGACATTAACTTTAACTTAGATTGTGAGAAACAATTTTGAGACTACATTTTCCTCCATGCGTGTTTTCATTATCCAATGCATTCTTACCCCCCAGAAATTTCAGAATTGTTTTGATGTGTGTGCTGTTCCTGATTCTATATAAAAAAAAACATCATGCCCTTAAAAGTATTAACAACAGTAATTCAAACAACAAGTTTTCTGAGACATTCTAAGACCAGGGATAATACCTGAACTGTTGATAGCCAAACACCATTTGGAATGTTGTGAGCCGATGAAGCACTTCCAGAACCTTTTGGCAAGAAAACAAAGCAAGAATATCAATACATGTAAATAATTAATATCAAATGCAATCAATAATCAAAAGTTATAACAAGTTCTACCCTTCACCGACGTACACTGTATACTCAGTGTGTTGTGTCACGAGTGAAAATTGGAAAAATCCCTCGGGTGGGACTCGAACCCATGACCTCCTGCTTTCTAGCGCAGACGTCTTGCAGGAGGTCGTGGGTTTGAGTCCCACCTGAGTGGTTTTTTCCAACTTTCACTCGGGAGGTAACACACTGAGTATACAGTGTTTATTCGTCGGTGAAGGGCAAAACCTTATTTGATTTGTATCACCCCGACGCAAAAAATTCCATCTTATGAATATAACAAGTTTGTTCAAAAGTGAGTTTATTTCATAATTGACTGGATTTTGCCTTCTCTGATATACATGTAATGCTATCAGATCTATTCAGTACCGCTGACTCAGGGCAAAGTCACTAAAGCCAGGGATGTAGTCGAATCCATCACAAGTCCATCACAAGTCCAGCCACAAGCGATTCAAGATTCCATTCACAAGTAACAGTGGATGAACAATAACAAAGGAATGCCTTTGCCAAAGCTCATTTGAATAGATTGTGAGTTGAATTGGGACTGGAGGACTTGTGATGGACTTGCAGGGACTTGTGATACACTCAACTACATCCCGGACTAAAGCTGGTCACATTTTTAACTCCAGCAAATTTTGCTATGAACATTTAGTGATGTCAGATACCTGTCGCACTTGCATGCACTCAAAGTAGGAAATGGACGTAAGATTTTTGTCCCACTATGAAAGAGTACATATCTAGACTGAGAATTATTGGCGGAAATCTGGCTGCCAATGTCATGTTTGAGTTAAAGGGTTTATTCCATTATAAATTAAAATTCAGTTTCTGTGGATTTATTCAACCAGTGAGCCAAGAGTGCACACTTACCCTGGTCATAAGTGGGGAGGTGGAGAGGTGGCTATTATCGGCTGGCTGCCCCGTTGGCAACTTCTTGGAGAGCTGTGAAAAAAAACACAAACGAAACTTTTAAAGTTGTACCACTTATGCCAAAACCCCATGTTTCAAGAATTTTTTATATTGAAAATATTGCCGTCGTAAGTTGTATGTGCATGTACAGTGTACTTATGGTGTGTCTGCAATAGCTTTATCTACAAACTACTCAGGGAAGTACATGAATGTTACGGAGAAAATGGCTTCACTTGTTAAATAAAAAAAACCAACTAATGAAACATTACCAGTAGGTAAACTTGTCATACATAGTACTTCAATGTTTTTTTTCAAAACACAGGATTAGTTTGAAGTGTTTTTTTTAGTCATACAATTCAGGTACATAGGCCTATAGATTTGAAAAATCTCTCGGACCTCTTAATTTGACAAACCTCTATTTTAACCGAAGTTTTTTTTGGGAATTTTGACCTTTTTTAACTAATCTGCATCTGTATAGCCTAAGACATCACCACAGATTTATTTTTAAATTCCGACCTTTCTGACAAGCAAAACCTGTGTGGCACAGTGTCTACTATATTTATATGCCTTATAAATAATCCAGCCCGACTGTGGGGAATGCTTTTGGCATACAGCATTGTAAACTGAGAAAAGTATTGTGGCCAAGGGGGTTAACAATGCAAATGCTAGACTAGTCCAAAAAATTGGGACTCTGTGTATGAGAGTCCCAAAACTTAAGGTATTACAAACATGCAATACAAGAAAACAGACTGGCACCTGAAACAGCCAGTCCAACAACCCTTCAGTACTGCATCAATCAACTGTGCCAAAAGAATCACCTGGCATGTCTGGTACTGGTCTCTATTTCTAAACATTTCTCCATAGTCAGCCACCAGACTAATTGAGAGGTCAGTCTTTTCAAACAGTCGGACCATGGTTGGACATGTACCAGTCTAGTCTTTGGCCTCAAATTGATATCACTTGACTTCCCTCTCAGGTGCAAAATATCGAAGAAAAGTCTCCTCTAAAAATTGAATTGAGACTTTGGTGAAATACTGAGGACCTTGTCTTTGCCTCATGAAAATTCTGGAGAATTTTGTCAGCCAAAGAGCGAGTAAAGTTGGCCTGAATTACTGTTGCATGTTTTTCAGCACTCAAGGTCCCAGTCTGATGCTAGACCTACCCTAGCGTGAGCATAGCTGATGAGCTGGAACATGGACTCATAGGTAGGCAGGGTGGCCTGGGCGCACTGCTCCACAACGAAGGCCTCGTCAGGGATGTGGTCCAGACACTCTATTAGCTGGACGCTCAGTGATGATGACCCCTGGTTGTCAGGGTCCAGACGCAGGGACTTACTCCAGGGGGACGCCTTCTCAAGGAGAATGCTGGCTTGGACTTTAAAGACAAGCTGTTGAAGAAAAAATAAATGAGGGATAAATAATAAGAAATCAGTAAAAGCCCTATAATTGAATTGTTTTAAAAAGAGGTGGAAACCTTGCTTTTTTTTTCAATTATAAAAAATACGTTGTGAAGGGCAAAATCCATTATTGAATTTTGTGGGAAAATTCAACGTCCATTAATTTTCCAGATGATGTTTATTTTGCACACAGTTTCAAGTGAGAAATTCCACTTCTTTTGTGACTAGATTTCTTGATCAGATGATTATGCCATAAAAATTAAATAAACGAGACTATACCACCGAGACAATGTGTGTGAAGTTGTAAATGGAAAATGCATCGAAGTAGATATGTCTTGGCTTTGAACATGTTGAATATTGCAGTTGAAATTTCAAAGTAGCTAACAGTCCATCACGAGCTTGTTTTCCGTTAACACTGCATCATATGTCCACCACTTTGGTCCATGTTTTAACACCTTTTTTTTAGGAGGAGATCCGACGACTCTTTGCAGAATATGAGACGACTATCTACTGTACGTTGAATTGATACATATAACAGTCACCATACCATTAGTACACCTACGACGCATCGCACGTACAATGTGGTTTGAGAAATGAATCGCAGGATGCGTCGCAGCTGCGACACATCGTAAGGAAACAATGCGTCGCAGTGCTGCGATGCATCATAAGTTACGATGAGTTTCATGAAATCGGTGAAGGCCCGAACCGGACTGAAACCACATGTTTACAATTAGTCCATCAATCCACTTATCACCTTTCCCTGTTTATGGACGACAAATATCCATTAACAATGCCTGAAAACCGAACCCACCTCCTCCTCCAGTTTGAAGAGCCGGGCAAACTGCAGGGCCTCCTCAAACTTCTGCTTGTGCAGGAGGCGGTGGAACCGCGTCTCAGGGAGAGCCTCCGTCAGACATCGGACACGCAGAGTGGAGATCAGGTCGGTTGGGGTTCCAATATGATCCTCGTCATTGTCATATGAACCTTCTATCAGAAAGATGGTTTCCTAATAAGTGAATAAGAAAATGTGCTGTATGAATTTTGATATTCCATTTGAGATAATCAAAATCCTCACCATCTACCATTAAAATTTCACAAAGAACAACTGCCAAAATCTAGTTTTGATCCGATCACAATATATTCAAGCTAATGAACACACATTCTCTTTCTCGTGTCCGAGTGCAAAAATTTCAAAAGTTGATTTGATTTGTCTTGTAGATAGTGCTCTATAATGCCACAGTGGCTTGGCTACACTTGCCAGGGACTGGCTAAATCATGGACACATACAAGTCTTGGACAGCGTATGTGATGCGATCAAGCTAAATGAGTCTTTTATCCACCCTGGTCAATTTTTTTTTTTTACAGATTTGAAAACAGCACAGTCTAAGCATTACTGCTGTGAAAACCGCAAGCTGGTACCATCTTTAGGTCAGAAATTACGGAGTCAGAACACCAAGAGATGTGATGAAGTGATGTGATGAAGTGGCCCTATTTTTGCCTGAATCTCCAAATGAAAGTTCCTGACAAACGACTCATTTAAGCTTGATCGCATCACAAATACTGATCATCATCACTCATTAGCCCCCTCCTCTTTTTTTGTTGTATAAAACTAAACATCCAGACTTAAATCACCTGATTTGGCAGCACCTCAGCCAGTGTGGTGAACCCACACACAGTCAGCGTATAGATGCACTGCAGGCCTGGCAGGGTAAAGACTTTCAGATGGCAGTCTGGTTCCGGCCTGGTCAGGACTACCAGCTGCAGCTGGGCCTGCTCTGCCTTCAGGTTACTGTCAGAAATTAAAAAAAAAAAAATAAGGTTGAACACGGAAATTGGATTGAGGTTGGGTCCTGCAACCTTCAGAAGACTGTACCGTTGCACTACCAACGGAACTATCCAGGCCTATCCGCTCTGTTCACAAGCACCCCCTCACCGGCAAAGGAAGTACAGTTGGGGGTGACCGACCGACGCCATCTTGCCTGACTGCAATTCATTTGCCGCGAAGCGCGGCCACTGCGTGTAAATAGTACAAATCTCCTGGTGTACGTGCGTCACACACAAGGAACGGTGCGCGTCAACCAGTGAAATGTTCCGCCCATGGGACGTCGTTGTTAGGTGAAAGGGCGCCCTCTTTTGGTAGCGCAAGGAGCTTATACTGGCAGTCTTCTGTTTGCTTGATATCTTTGTTCAAGGAGCTCCAGTCAGAAGCCATAATCCAAAGAGGATTCCACTTTTGTACTGAATACGAACATCGGAGCACTTCGAAGGGCTTGAACTTTTTCATTTATTCAACATGATTTTAACCGGAACTTAGATCACCTTTACATCACAGATTGCCTACCACAAAGTATTTTTTTTTGCATTAGTAGTTGGCAAAAAATTCTCAATTATGTATTTGGTCATTGAATTGTAAACTTTTCAACCTCGTGGGAGTCATTTCAACAGTAATCCCGCAGTCCTTGCTTTTCCTAATTTTGAGAAATGCGACATTTCTGCAGATAACCAAAATGACGTTCTAGATTAAGAATGCAGAGTTTTTGCATGACAATACTACAGATGGTTAAAGTACAAATTTACCAATCATTTACCATATTGTAGGAAGTGCAAATTGCAGCTCAAAACAGATTGTGTTGTGTTTTTGTGTGTAGCAAATGTCCCCCCCCCCCCCATTGATTGAGTAACTGCACTTGACTACCTGTTCTTTTCACCAGTGTTGACAGAGTTAAAGTTCATCAAGAGAAAGTCCTGCACTGCTAGGTCTGGCCAGAAGGCGACCATCAGGAGTGACTGCAAGTCCCAGGCGCTGAGCGTGTGCTGCAGATGAACAAGGAAAAACAAGAGCTATAGTACATCAGAAATTGTTATACTAAAGTATTAGGTTGTGAAAATGTATTGGTTGAGGACTGTTCACGTGACGTATTGCAAAAGTTCATGTATGAAGACCTGATGGAATACCCAGATGTATCCAGGTACACCACCTTCCAGCGTTACCAAAGACTTGAATGTTTTTGTACCCCCTGCTTTGAGTAATACAGCTTGAATAGACCTTGGGCACTCAAACATTGTCAGGTAACAGGCAGAGCATAATACCTGAAAATCCCACAGGTTCTTCTCAGAACCACAGAAACTCACAAAACCAATCTGCTTTCACATGGTGCAACCACGGTCGATCTGACACTTGTTGCTCACTTTACCATGTACACTTTCAAATCTTATCAAAGATAATATTCTACACAAAAATGAAAGTAAGAATATTTCTGACAAAGGAATCTCATCTGTTTTTCAAAGATTTTTAAAGACATCTGCAGATTATACTCACACTGTCGTCAAGCAGAAAGAGAAATCTGCCATCACCACTTATGCGGCACTTTCTTATACCTCCACCTGCAAAAGAAAATTGAAATGGCCAGAGTAAAGTGCGGAGTGCAACAAATTAATGAAAATTAATTTTCAATTATATCCATCAAGTTCATGCACATGTGTTCAAATACTGCAGCAGATTTCACGAAACTTTACACAATGGCGTAACCCCACTTACGCCACTTTTACAAATTTTATTGCATAAGTTGCCAGTTTTCATAAGTTGCCTCTTGGTAAACAGCAAATCTAGAAGCTGACACGTGATGGTGAATGGACTAGTGAGAACTCGGCTCTCGATCATAAATATAGTTGAGGTATAGTAAAACTTGATAACACACTCCACAATTATTTTAACTTTAATGGCATTAGATTTCCTGCTCAATGCATCTAAACTGATGTGCAGCATCATACTGTAAACTTTAACTTACCGTCAAAGAAGTCACTGCCAATCTGTCTGATGAGGTCTACTGCTTTGTTGGTTCGCAACCACAAGCCTACAACAGCCTCTCCATAGCCCTGTGAAAATGCAAAGAATCCTCACGATTAGTGATGGGCAAAAACTTTAAACAAGGTCTGACTACATTAACCCATTAGCACTTGAATTAAACACCGCCAAAAATTGTAATCTGATCGTCTTATGGTAACATCATTCATATAGACCTCTGGGGAATTTTGTTAGCTACAGTTTGATATCCTGTTTGCTACCAAAGACTGTAAATCGTCCAAGATGGTTTATGAAAAATGATGCACTCGGAAAAGTTACAAATTTAAAAGATTACGGAAGTGGAAATGGCGGCGTGACAATGTTACACTGCTCGAAATGAACGCCAGGGAACATCGATCGCACAGAGCTTGTATGCAAATGATCCGCGCTTTGTTTGGGCACTGCACAATTGATAGGGACCAATTACAGTCATACGTGGTTATTTATAGCAATTTCTCCTCATGTAATCTTTCAAATTTGCAACTTTTCCAACTGCATCATTTTTCATAAACCATTCAACCAGTGCCTTTTTTCAGGTGTTATCACCTTCTATTGGGTATTAAATTGACCAATCAACAGCTCAGTTCACAATTCTGAAATGACGTCACAATTTCTAGAGTCTACTGCAACTGGCTGGTGGGAGGGGTTGCATAAATTTGCTTCGCACACACATATTAGAAATTTGTAATGTGGCTCTGCACACATGAATGTATGATCTGTAGACTAGGTGGTTTGGGACAAATGGGTTATTAAAGTACTACATGTACATGTGTATGTCACTGTGACCAACAGGAAGGTTTCCCCTTGACTTTACTTTATTGTACTTTTTGAATGAACAGATGTAACTTTTAAGGGCTACAAGGCATAAATGTTATAAAAAAAGTAAATTGTAATGCTTATATATAGCGCTTTCCATCATATCAACAACAATTTCAAAACGCTTCACAATTATTCCCCCGTTCATCAGGCCACGAGACCACGCGGCAGCCGATATCAGCGCACATTCGGCCCTGTACCCTCACAGGTACCATACAAATTCATACTCCTGGTTAGGGAGAGGCAATTGTAGTTAAGTGTCTTGCCCAAGGGCACAAACACTATGTTCCTGGAACCCACACTCCATCGTACAAGAGTCAAACGCCGTAACCACTGGTAACCAAGGCATTCTACAATTTTTCTTATATTACCCTCCTATTCATAGTACACAAAGTACTATGTCATGAAACATTTATTTCCCTGCAGAAGTAAGATTTTTTTCAACAATCTCTCCAAACCTCAAACTATCACATACAAAAAAAGAAGGAAAAATTTGATGTTTCCAAAACATCCACTTTTTAGTTTACTTTTTAGTTTTTAACAATACTATTAGAAATTAGTCATTCTCCTCCCCCCCCCCCCCCAAAAGAGAATTAATCTCAACTTACACAAGTGATGATCAATGTCTTCTCCATGCAAGTTGCTGTGGTGAAGAAGCTGACAGACTCAGTGTGTGCCACGCTTGTGTCAAGACTCTCCATACAGATACGTCCCTGCAACTGGTTTATTTTTATGGTACACAAATTATGAAAATTCCAAATAAGGCACAGAAAATAATTCACATGTTGACAACTGAAGTTTTCATTATGATGTATGCCAATACCTTAAACAAATCCGCTTTACACTGAAATGTGTGTGAAATATTTGAACCGGCCTTATAAGCCAGCCGGGAATAGCAAAGTCACATTTTTGTGCGAGAACTGATTCTCTGAGAAGAGGGGCGCGTTCAATCGTGCAATACGTCAATAATTCGGACATGGCCATACTGTACCGATACCTTTGACAATGCTTCCTTTTACTTTGACCTACTTTTGACCTACTTGTGATTGACCTGTGATTTGACTGTGGTGGACTTGACTACAACTCTTTCGATTTTTAAGTACCTCTTTAGCCAGCTGCAGATCCCTTGCCTCAATGGCTGAAAATAATAAAACAATGGAAGAAGTGTTCATAATTCAGTTACTGATTACAGGTAAAGATTCTAAAAACGCACATCAGTAGCAGACTTCAAATTGCAACAGGAAGATAAGTGATTGAAAAGAGTTTGCTGCGTAGCACTGGATAGTAGACAATGTATAACAAAAAAATTAATATAGTGCTCACCGTTGACAGCTAATTGTGCCCAATTTTCAGACTTACGTCCTTAAGTCTGAAAAAAATTGGCACAACTATAAATGGTGAGCACTGTATTAACTTTTTTTTATAGATAAGTACATGTACATACCGGTACATGTAGCTTGAACACAAGTCTATCTACAATTATCATTCACAACAGTGGAAACTCATAATAATAGCTTTAGATAAAATTTGAGGGGGCCCCTTTAGGTAGAAGCAATACACTGATTCTGCATTTACATTTAGCACTGGATCTGTGCAGTACAGCTTGCATTACATGTACATAAAAGTATGTAGAGTGCACTGTGTATAGTGTATTGCATAAGTTAACCCTTCTACTATTTAAGAGGTCACAAACAGCCAAAATTTTTCTCACCTCCCGGCATACTGTGTACAAACCAATGGGGGTCTTTACCAATATTGACCCAAGAAATAACTAGGCTGACAATGCATGTTTCCATAGGAGGGTTTTAATCAGGATCATTTTGTGCTTACTTTCAGCATACCACTGTTTTCCAGTATGGGGCACTTTTCTTTGGCCACTTTTTTTTAGGTTTGTCTGGTGAAACTCCTGATATGTATAATGGTGAATATTTTTTGTCTGTGGAGGTTTCTTTGCATAAGGTTAGGTCATCCCTTTTTATTTCGATGGTTTTCATATTTTGTTGCCTCTGAAGTAGGGTCGTGTGTGACCCTGCACGTCCACTCGTGACTAAACTGCATCATGCACAAGCACTCATCCGGCAGGAAAGCCTGTAGATCATGGTTACATCGCACTGATTTAATTAATGTCTTGCAAAGAACATGTAAGTTACAACCATTTATCGTTTTTACTTATTGGCACGATATAACAAAACAATTGTTGACTGCTGTGATGTGGGATATGCTGTGTTTAACCCTCTCAAGGCGCATAGCACCAGCATCATATCCCACATTGCAACACTCAACAATTATTTAATAATAAACGTGCATAAAAAATACAATTTGGATATTAATACACATCATGTTACCTTCATTCAGTTTCTCTAAGTTGATATTGGAAAATCTGAAAAGTTGTCCATCTGCCAGGAGGATAAGCAGATCATGGACAGCTGCATGAAAGAAACAGAAAGGAATAAAACTGATGGGGGAAAAAATGAAATTAAACATGTAATGAATGTATATACATGTGTAAGAAGTTTTGAGGGTTGGTTTTAACTTGGGCAGGAAAAACCTGACCCAGGTTGACTCTAAAAAGAACGAGGTAAAAATTATACCTCATATGCATAATCATGATCGAGAGCCGAGTTCTCACTGGCCCATTCTCTATCACTAGTCAGCCCCTAATTTTGCTGTTTACCAAGCGCGCACGCGAGATTTCACGCACAGGTTAAATACGCATGCGTAGTAGACTTTCGTACTGGTTACCTGTTATACCAGTGTGCTAGTTTACTACAGGGTGAGTAAAAAAAACGAAACCCAAATGTCGGGACTACTGTTTTATTGAAGTTCTGCATGTAGCACTTTCAAAATCTGGGATATGAAAGCCAAATCATCAGCTTTCTTTTAGTACAAGAATCATTCAAATCACTTATGCACTTTTCAAATTACAGAATTTTAAACACAACCACCGTTTTAAGGTGGTTCGCACCCGCAAACATCGCCCCAGCAGCATGCAGCAGCTACATGATAAGATGGGGCACAACAACATTTTGCCGAGAAAACTTATGAGTGACTTCATAAAATGTTTGTGAATATGTATGAGGCATAGTAAAACATTGTTTAGGTTGGGTGGATAGTCGATACTACCTCCCTTGGTATTGGAAGTCGACAGACTAGTTCCCAGAGATGCCACCAACATATCAATAAAAAGCCTGAAACACTTCTAAAAAACCTGAAACTACCCTTACCCTCTTTCAAAAATGTGTTTTCTGGATGTTTCAGACCAAATCCAGCACTTTTAATATGTCACATTTTTTGGAAAAACCCTGAATTCAGGTTAAAACCTGAAAAGTGGCATCTCCGAGTTCCCCCTTTGTCTCGGGAACTACCGGTAGTCTGTCAAATTCCAATACCTCAGGGAGCTAATATTGACTATTAACCCTCAAACCATGTATATTTGTATAATATCCACTTGTCCAACATAGATCCACACTTTAGATGTTAGATGGGATGAAAACATCTTAAAAATCTGTACTTAGTGATGCACCTGGATCTTTGCTTGGTGAGAACATCATCTGCACAAAACATTTCCCGTCTTCTGTTTCACTCCCGGATTTCAAGACCTAAAGGAATAAAAGTGAAATTCTTAGTGATCGCATAATGTAATTATCTGTCATTAAACAATCTTTCCACAATAGATTCCTAATGATAAATTAAAAACCTTCAGATGAGTGTTTCTGAATAAACTTTTGCACATGCCAAATAATGTTTATGTAGGTTTAACATGAACATCTAACTGTTCTTTTGTAGTAGAGAAGTTTAAAAAAAAACCACCGTGAAACCTACACTGTACTTGTTATATTTGGTCCAAGACATATGTAGGCGTATATACTTACCAACTTTCTCTGGGCTCCAGAAAATACCTGCTTAAAAAAATTCACAAGACTTTCTTGCATAAAATACTAAGACGGCATAACAAAATGTGTATGAAACATACATGTGTAATTATGCAAGTAAATTGAAAAGATGTCCACACTTTCTTGAAATATCACTTTTTATCAAATTTAGGTTGCTTTTTGTTCACTGAAACTCTTCTCATCTACCATGTCTACATGTACATGTACACAATGGCATTCAGCCCTATTCATTGGCATTAAGGTGTAACCCTATATGATAGCACTGCCCTGCTCTCTTCTTCAGCCTACAAACAGAGCAAGGTCACAAGTGACAGTCAGTCAGTCAGTCAGTCAGTGAGATAGATGTACAAAGAGGCATCGTGCTGGCCCCTATCTGAGACCATTAAATTAGACTTCATGTGATGTGTTAAACTATAAGGCAACACATGCCACTTCAAACAATAACATGGAAATTAAATACATAGTTATACAATGACTCGAGACAAGAACATTCAAAACTTCTATTTATTTCAATTCAAGAAAAAAAAATCACACTAATTTACAAAACACTGAACACACACAAACATGATAGGGACGCAGACTTTTGAATCAGACTGTTTACTATTTTATTCAGAAAACCACAACTTTTTAAAACTTTTTTCTTGCCCGTACACCAGCTTTAGAGCCACTCAATGTGTGGGCTACAAGAGCCAGCCACTCAAGGTGTGGGCTACAAGAGCCACTCAAGGTGGGGCTACAAGAGACACTCAAGGTGTGGGCTACAAGAGCCACTCGAGGTGTTGGCTACAAGAGCCACTCGAGGTGTGGGCTACAAGAGCCACTCAAGGTGTTGGCTATACAAGAGCCACTCAAGGTGTGGGCTACAAGAACCACTCAAGGTGTTGGCTACAAGAGCCACTCAAGGTGTGGGCTACAAGAACCACTCAAGGTGTTGGCTACAAGAGCCACTCAAGGTGTTGGCTACAAGAGCCACTCAAGGTGTGGGCAACAAGAGCCACTCAAGGTGTGGGCTACAAGAGCCACTCAAGGTGTGGGCTACAAGAGCCACTCAAGGTGCGGGCTACAAGAGCCACCCAAGGTGTGAGCTATAAGAGCCACCCAAGGTGTGAGCTATAAGAGCCACCCAAGGTGTGGGCTACAAGAGCCACTCAAGGTGTGGGCTACAAGAGCCACTCAAGGTGTGGGCTACAAGAGCCACCCAAGGTGTGGGCTACAAGAGCCACCCAAGGTGTGTGCCACAAGAGCCACGCAAGGTGATGGCTACAAGAGCCACTCAAGGTGTGGGCTACAAGAGCCACCCAAGGTGTGTGCTACAAGAGCCACCCAAGGTGTGGGCTACAAGAGCCACTCAAGGTGTGCAAGCTACAAGAGCCACTTGATGTGTGGGCTACAAGAGCCACTCAAGGTGTTGGCTACAAGAGCCACTCAAGGTGTGGGCTACAAGAGCCACTCAAGGTGTGGGCTACAAGAGCCACTCAAGGTGTGGGCAACAAGAGCCACCCAAGCTGTTGGCTACAAGAGCCACTCAAGGTGTTGGCTACAAGAGCCACTCAAGGTGTGGGCTACAAGAGCCACTCAAGGTGTGGGCTACAAGAGCCACTCGAGGTGTGGGCTACAAGAGCCACGCAAGGTGTGGGATACAAGAGCCACTCAAAGTGTGGGCAACAAGAGCCACCCAAGGTGTGGGATACAAGAGCCACTCAAAGTGTGGGCAACAAGAGCCACCCAAGGTGTGGGATACAAGAGCCACTCAAAGTGTGGGCAACAAGAGCCACCCAAGGTGTGGGATACAAGAGCCACTCAAGGTGTGGGCAACAAGAACCACTCAAGGTGATGGCTACAAGAGCCACCCAAGGTGTAGACTACAAGAGCCACCCAAGGTGTGGGATACAAGAGCCACTCAAAGTGTGGGCTACAAGAGCCACTCAAGGTGTGGGCTACTCAGCCACCCAAGGTGTAGACTACAAGAGCCACTCAAGGTGTGGGCTACAAGAGCCACTCAAGGTGTGGGCTACAAGAACCACTCAAGGTGTGGGCTACAACAGCCACTCGAGGTGTGGGCTACAAGAGCCACTCAAGGTGTGGGCTACAAGAGCCACTCAAGGTGTGGGCTACAAGAACCACTCAAGGTGTGGGCTACAAGAGCCACTCAAGGTGTGGGCTACAAGAGCCACTCAAGGTGTGGGCTACAAGAGCCACTCAAGGTGTGGGCTACAAGAACCACCAAGGTGTGGGCTACAAGAGCCACTTAAGGTGTAGGCTACAAGAGCCACCCGACCCAAGGTGTGGGCTACAAGAGCCACCCAAGGTGTGCAGAGCCACCCAAGGTGTGCAGAGCCACTCAAGGTGTTGGCTACAAGAGCCACTCAACTTGGTGTGGGCTACAAGAGCCACTCAACTTGGTGTGGGCTACAAGAGCCACTCAAGGTGTGCAAGCTACAAGAGCCACTTGAGGTGTGGGCTACAAGAGCCACTCAAGGTGGGGGCTACAAGAGCCACTCAAGGTGTGGGCTATAAGAGCCACTTAAGGTGTGGGCTACAAGAGCACTCAAGGTGTTGGCTACAAGAGCCACTCAAGGTGTGCGCTACAAGAACCAACCAAGGTGTGGGCTATGAGAGCCACTCGAGGTGTGGGCTACAAGGGCCATGCACTTGAGGTGTGGGCTACAAGAGCCACCCAAGGTGTGGGCTACAAGAGCCACTCAAGGTGTGGGCTACAACAGCCACCTAAGGTGTAGACTACAAGAGCCACTCAAGGTGTGAGCTACAAGAGCCATCCAAGGTGTGGGCTACAAATTGAGAACAGAAACGAGTAAAAGAAATTGACAGAAGAGATGTTCACATTTCATTGGAATTGTGAAAGAAGGTAGAAGGGAAACAAGATTCAGAAAGAGTGCTTCAGAGAGAAGCAGTACAAGGGAAAATCTTGATGAATATCTCACAGTACATCAGAACTGTCGCAGTGAAGAGGCATGAACATTTCCACAAAAGCTTTTACTTTCACTTAGTGCAAAACTTCACATGAATTACAATCATTTACAAAACATTGAACACCGTACAAGAACAAAACAGCTGAAAACATGGACTTTTGAACCCGACTATCTTGCAGTACTTCAGAACTGTCACTGTGAATGGATGTGATGAGACAGCCAGGCAAAAAGAATGCTTGGAAGTTGGGTCAAGGGGAACTACAACTGTACACGTAGTGATGAGGTCACAAGACCAAATCCACTGGTAATACATGTGTATCTATAAAAGAAATAAGACTTGAAGAGACAGAGCATCAGAAATAGAGAGTGTCCAGTCAAAACATGATGGACAGTAAATGACATAAAACAATGATTGCACACAACAGGCAGAGTTTTTATGTGCTTATTTATTTGCAGCACACATTTCCATGAAGTACAATCACACACAAAACACTGAACACAATAAAGTATTGTGAGATACATGTATTCGTCACGTTCTTTCTCTTGTACTACTGGTACCTCTCTCTAGAACTTTCTACCTGAGTCTTGTTTCCCTTCTAACTAATCTTCAAGCGAAATGTGAACAGGTAATTTCTTTTGCTCTTTTCTGCATCCTCCAAAAGCAGCCACACATTTTTGTCAGATAGCCTCAACCCTGCAAAATTCTCCACGTTGCAAAGAGGATTTTGGAGGATTTGAGAAGGTTAGTCACACGGACTTAGTCATGTTAGTCACACCTTTCTAGTCTTGTCAGCTGAATTCTGGCTCAGTCGAAAGGGGCACTCAGGCTGTGGTTCTGCTTTACTATTACAACTACATGTATGTATGAACATGAAGTCTATTGCAGGTGAGATTCATTGTCATTGTCAAAAAAGGTTATTGTTTTTCATGGTCTGCATCTCCATCATCAAAACTGTTATTACTGTCAGAGTCCAAGTCATCCTCTGAGTCCAAGTCATATTTTATGAACAGATTTGCAGCTTTCATAAGATGGAATTTTGCGTCGGGGTGATATAAATCAAATTAGGTCTCGCCCTTCACCGACGTTTAACACTGTATACTCAGTGTGTTACCTCCCGAGTGAAAAACTCGTTACCTTTCGAGTGAAAAACTCAGTGTGTTACCTCCAGAGTGAAAAACAATAACCTTTCTTGAAAATGACAATGAACCTCACCTGCACTGAGTGGTAAGACATCTGTACTAGAAAGCAGGGGGTCGTGGGTTCGAGTCCCACCCGAGTGATTTTTCCAACTTTCACTCGGGAGGTAACACACTGAGTATACAGTGTTAAACGTCGGTGAAGGGCAAGACCTAATTTGAGATTTGCAGCTTGTTTGGATTTGATTTATTTATTTCATGTTATTTTAGAAGAGTAGCCCCATCAGTTGTCAATGAAATGTTCTCCCTGATGAGGGCCCTGGGAAATGATAAACTGGAGTGATTTCCCTTACTGTGGTTTTAGTTAACAATATTTTAATGCTACTCAACAAAGAACTTTGGCCTTATACACTGCAGACCAAAAAATTTGAGAAGCACAGACCTGCGAGAATAGGATTTGTTTGAGCTCCACGTCCACAAAGTGAATGGAGCCGCTCCGTTCAGCTACCACCAGGAAGAGAGAGTCTGCACTCCACGCCACCACATCCACATCAGATTCTGTAGGGTGTTCCAGAATGACATATGTAATGTGTTCTGGCAAAAGGCGATGTTATGCCCATACTACATGCTGACATGTACAGCAAAAGGCACCAAATACACTCACCAAAAAAGAAAGTCCCCCAATACATTTTTGTCTAACTCAAATACTACTGGGCACTTCTCACTTAAATTACAACTAATCAGTACAGAAATTTCTTAGCAATCCAGCCATACTCTTTCTTTGGCCCAAAACTGTGACAACGTGTTCAAAATTATGCAATTTATGACAAATGATACCGGAAAAAAAGTTGCACTTCTGTATACGTGCAAGTTGAGTGTGAACATTTCATCTCTAATGAAATCTCCAAACAAAAATTTCTTAAAATTGGTTTCTTAGAATCTTATCACCTTATCCTTTACTACATACTTTTCATGCTCTTTGAGGCTCAGTAAAGGAAAGGGTAAACAGATAACCAACAAAATTTGAAATTATTTTTTAAGAATTTTTTCAAATTAGGTTTTGCCCTTCACCGACGTTTTAAACACTGTATACTCAGTGTGTTACCTCCCGAGTGAAAGTTGGAAAAAATCACTCGGGTGGGACTCAAACCCACGACCTTCTGCTTTCTAGTGCAGATGTCTTACCACTCGATTACCACTTGATTTATATCACCCCGGCGCAAAAATTCCATATTATAATAAGAATTTTTTGTTGGAAGATTGCGTTAGAAATGAAATGTTCACACTCAACTTGTACGTATACAAAAGTGCAACTTTTTTTTGGTATCATTTGTCATAAACGGCATAATTTCGTACACATTTTCGCTTTTTTGTGCCAAATAAGAAGTATGGCTGGATTGCTAAGGAATTGCTTTACTGATTAGTCGTTATTTGAGCAAAAGATGCTCAGTAGTTTTCGAGTTATACTAAAAAGTATTGGGGGGGGGGGGACTTTCTTTTTTGATTGAGTGTATAATTCGGCGAGTCCAAACTATAGTTAGGATCGTCTCAAGTACAGTTGGGTTGATGTTATAGTTTGGACAATGATACTTCATTGCAAAATTATTTCTGAAGATATTACTTTTGGCGGGACACATGCTATGCTTACCAAAGCTTAAGGTGCTGATGAACTTCTGGCAAGCTTCGTCAAACAGTGAGACCTGGCCCCCAGCTACTACACAGAACCCCTCTGGGGCACAAGCTGCATACACTGCAGGGTTACGTTCCACCTATATGTTGGGTAATGAACGGTACAGTACATTTTAAAAATGGCATTTTATACCTTTCTATTGCAACTACTGAATAAGAATCCTATGACAAATTCCTTCGGCATGTAATCCTTTTTCCCCCCTTTTTTTAACAATTGGCAGGGATGAAATTGTAAATTTAATTTTAAAAAGTCCGAAAATTGTACGACAGACCTGAAAGGTGTATCTCTTTCTACATTGATAATGTCTTTCTATCAGACTCAAAAAAATCTATCAGACAAAAGTCTGAAAAATCTCATGCCTGAATCGCAATAGGTTTTTTTTTAAGAACGGAATTTTGCAAGTTCGCACACATCCATGGACAAATATATGTACATGTAATTCATATGGCTGCATTCACAAACTGACAAACATGGCATAGACATCACAGCATCTCATCTGTTTATTGATACCTCACATTTTCAGTGGCTGCGCAGAGAGCAAAAGCAATACACATGTATGCATTTGGTTAGCAGGTACGTGCAAACTTCCACTCAAAATGTGACATCACGAAATTAGGTCATGAAAAGGAGGTGGTTTGAAACATGGTGTAAAAATTATTCCATCTGGCATGGTGTCATTTTGAGGAAAGTGAGATTTTGTTGGCTTGCACTCCATGGAGAATTTGATTATAATAAAATACTGCCATTTTAATTGACCCACAGACAAATATTTTTATTCATAAATTGTATTTAAAAAAACCCAACATTGAGCCAATGAAATACACAATTCCTTTCTTACAAAATACTCCACTTGGCTTGAGCAACTGCAGGTTAGAATAAAATAAAACTGATTCCCAAAATGATTCCCAAAGGATTGGAAGTGCTTGTAGTAGCCTTTATCTGCCCCCTCAAACTACATTCTCTACTGGACACTTAAGAACAAATATGTGATAATTGATCATAGAGAGAGATCCAAGTGGCAAACGACTTTACATTTACCGAGAATAATATGTTGTTTTTTTGGGGGGGGGGAGGGTTGCCTTTTTTTTGGGGGGGGGGGGTTCTTTACTGGGTTAATTGCGAGTCGATTTGGAACAGAAACATGACTGGAATTGCAAACAAATCCACGTAGGAGTTGCCCAAGCTTACACTTCATTAACTGATCACAGTGTTCTTTAAGTGCCACAGATACCAGCTTGCGCCACTCAGCAAACTCACCTCTCCTCGTGGTGAGATGGTTGCCAACGTGTCCACCTGGAACAGTGAGGTCCCCGATTCCTGCCGGGGGCCAAAGTTGGCCGTCTCATCACCCCCGATACCCGCCTCGACATCATCCCAAGACATGGCTGAGGAGGAATAAAAAAAGGAGCCTTTGAAATTGAAGATGGGAAAACAAATCATCCATGATTGCCAGTAAGGCCACTTGGGACTAATAATGCCTTTTCCTGGTGGAGATGGTATTGTCCGTCCCGTCATGGAATACCTACTAATCATGGCATCCACGAGAGGTCAATCACGAAGCTGTCTCCTGGAGAGCAAACTATCTGCTGGTTGTTTTAGGTGATTTCAAATGACGTCCCCCCCCCCCCCCCCCCCCAAAAAGTGTCTTTTTCATTCTTAATAATATGGAACAGGGTACTACACTACATGATTACCAAAATTTGGATTTTTGTACCAACACTCGGATGCCGTTCAAAATTGCAAAAAAAATAAAAATAGGGTCACCAAATCAGAATTAAAACTTTAAAGAAGACTGTTTGTTTCAGAAGTTATTTATGCGCATATCAATTGTTCTCAATTTGGGACTGAGAAATATTTCCAATTTTGTTAGGAAATACTTTGAAATTTTCTTGACTGAATGACTCTCACCTCGGAAAGATTCCCATATCTACATGTACTATCTAGCCATCGCTTGTCACCCTGTGCACAAACCCTATGGGACTAGGCCTAGTCTGAAAATTTTTAAGTGTTTTCTTACCAGTAAAAACTTTAATATTTTCTCAGCTAAATTTTACTTTTTTAGGGCGATCATGAAGTGTAGGGCCCGGCCGGTTCCTTTAATGGGAACAAAATCCACTTAAAATTATTGGACTACCAAACTAGTTGGCGACATTCTCAATAAACAGGTAGGGCCTACATGTATGTCATAGATAAAGGGGAAGGGTTTTGATTTTTGACGGAAATTTGGGGGTAAAATGACGATGACAGCGCGGCGACAACACACGACCCAAAAAATAAAGATGGCGATCACCGCGCGATGTACCGTGAGCGCACACGGCGCGCTGAATCGCAAGGCACAAACCGCGCAGGAAAATCATGATTTCTACCCAAAGAATCTGTTCAAAATTGCAAGACGGGTGTCATGACATTAGAATTGAGAAAAGTCTGCTTTTGATTGTAAACTAAAGGGCAGTAAAGGTGATTTTTGAGCTATAATTATAAAGTATAAAAAACATTTTTGACTCTAATTTGATCAAAACAAAACAGCGGCCCTACACTTCATGATCGCCCTTTTTAGGGCATATTATCACTTTTTGATTGCTAATAGGTCACTGAAGCCTGGGGGAAAATGGCCAGATACGGGTCTTTCCTGTATCTGTATCTGTATCTGTAGGTGTACGTTGCAAGAAACCAATTCTGGCATAAGAGCAACGGGAGAGAGAGAGGGTGTTCACTGTACAGAAACTTATTGAGAGAGAGGTCCGCGGCTGATGAGGGATTTGAAGGTGTCAACAGAGTCGGCTTGGACTACGCATTCCTCTAGATGGTTCCAGTCAATTATAGTTCTGTTGAAGAAGGAGTACCTGAATTGATCTGTGTTGCTCCGAGGAACTCTGTAGCACCTTGAGTTGACAGCTATGGAGCTTTCAATGGAGTGTGTTGTTGCAGAGTTGAAAAGTGTTCTTGGTCGAATTTGTCTCCCAGGTTTTTTAGATGTTAGGTAGAGCTGAGATGGTATGGCTGGCACTAGCCCCTTAACCACTTTGTACATGAATGTGAGTCGTAATTGTTTCCTTCTGTCTTGCAGAGATGGTAGTTGTTGATTTTGTAGCATTTTTGTGAGGCAACCGGGCTTCTGTGATCTGTAGTCTCCGGTGATGAAGCGTACAGCTCGATGTTGGATGCGTTCCAGTCGGTCAATATTGGCTTTTATGTAAGGGTCCCACACTGTAGCTCCGTATTCCAAGATTGGTCGTACCAGAGCTAGATAGGCAGTTCTTCTGCAGTTGACTGGGCAACCCCTAAGGTTTCTGCGAAGAAAACCTAAAGTGGAGCCAGCCTTCTTGGATATACTGGATATGTGTGTATTCCATTTGAGGTCCTCAGAGATGTGTATACCAAGATACCGGTTGCTAGGTACTTGATGAAGAACAGTGTTGTCTAATGTGTAGAAACGTGTTGATTTATTCCTAATGCTGAGAATGTTACATTTTTTGGCATTGAAGCGCATTCCCCATTTTCCCGCCCAAGTTTCCAGGTTTTCGATGTCTTGTTGGAGGATGACATGATCACTGGGGTCATCTATTTGTCGGTACAGCAGGCAGTCATCTGCGAAGAGACGGACTTTGGATGTCACACAGGCTGGAAGGTCATTGATTTGGCAAAGGAACAGCAAGGGACCCAACACTGTCCCTTGGGGGACCCCAGAGTCGACCGGCACTTCCCGAGAAGCTACTCCTTCCAATACCACTCTCATTGTGCGTTGGGTGAGAAAGCAGGTTAACCACTGATGTAGAGGGCCCCTGATGCCGTAGTTGTGGAGCTTGTGGAGGAGTTTGTTGTGTGGGATGGTGTCAAATGCTTTACTGAAGTCGAGTATGGCAATATCAACTTGCTTTTTCTCGTCAAAAGATTTTTGTAGGTCATGTAGTGTAACTGTAAGTTGTGTTTCACAGGAATAGCCACGACGGAAACCATGGTTTAACTGTGTGAGGATTTGGTGATATTCAAGGTGTGAAATGATGTGTTTGTAAATGATATGTTCCAGTTGCTTACAGAGTACTGAGGTTAGGGAGATTGGACGGTAATTCTCGGCTAGGTGTTTGTCTCCTTTCTTGAAAACACAGGATACATTGGCCTTAAGCCAATCTCCAGGTAGGATGCCGGAGTCAAGAGAAGTTTGGTATATTGCTGCAAGACCAGGTGCGATGTTGTCAGCACAATTTTTCAGCACAGCGTTTGGTAGGTTGTCTGGTCCAGGTGCTTTTGCAATGTTAATCTTCTTCAGCAGTTTGGCTACACCGACTGAGTGGACGACGATACGTGGAATTGGTTGATCTACTTTTGTGTTTACTTCTGGGAGATCACGATTTTTGTCCTGTGTAAACACTGACTTGAACTGTTCGATGAGTATTTTTGCCTTAGATGAGCTATTACTGTACAAGGTCCCCTTGTGCTTTAGTGGGGCAACACCGACATTATCTTGGCATCTGTTTTTGATGTATCTCCAGAATGGCTTACTGTTGTTGTTTGCGAGGCTTTCCTGAATGACTTTATTGATGTAGTTCCAGTGGGCTCTTCGGATTTTCCTCCTACATTGTTTTTGGAGGCTACGGTATGCTTCCCATTTGTTGTTTTTCTTTGCACGCTTGTACAGTCTTCTTTTCCTTTTGATCATTTTCACGATGGATTTGTCTAGCCAGGGTAACCAGTTGTTACCTTTCCTGATCTTGTGGGGGATGTGTTTGTCAATTTCGCTTAGTACCGTTGAACAGAATTTTTCCCACATCTGGTGTACGTTGGAGCCGCTTTGTTGCATACTTATGATGTCCTGTGAGAGTGCATCCAAGTTTCCAGCTAAGCTCTCCCAATTGGCTTGTGAGAATTGGTAGTATTTCTTTGGTGCTTGTTTAGTAATAGTCGGTTTAGTTGCTATGTCGGTGATCACAATGTCGTGGTCAGATATCCCTGGTGCAGAAACCGAGGACTTTACAAGGCTTGGGTTTGATGTAAGTACCAGGTCCAGTAAGTTGTCCTCACGCGTGGGTGACATGTGGACTTGAGTGAGGTGAGAAGTTATGTCAAGCAGCATTTGTTGTGTTGTATTGTCTTTGCTCCTTGAGTCAACAATACAGTGCTCCCAATCTATGTCGGGGCAATTGAAGTCACCTGCAAGGATAATTTGCTTATCTTGGAAACCACAGCTTGTCAAAAGTTTGAATGACTTATCCAGTTCATTCAATGTGGTAGTATTTCGGTGGGGCATGTAAAAGGATCCAATGATCAGTTCTTTATTATTTTCCAGTTTTACTTTGACCCATTCGAGTTCACAATTTGTCACAAGTTGCGGGAGCTCAACTGTGACCAAGTTTCGATGAGCAAGTACGAAGACTCCTCCACCTAGGCTACAGCGATCGTTCCTGTAGGCAATGTATTTTTCTGGGAAGATTTCACTTGATTTCACATAACCCTCAGAAGGGTTTCGGCCTGGTTTTATTCCTGTCAGCCAAGATTCGGTTCCACATACAATGTCCGGTTTGATATATTCAATGGCGATGGCAAGTTCTGACCTTTTGGCCAGCACACTCCGGCAGTTTACTGTCATTATTCTTAGATTTTGTGTGCCTGGCCGATATGAGACTGAGCTGTGGGCCCTGGGCATTTGTGTTGCCATGGTTGGGCTACATACTTGTGACAATGTGTAACTTTCCCTAGTTCTTTCATCATCAGTCTGGGTACTTGCTATTGGACTACTTGTCTGCAGTGGTTTAAAGGAATTTTCTGATGATGGTATATTGCCAAGTTCGATGTTCGAGTCGATGTTCAAGTCATCGCTGGGGTAGTGTAGTTCATAACTATGGTATGTAAAGCTATCACAGTTTGTGCTATCACATTTGTGGCATTTCCATTGAATGTTGGAATGATTTAATAATTCAAAGTCAGCTGAGCACAAATCAATGCAGGACTGGTGATACCAGATACTACAGTCGTCACAGGCAACACCTTTGCAGTTCCATGTGACAGGGTACTCACATAATCCACAGGGGTATATGCTGGAATATTTTACACGAGGTCCCGGGTTTGGATGGATGTCACCTGCCATCAATAATGTCATGTTGCTTGCAGGGTTGGAGATAGCTGGATTGTGCTCTGGGATGACTTGTTGATATAGAAGTAGCAAGGAGACAACTGATAAAAACAGATGCAGGGCCATCATGTGTTTGTGCATGACATACATGCATCAGCTCCATGCATATGCGCATAAACCAATCGTCCAAGATGGCTGACCAATATGGCAGTCACAGGCCGACCGTCAGGGTGGTATTTTGGTGCTGGAAAACCAGCCACTGATTAAGTAGACTTCAGCATTTTGAAGATAAAAGGATGGTGTAAGCATTCCCTGTGATGGATGTTGATATTTAAGTTCGTTTTTGTGTCTATCTCGGGTAAAAAGCAGTGATTATCCCTCAAGTTTGCCGCCGATGTTAAGTGCATGACCTCCCTCTCTGAAGCGCCCTCTCTGAAGCTTCCTGACTCTCCATCATGATCATGTCCATAAAGCTTTGTACACAACCGCTGATGTCAGGAAGTGGCGTCAAGTTGCAACATTTTTTTCACAAACTGACAAAGCTCATAGGGTAATCCTTACTTTTAGGACCCCTTTCCTATATAAGGCTAAAAGACTCACCAAAACAGTTGACTAAATGGCACTCAAAAGTGACATTCTGATATTTATTGACACATTTGAACATTTGGCAATGACACCTCTTGAATATCAGCAGGTTTGATTTTGTAGAAAGAGGGTAGGGTTTTGATTTATGAGGGGTTAATTACGACGATGACAAACAGAAAATAAATTTAAAAAGCAAGATGGTGAACTGCCAAAAAAGGTAGGAAAGTCACATTTTCTTTGAAAGTGCTTTCAAAATTATAACTAACATGAGTTTGTCTGAAGAAAAAAGACTTCTTTAGCCTGCAAAAGTCACTTTGGTACTGGACAGTCATCTGCAAAAGTCAGTTTTGAACAGAACTCGTACAAAATAGAGGTGTCCTAAAAGTAAGGATTACCGCTCATAGTTTAGTAATTCGGGTTTTCATCGACAACAACTGAACTCACAGTGTTCCCATAACCATAATGACAAAAAAATTGTGTAAATTTAGTACCTGTTGAGTGTAGTTCGACAGCAGAAGCAGAAGCAGTTCTAAACTGACAGCTGAAATTCCCGCGATATCATGCATGTCGCACTGCAGTGAACCTTCCGATTGAGGGCGCCCTAAATCAAGAACGGTGCCGGCCGTTGTCGCCTGGCATGTGTAGTGTCTCGTTTCTGAAAGAGTTTCTGGAGTAGGTGTGTGGTGAAAAATAATTGATTTCATTTGCAGTAGTGTATATACGTAGCTCGGGGTAAACTTCTAGGGGTTTACCCGTTTACCCATGGGGACACAATTGCACAAGTAATTTTCGTGGGGGGGGGGGGGGGGGGGGGGGGTACACAAACTTGACAAAGCCTTAGGCTGGGCTAGCCCCATAATGTGGCCAGTTTACTGGACTGCCTCCGTAAACATAGGCCACACATCCACATGTACAAAAATCGTGTCGACGGAGCCAAATTTTGATTTTCACATTTAGGCTTAGTTTGTAGGGTTTTTTTGCTTTAGAAGCATACTCACCCTCTTTATAGGCTAATCAGAAAGTGCTGCCTTTTTCAGATGTATATTTTTCGTGAAATTTCCAGATTCATTTTTACACGTTTGCGTATCAAAATTTCAACATGAAATTTCACAAAAATTAGACATCTGAAAAAGGCAGCACTTTCTGATTAGCCTATAAAGAGGGTGAGTATGCTTCTAAAGCAAAAAAATCCTACAAACTAAGCCTAAATGTGAAAATCAAAATTTGGCTCCGTCGACACGATTTTTGTACATGTGGATGTGTGGCCTATGTTTACGGAGGCAGTCCAGTAAACTGGCCACATTATGGGGCTAAGGCTGGGCTAGCTCTACTGAGTGGAGCGTTGAATTACGGGTACCCCTCCATACCCCTCGGGTACCCGTAATTCAACGCTCCACTCAGTAGAGCTAAGGCTGGGCTAGCCCCACTAGTGTGTGGCCGTCGGTTAGCCCCACTGGTGTGGCCGTCGGTATGCTGCGCTGAACCTAAGCCTTGGTTCAGCGCAGCATACCGACGGCCACACTAGTGGGGCTAGCCGTCGGTATGCTGCGGCCACACCTGTGGGGCTAAGGCTGGGCGGGCTGGGGCGCCGGGCATAGGTGGGCCTACTATGCTGTTACTTTTTTCAATCCCAGATTTTAAGTGGGGGGGGGGGGGGGGGGGGGGGGGGGGGGAGGGGGGCATGGTCCACTTGTCCCCAATAATTTATGCCACAGGCACAGTTCATGATCATGGGCAGCTTAGTTCAGGGTTGGGAATGGGGAGCTGTTGTCAGTGTGTGACTGTTGACAGATTGTCTAACACTGTAACAGACTAACTTATTAACGTAAGAGATTTCTAATTGTCAGTATGGTCAATATGGTGGTGTACCCTAACGTGGCGCACTTCGAAGCATACCCAAATTTCCTCGTGTAGTGTTGCCAAACCTCTTTGTTGACAAACCTCAAATTCATGCAGTGAAATACTGGTACTTTTACCTTATTAATGCTTGCTGTTTAACCTCTGTGAACAATTTCGGTTTCATAAAATTTAAGCCGAAATTAAAAAACGGTGGCGTCCGGAAATTGGGCACAATTTGGCGGAGTGTTCCCTAACGTGGCGCACTTAAATAAATCTCGGGAAATTCCAAATTAACATTTAAGAATTTCTGAAAACGTGATAAATTCTGATAAATCATTATTATCTCTACTTACATACCCAGCCAGATGTTTGTCACAAAATTATTTTCTTATTTTTCGGGGCATTTTCAAAGGGTTCACTTTGCACTTGAAAATAAAATCGGAAAATCACGCCAAAATAAGTTTTTCTTTTAACTTTGTAGCGGGTAAATAAATTCGCGATTTATGAACGGGAGTGTTTATAACTTGATGAAATTTCACTTTCTGTGAAATTTCAGTTAAAACTTTTGCTCTAGCTAGGCGCTACAGGCGAAAAATCTAAGTGCGCCACGTTAGGGGGCGCGCCACGTTAGGGTACATCAACAATACTACTTACTAGCATAGACAATTTTGAGCAATAGGCTAAAACTTCACAATTGTCACACTGATCTTCAAGGTCCTTGAATTCCGAAGTTATTCCAAAACAATCCAGTAAATTGCACATGTTAATTGATGATGAAAATGACGCAGGTGTGTTCTTTCAATAAACCTTTATGATATGCCTTTGGAATTTTCCGTTGGTACTATACTAGATCGTTTTTCTTTGTTCGGCAAAGCGCGCACAAGCACTGGCACGACGTACACGTGCACGCGGTTGCTATAATTCTTCGGATCGGTAGCTGCAATCGGCTAGGGGAAAATGTGTCTCGGACGCTGAATTCAGGCCCAATTCAAAACATGATTCAGCAACTTTTGATTTGAAATCGAGATCCTAGAATGCTGTTTTTCGCGGAATATACAGCTGAAGCTGAGCTGAAACTTCATCAGATTAGTTGTTCAGCACCCTTCTTTAGATTTTGAGCACATTTGTTGCTTCAAATAAACAAAATACACAAATTACAAATGATGGACTGTACCTTTAACTGGAGGATTTTATTTCTTGTTTTAATTACAGATTAACAATGAAGTAATAATCAGTATTCCTTGAAACTGACAGCAGCAAACAAGATATGTTTTTCAGCTCATAGTGGACCTCGCATTGCCGTCAAACAAAATGAGCTCTTGCAAAAGCAGACTGTTACTGCGGTGTTCCGTAAGGTATGGCCTTTTGCCATTCATCAGCAGCAGGCCTCCATTGGCATGTCAAAGAACTGGGGTTTCATTGCTGCTGTGCCGGCACCAGCAGAGTGACAGCAGCAGCAACAGCAGCAGCAGTACTGACACTAGTAAGAAGGAGCCCTACTCCAAGTTCCTGACCCGCAACTTGAAAATGTGGGGCGGGGAAATCTACGACAGACTAGTTTGCTCAAATCTGGACACTATGTTCGACACCACGCGGTCGATGTGGCGGTTCGCCGGCACAGACAGCTTCAAGGATTTCCAGGTGCTCACGGACCAGGACATCGGCGGCCAGAGCTGGGCCAAGCTTGAGCCCAGCCGCAACAACAAACTGCTGTTTCACGGCAATCTGTGCACGACCGTACCACGGGACGGGGAAACTGCAAGGAGCGGTTATTGCTCACTGAAGTCTAAACAGCAGTTTGTAAGTTAGCAGTAAAGACATTGATTTACGTCACCCTGACGTAAAATTCTATCTTATGAATAGTAAACACATTCTTCTGATGATGGTGCCTTCAGAAAGTATAAACTGATGTAGCTCCTGTTCATCACAGCACCACTCTTTTCTTTTACTAGTGATAGTCACTTTCACATTGTGTATCCACAAAGGCTTTTCAAAGTTGTGTGTACTGTTTACCTTGGAAAGCCTAAAATCACATGTATCTGAATCCAGTTACGAGAACCTCGAAATTTTGTGTACTTGTATGTTTTCTCTGTTTTCCCAAAATTAAGAGTCTCCACTGAGCTGAAGTTTGTGGACACCCTACTAAGGATTTTTGAGCAATTTTGTTGCTTCAAACGAAAAGAAATGCACAAAAAGCAACTGATCCTACAGGCATGTACCTTATATACTTGGATTTCATTCAATAGGTCTCTCTCAAATGACGTCACTTACTACAGACCAGCCACGTGCATCGGCATTTTGAACGTCAACTTGCATGATGCGCATCGGCTGTGTCGTATTTCGAACACATTTCGAGCAACAAGCATGGGTGTTTGGAACATTTTCAACACTGCGTAATGCGTGCTTGATTGCGTAAAATACGCAGTTGCAGTTCTCCTACGGAGATGGCTGTCTTTGAGAGAGACCTATTGGTACTGGGTATTTGTGGAAGATGAAAATCTGCATTGTTCATTAGCAAAATATAGCAATAATATAACAAAAATCCTCAACAGTGAGTTTGGAAGCTGCATAGTTCCTAATAAATGTTTCAAAATACTTGTTGCTGCTGACACTACCTGAACTACAATGCAGTGGGTAAAATTATGGTTAGACGTTCAACATTTTCTTACCATTTACCAAAAATCAATTTTTGCTAGCATCAGAGGTTATTCATCTGGCTATTCGTCTGGTAATTCATGTTGACCACTGAAATACCAAATGCATGTAGAAGACAGAATTCATAAAATTTAATACCAAAAACTACACGTTCTTATAAAAATTACAGGTGTCATTCAATCGCAAGAAACACATGGACCTGACTCCCTTCAACTCCCTCAACCTACGGCTCCGCGGGGACGGCCGGGCCTACATGGTGAACATCATGACAGAAGGTTACTTCACCGATTACCATGACGACATTTGGAGCTACTTTCTATTCACGCGAGGAGGGCCCTATTGGCAGGATGTCTCGGTTAGTAGCATCGCGGAATCTTTCATATTTTAACAGTTTGACCTGAGAAAACAGGATAGTACTGCGCCAAACTTGTCTTGAAGCTATTGATGTCATTATCAAAACAAAGTATTCAAGGTTTGAGCCCTTGAGGTGCATGTTTCTGTTCATTTCCAGCGCCAGAAAATTCAACATAATTGTCTCCTTTTGAAAGCCTCTGATCATCAAAATGTCAAGGTTTTTGTGAAAATATGTTCAAGAAAACTATTAAATATAGTTTGACCAAGATTTCATTTGACAGTCTATACCCATCGTTTATGGTATCTTACTCCATTTATGTGGAGTACCTTGGCCTTGTAGTTTGGAACATTTAATTCATGGTCTGCGGGTAATTCTGCAGGTCGTGGGTTAAATCGAGCCCAGCCTGGGATTATGGTTCGTGTGCCCTTGGGCAAGGCACTTTGTCACTAATTGCTTCTCTCCACCCAGGAGTAAATGGGTACCTGTGAGGGCAGAGAGGGTTATTGTGGTTGATTTTAGCTGCTTTGTGCTGAAATGGCATCATCGAGCTGTACATGTATACTCCCCAGGGAGCTGAGATGGTATTTGGAATATTTCATTGGCCCAAATGGGCAGGGTAATGATGATGTAGCGCCTTGAGCACCAATACCGGTGGATACTTCCGCTTTATTATTACATGTATTATTATTTCTGATTCTGCCCATACAGATCCCCTTCTCCAAGTTCTTCTTGTCCAGCCGGGGGCGCATCCAGGACAGACAGGCAGCTGTGGATCTAGAGCTGGTCAATGCCATCGGGCTGACAATGGCCGACGCCATTGATGGGGAATTTGCACTGGAGATAGACTCCATCGCAGCCTCATATGATGCCACGCACACAGAGGAGTTCGCTTATGAGATGTACCACAAGTAGAGTGGCACTGTGACTGTCAGTGTAGTCTTGGTCCAAGACTGGATTTCAATGTTATATTCCTCTAATACAGCCGGTCCGTGACAAGCGCACTAAAGCCGCTGCAGTAGAGGTAGCTATCAACATGATGAATCAAATCCAGTTCTTGGAACATCGGCAGCACTACCCTAATAAGGAAACTCTGAGCATACCTCATGCACGTGTATGAGCTTGAATACAGGCTCATGATGTATGCTCAGAATTTCCTGGGTAGCTCTGCCAAAGTTCTCAAGGGTGGATTTGATTCATCTCGTTGATGGCTCAGTCTCTTCTGCCGCGGTGGCTTTAACACGCTTGTCAGGGACTGGCTGTATACGGAAAATAAAACCAAATCTGTGTTGGACCAAGACTATGTCTACTGGCACTTTTCTCATCCGACTTGAGGGGCCCCTGCAGAACTACTATGTGATGATTCATGTAAACTGTGAGGGCTTTTGGTGACACTTCATGTAATGCACACATGCTTAATTGCCAAACAGGCTTTTATGCTTCCCCACTGTCCAGGAATGACTGGAGATCTGATTTCGTACGTGTATTTGAGGAGAGGAAACACCCTTTAGCTTCCAAAATTGTCATGGTTGCTTTTCTCTTTGATGGTTCTGTCTTCCCTGTAGCGTGATTGGCTTTGTTCTCAAGCACATAATTTTACCTAAGGAATGCAGTGGTTATTTAAATATGCATAACTATTTTGAATAGTGAACCCCACATTGGAGGTCATTATGATGACCATGTGTTTGTCGTCCGCTGACTCCTTTATATTTGACTAAGCCTCGGATAGCTAGTCCTAGAGTCCTAATCAATTGGTTTCAAAATGACTATTCACTTGGTCATTTTATGCATGTGGCCTACACAATGGGCCAGATTTAGCCAGTTCATTAGGTTACGAGGTAATTCACAAACAAGTCAGTCGAGTACAAAGAGGACTATAGACTAGCCTCTCTGGGACCAGCGAAAGGGACACTTATTAGAATTTTTAACATTTTGACAAGCTTTGATCCTTTGCCTCCATTTCCAACAATGTCACTGTTCACACTTTAAATAACATGTAGCTGGTTTGAGCTGGTTACTTTATTTGTAAGAGAAAGACATGTACATGCAGGTCACGTTGGAATCATCCTTCAATGTGGTTCTGTCTTCCAATAAATAATTGTTTGGGGGTAAATTTATTGTAAAAGGCTAATTTCCCAGTAATTCAACTTCATGGGTATCATGCACTGCAATGTTTGGTTTGTATCACCTGTGCAGTAATAAATAAAACACTGAAGGTTTTTACGTGTAATTTCAATGTCCTACATTGTACTCTCATGATTGTCCCTGTTTACTCTGTAATGTTGTGTATAACACCTACAGTACATACAAACAAATGCTAAGTGAACGGACTACATTGTACATTGTATGCATCAGCATTTATTGATTTACAAACTATAAGGCACATCTGGACATGCTGGATAGTAGGAATGTTGAGACCAATGAAGGAAATAAACTCCTATTTAGCAATATCAGACAAATTATCAATTTCCGTCCAAATTTCTCTGATCTGTTTTGAATAACTGAATAATCAATTAATTCTTCTGCACACGCAGGCCTGTTAATTTGCATATTTGAATGCGCAGTACATCACCATGGAACACCTTGGGAGGCCAGTTTTACCACACCACTCGAAGCAGTCAATATTTGTATGATATCACACAGCTGTTGTGGATCTACCCATTGAATGGCTTGAAAATGGTGGATTTTGTCCGTAGATGCAATATCTTTTCTCTATGAAAAAAAAATGTATTAACAGGCATACATATATATATTCAACAAAAAATTTATTAAGATTAAGATTTGGTCTGTTTATCCTAATAAATTTAGAGAAATTCAATATCACTGGTTGAATAATTTCCACAAAATGGAATACTCTTTGATTCGAAAAATTATAAATATGTTTCTGTACATCTATCTACAAGGTAAATCACAAATTCTCCAATTTAAAACAAAAAATCCTCAACCCAACTAAGCGTTGTAATTGTCTTGTAACAGACTAAAAACTAAAAATATCAAATTAATTTATTGATTTTTGTGCAGCAGCCACTTTTAAACATTAACTTCTTTTCCCGGTTTTTTTTACATCCATCCAAATGAAAACAAACAAACCAAAAGAAAACAAATAAACCAACCAACTAACCAAAACAAAACAAAACAGAGCACAAATGTGCTAGTATACAAATACAACATTGTTTGTGGGGAAATAGTGAAAACTAATGTTTTGGGTGTTGGGTGATCTCCCGAGGCGAAGCTGAGGGAGACAGTCCCAATCATCCAACACCGAGGGATCATTCGTTTTCACTATTTCCCCGGAAAAACATGTTGTATTTGTTTTACTCTAACTCATAAATATTCATCAGGCAGCTGAGGTTTCATTGGTCGAATGGACCAATGAAATACCCTGTTTGTGATCATGCAGCACTTTTTACTGATACATTATATATAAATTGTGTAAAATTTCACCCAGTTCTTCCTCGGTTATAATCGCAATGCAAGCACCACCGGTCGCCATTTTGATTCAGACCGTAATAGACGTAATGGGTACGATCTTGCAGTGCCATGTTGTTTCCCATCATGCCTTGCGCGATCATAACCCCTGGAATTGTGTAATTTAAATGTGCCAAAATACGGTACATTATAATTAGGGCTGCAGTTTATCCGTTTTACGTGCCGACGCCATCTTCAAAATGTTAAAAGTTGTGATTTTGAAGAATAAATCCTTTCAAACACAACGTTTGGACGTTGTGTTAATTAGCAAAGATTTGTATTAAATGTACGTACCCCTTTCGTGTCTTTACAACCACAGATACAGGTTTTTTTTTAGCGAAACACGCGGCTGACATAATCCATATCGTACAGGCATCGCGACTTTTAAATCATTATTTTTTTTTCGTACGTGACGTTACGTGCAAAGCTAAGCACGCAAGCGCGAGCGCATTATGGGCGCGCCCGGCGTGCAATCTTCGAAATGCCCGCGCAGTACGCTGTGAATAGCCATTCAGTGTCATTTACGTCATCATCACAGCGAGGGGTTAGTGTAAGGAACGAGCATGCGCCCCTGGAGTCGAGGCTGATCACAATTGTCCTCACTGGTGATCTCCACAGTACGCACAGAAAGCACATGCGTCGTCGGTAAAAAGATAACACAGTACTGGAACAAATCTATGGCTGCGACCCAGGTGTGCAATAGTACCTCCCTGGTTTTTGCGCATCACGCAGGCATACATGTAGGAAGACACGGTGAAATAGTAAAAACTTTCACACAGTTGTGTTGCTGGAATGTACCAATGAAATACCGCGGCTGCCTAATGAATATTCATAAGGTATAGTAATAAGTGATACTAACTTCCTCACTATGAGGATGTAATGGACATCTACTTTACAAAACCCAAAACCTTTTTACCCTCATCGAAAAATATTGCACAGGTAATCTGTCGCATTCTTATAAAAATAGATGATATGAAAAATCTGCACAATTACAACTAGGACTATTCACTGGAAGTACCTGAGCTTGGTTCCCATTTTATGATGGTCAGAAATTCTCAAATTAAGTGTGCGAATGTTTAATAATTTTTTTTCAAAGCAAAGAGATAAAGTCAGAGGCTATCAGCTTCGGTCCAAAAATTGGGCCACTGGTATCAAATGATCGAAAAAAGCAATGTTCATAGAGATTTTTGGCAAGGTATACACATCTAGAATTGGAAAGTGTGTGATAGCTTTGTAGTGTAAGCGTTGGCAGTCTTTTAGGTGTTATCCCTTTTTTTTTTCTTTTTTCAAAATGGTCGCCAATATGCTTGAACCGGATTAATTATATGTGGTAACAAGCATGTTTTGGCTGCCATTTAAAACAAAAAAAGTGATAGCACCCTAAAAGCTGCCACTGCTGCAATGCTATCACATATTTTCCAACTACAGGGGTGCATACCTTGCCAAAAATCACAATGACCATTATTCCCCTCACTTGATACTGACCAAACCCCAGGCTGATGGCCTATCAGACATTTCTAAAAACATGTATAATATAAATGTACAAGCTTTTTTTGAATAAAAATTTGTGACAGATTTTGTTTTTAACATATAAAACTTGACCAACTGTAATTTGCACAAACTCGGCACGTCAGGTGTGTAAGCAATGCATTCAAATGTCCCTCACAGTGGTCGACCCTAACTCTCCCTCTGAATCTGTTGAAAGGGCACGGAGTCCGTAGTTTTTAAATTACGTACTCGATGAACAAACAAAGTGTTAGGGCATTTTTGCACAGAGCAGGTCGCATTTGAAAAATAGTTTTGCTTGAATGTGAACGTTTCAGTTCCTGCCTAACTGTGCTCAATGCCTGTTCTGCATGTACACCTCCTTGTCCTTCACGTAGCCAAACTTCTCATAGAATGGAATGTTGCTCTCCGCGCACTCCAGTGTGGTCTTGTAGCATCCCAGGTCCTGGCTTAGGAGCGTCAGCACTGACATGAGTCTGGAAAGTTTGAACAAAGAAAAAGCAAAGACGGGTCGACAAAAACTGATAACGTTCATGATGAGGATAATTGCTTGGTGGGATTTTTGCATTTCATTTGCTTTTCATGCATTTTGTTTGTTTCCAATAATACCACCACTCAAAATCCATAGAAGAATGTTCAAAACCTGTTGAAGTTTCAGCTCAGTGGATATTACATTCCACTCTCGCTAATGCAAACACTGTTAATATAAATTCTGGTTTTAACAACATAAACCCTTGGTTCCGACTGTGCTTTATGTGCACAATGAATGGGACCGGCACTTCTCTTAAAACAAAATTCTGATATAACAAACATTTTGGCTCGGTCCAGCTGAGTTTGTATTAACGAGAGTTGAATGTACACTTTTCGAGAAAACATTGAAAAACATGCACAACCTTTTGATCACAAAACACGATGTTGTTTATAGAACTCTACATTTCCAATGATCAGTTAATTGACAAAGTATAGGCAGTACAAGCTGCCGTGATGACAAATCTAATCTATACTTACAGTTTGCCAAGCTGCTGCCCCCTGTAATCTTTGTTGACCACAACTTCTTCTATCCGCCCTCTCTGTGTTCAAATAGGAAAAAAGAAAACTACTAAATCTAATGACTTCATTAAGAAGAAAAGCCATGATGAAATTCATAGTCTAATGAAACACTGTTTACCAATCTGAACCTTAATCCAATAAGATCCTCAAAATTCAGGTTTCTGAAGATTTTGCAGGATTAGGGAAGGTACAGCCACCGTTACCTTAAATTGGACATGTGGTTGAGGAAGATGACAAACTTTTTCCAGCAGCAAAGCCGAGGGCATTTTGTCAACTTCCCATACCGTGGGAGCCGATATCGACTATAAACCCTGTTATATTTGGTCTACTATGCAGAATACATATTTACCATCACTTGGTAAAGTTATGCATGAGTTATCTCAGCTGAACATTTCTGTACGTAAAAAAAAAACCAACCGTACATGCCGCCATCTTTTCGTATGGCTATGGCGATGTTAGCGCATGCGCACTACCCCCATGCATGCCATGTGCTAAACTCTCACGTGGGCGATTGGTAAATAGCAAAACTAGCAGCTAATACGTGATGGTGAATAGATCAGTAAGGAGTCGGCTCTCGCTCATGAATATGTATGAGGTAAAATGAAAGTAGCAGGGTAATCGCTTACCAGGGCACATTCGTGGATGAATTTCTGTTCTAGAATAAGAGTTGCCGTTGCCACAATGAGGTTCCTGCTGGTGTCTTCCACGACTGTGGCATAGTAAATGCCAGTCTCCTTCATGGCATTAAATGTGGCTACATGCAGAAAGGAGATACACATAGAAGGCAAATTATGAAAACAGGAATTAAGATCCTAACAAATCCACATTGAAAATCTGGTGATAACCATCCCAAAATCTAATATTCAATGCCTGCTGTATATGTAATGCCCCAATTATAGCAATGGCCCCTACATGTACTATACATGCTATAGTTGGGACTGTTGGGACTCCAACAATGGTTGGAGAAGTCCTACATATAGTTGGGGCCGTCCCATCTATACTTGGGACCATGCTATAATTGGGCCGTAATGTATACAGCAAGCTATTTGTAGCTTGCACAATGTTGTCTGCTCTGTCTTTAACTTGTACACTTTAGCACTGAATAGTTAAAAATATTCACCACATGATATGAAAGATCTACATGTATCGTTCAATAGGATAATTAATTTATACAAAAAATCCCCAGGACACTCGGAAAAAAGGATATTTGTTTTCACATAAAAAGTGAATTGAATTAAAAGCATTGTTTGACGTTACTCACCCAAATATTTTTCCGGAGTTACTTCTCCAACAATTGTGAGCCCGCTGAGAAGCTGACAATATCCTGTGAAAGTTGTTAAGTGGTATACATTTAAAGGTAGAGCAGATCTTTTGCAGCTATCCAAAAAGTATCTGACAAAATTATGTTGAAAACTTACTTGGTTTAAAGATGGGGATGGCAATAAACTCCCCGTGAAATTATTCTTTCTGGCATGCTGTCATTTTGAAGAAAACAATAAAAAGAAGGCCATTTCCACAGGTGCGTCAAGTGACTGCACTTTTTTTCACCATACATTTATGATGGCTAGTCTCTCCAAATATGATGCAGAAAAAAAATGTGAATTTCAGATGAAAACATATTATTGTTAGAAAATGCTTAGAAAATTTTCATACATCCCCATTCAATGCCATAATAAACATTGTACTAAATGCTAAACCACAAAAGTGGAGTCATGAAACACAGATAATATATATCACATTTTTTCCTTAATTTCAAAAGTAAAAGGCTATTTTAGATGCATACAAAAAAAGCAAAAAATTAGTGTTACGCCCAAATTTAGTTGTTATTTTACCAACTTGGGACCATCCCAACTAAAGTGTTCCAACTGGGACACTTAAGTTGGGACCGTGGTCTACATATACAATGAAGTTGGGGCGTACCAACATCAGCGACAAACCTCTTTCGAAATCTGCTGTACTCAACGGTCTCAGAACCAGCGAATCACCAGGATTGGAAGGTGATGCAGCTGGATGGAATTTAGCCTTTGACCTTTCCTCAAAGTCTATTCTGGACAACAAACTTTTGTCAAACATCAGGGTTTCTTCCATTCCGTTCTGTTTGAAAAGGAAATGGAGAGAATTACAGGTAAAAGATTATTAATGTAATGGTCCCAACTAGCTCATCAGTTCAAAATTAAGAAGGGCCCACCCCAACCATAAGTGTTCCAACCAGCGCAGAACATTTAATTTGGGAGGTCTGAGATTGAAAACTGTTATTTTTGGGGGTTTCAGATGGAACGTGGAGTGCTGTGGCCTCGTGGTTAAGGGCACTGAATTTGTGGTTTGCGGGTAAAGCTGCAGGTTGTCGGTCATGGTGCGAGTGCCCTTGGGCAAGGCACTTTGTCACTCATTGCTTCTCTCCACCCAGGAGTAAATGGGTACCTGTGAGGGCAGAGATGGTTATTGTGATTGGATTACCGGTAGCTTCCTTGCGCCTAACAGGCTGCATCAAGCTGTATACTCCCCAGGGAGCCGAGATGGTTTTTGGAATGTTTCATGGGCCCCACCCCCAAAACATCAGTCATGCATCCCAGCACTTGCATGATGAGTCTGAGGAGAGGGGCGGGGCAGGGGCATTCCTCAAAACATCAACAAATCAATGATCAGCATATAAAAAAACTTTCCTGCTGCTTGTTGTCCTGTGAGTTGTGTTTCATCTTATCATACCAATCTGGCAGTGCACAGCATAAATCATACCTACCTCCATTTTTTTCCTTTGCTTCTAAAATGAGAAGCAACTACGGCGAACTAGTGCAAGGAGCAACCGCACGTCCGTCTTCCTCACCAGTGAATCTGCAACTGATGAATTTGACACGTTTATAGTCTTGTGTCCATCTCTTCTATCGTCAAAATTCGTTTTATAAACTATGGAACCAGACTACACGTTTGAAATCAGGTCCCAGACGCCTATCATTACTTGTGGGTAGGATGCAAACGTACCAGGAGGATCCTGACTAAAGAAAATGGCGGCGCCCATGTGACAAATGAAAGTGAAACAATTCTCTTGCATGCTCAGCTAAACCATTTCCTCCGATTACACCTTCATTAACGCCGTCTTATATACGTAATATAGTGACGCAAAGGCTTTAGACAATGTGTTGACAGAAGTGATCTTTTTTAATGTGAGTGGAAAAGCTGCGGAAAGCGATCGATCGATCAAAAGCAAAAGTAAGCTGAACTGACTAACGAGTATTCCGTGCTAGTACTATACTATAGTAGAAGTAGAAACGCAGTGGCTATTGTTACGGCAGCCGTAACGCATTTCCCATTTTCTATCGTTACGGTAGACTGCAACCTGGCAACTTTTATAAAAAAACATGACAAGAAAATATAAAATTAGAAGGAAAAAAGTGAATTTGAACTTTATGAAATTTGGACTTTATTTCCCTTTTAAAAAAAATCCTCCAAAGCCTCGGGTTAGAAAAGGAAAAAAATTCGAGTGCAAAACTGAGATTCGAACCCGCAACCTCGCGATGCAAAATCCTACCCTCTATCGGCTGAGCTGGCGCACTGCTCGATAAAACGTGGGGAAACAAATAATTATATACCCGCGTGCGTATCAAAAAAATATCGTAGAGGGCGCTAAACAACGAGTGCCGTAACGATAGCCACTTCGAAGTAGAAAAGCAGACCAGCGCTAGCGCTGATGCAGTTGGCGGATTTTAAAAGATGCAAATTTTGGCTATCAACCACTCAACTTATCATGCTTATTTGACATCACTGGTATTTAGGCCTAATGTCAATGATTTTTTTTTTTAGACAACGTACATTTTTTTGAGTATTCTGTAGTGTTAGGTAAAATAGTATTCAGATATTTATTTTTGCCTTTTGGAGTTTTGGCTCACTGAGCCAAAAATAAAGAATACCCCAAAATTTAATCATCAACCGAATATCCGATTAGAATTTTACCAAATACAATATTCGATAAATGTAATACTATTACTAACTATCAATTTATCATGACTAGACGTGCTAGAGGCTAGTGTATTTAAGAAGGAAGGGATTTCACACAAGCTACATGTAGCTTGAGTTGCATAAAAAAATTACAATATAGGCCTTAATAAAAATATGCATAATTTTCACACTTTTCTCAAAACGTATATACATGTATCTACTGAGCTGAAATTTTGACAGGTAATTCTTTTTTAAATGCATGTAATCTGCTTCCTATTTATTGTATTGTTATTCCTTAGAAGACTGATGATCAACAAATATACATTTTTCACATAACCTATGTATGAATGTTACATGTATTTTTCCTATTTATTTGTCAGGGTCTTCACCGTCATGAACGTCCAAGCAGCCAGGTTTCTGAGTTCAGCTCCTGCAATGATGAGCATGTGTACCCAAACATCCAGATCAGTCCCAAGACTCGCATTGAGATCCCAAGGCCTTAAACATTCTCCCCGATTGTGTGGCCAGGTTGCATGCCTGCACTTGAACAAGCACATCTTGAGAACTACTCATGCAAAGTATATTACAAGTTCAGCAGTCGCGGCATGCAGGTTAACAACACTTTATGGGTATTGTCCGAAACTGTACAGTACCGGAAGTCCTCAGGAGACTGATGATAAACGAGCAGCGAAAGATGAGAAACGTTCACCGGGAGAGGTTCACGTTGATACAGACTTTGTGGAAAATGAAGCTACTGGTGAGAAAAGGAGGAAAGGACAGATGAATCGGTATGTGAGGAGGGCCTCCAAAGCAACCGAGAAAATGAAGGAAAAGATGGCAGACACAGTCAAAGACATGGTAAATATGTCGGTAGGAAGAAAGTTGGTTATGTTTTTTTAAATGACAAGTATTATGGAGTGTCATGGCCTAGCGGTTAAGAGCACCGGGCTCATGCTCTAGTGTTTCAGAGGCAACAGTGGCATGGGTTCGAGCCCGGGCCCGGACACTTGTGCCCTTAAGGAAGGCACTTAACCATTATTGCTTCGTCCTTCGGATGGGACGTTAAGCCGGAGGTCCCGTGTGTATGTTGTATAAGGCCTAACGCACGTAAAAGAACCCAGTAACACTTATCGCTAAGAGAAGGGGTTTGCCCCAGTGTTTCTGGCCTCCTAGTTATACTCCCTTGTGGAAATCCTTAGGAGAAGAACCAACCAAGTACCAAGTTTTACTGTACAGTGTATTAAGGGCCCGTCTCAATTCATACATGTATTCGAGACGGGTTCCAGACAAGAATCTTTCACTTTGTCCGAAAGAAGCTCTGCATTTGTCCCAGACATGTTCCGGGGAAATGTCATCAGCAACTGCTTGACTCACCAATACTGATAACTTCTTTGCGGGAAGATTGCCGGGAAGTTGTTCAAAATCCTGCAACTTATACCAAATACAATGTCCGGAACTTGTCCCGAACTCCTACTGAATATGAATTGAGACAGGCCCTTTAACACTGTACTACAGTCAAACCTGTCATTTAAAAGAAACATATACAAAACAAATTGCAGAGGGTCCAGCACAGACATTAAGCATTACATGTACATGTATTTCTTGAGATTCCAGTCGTGCAGAATGCTTAATGTAACTTCGCTTCTATTAATGATTCATCATGCATCCATACATGTAACATGCAAAGAATTTCCCTAAATGTATGGTATTTTCAATACAATGTATCCCTATTTCTGACATCTCAGGCTGAAAGCTTCTGAGACAGTAGCAGGTTAATGAGTCCTGGTCCCTCGCTGATCGCTTTTCTTAGGATGAGAGAGAAATTGTGATGCGATCAAGCTAAATGAGTCGTTTGTCGACTCTTGGTCATTTTGTTTTTTTACAGATTGGAAAAAACAGCTCAATCTCAGCATTACTGCTGTGAAAACTGCATGCTGCTACCATCTTTAGTTCAAAAGTTATGTCGAAACACGAAGAGATGTGATGAAGTGATGTGATGAAGCGGTCCTATTTCGGCCTGAATCTCAAATCGAAATTTCCCAACAAACGACTCATTTACATGTAGCTTGATCGCATCACAATTGTTGTAAAGTGCCTTGCTCAAAGACATGTCCAGCCCATACAATACATGTTGTTACAATGACCGTTTTCAGTTAATCTTTAAACAGGTGCACATGAAATGTTTGAAACCAAATTTCTCTTCATTGTTTACTTGCAGAAAGAGAATATATTCACCATCCCTAACCTGCTGTCCACAACACGCCTAGTCATGTCCCCAGTTCTGGGTTACCTGGTCATACAGGAGTCTTACACACTGGGTGCTTGCTTGTTTGCTGTGGCTGGCATCACAGACTTGGTAAGGACCAGACAGATTCAATGTTTCATTTGAACATTTACATACAGAGTTGAATTCAAATTAGGCAAGTCTCACTTATCACAATTCAATCACAAGCCATGCAGTTCAAGCTATTATCTGGTTCGTTTGTGTGATGTCAATTCAGTTTAAACCACGCCCACTGGCTATTAACAGGGGTGTGAGTGACCACTGATAAAAGTAGCTGAAAACAGCTGGAAAAAAAGTGTAAAAAAGCTGAACTTTGGAAATTCCCAGTACTTTTGTACACAGCCAGTGAGGGAAAAAAAGAAAGAAATCCAAAACAACACAGGAAATCTAAGCTGAAATCAGCTTAGATTTCACACCCCTGTATTAAGTAGCATTGGAACCATTGCAACCGGAAGCTAACGCAACTTGAGTGTTTATCCAATGGGCACTAGTAATCAGTGGATATGAACTAAGAAGTTAAGAACAGTATTCTGTTACAAATTTACGTACATGGTCGAACCACCACAAGTAAATCACAAGTAAATAACATCTTAATTAAGCTACCTGTATTCAAATGGACTATTGCAAAAAAAACCTCTTTCGTTTGTTTATTTGTCACTGTTCACCCTTTACTAGTTTACCTGAATCATGATATGAATTGCGATAGACTTGGAATTTGACTTTTGATTGACTATAGTACCTTATTTGATCAAACACATGTAAAAAAAAAGTACAGAAAATTTGCTTGTTAGGAATTCAGAAGAGATTCCCCCAATCAAAAACAATAACAAAACGTGGGTTTGTATTGCAAGCAGAATACATATTGGTTGTTGCTGCATGTTGATCTTGCAAGTGCCAAAACAACTTGTTGGGAAGTGAGAAAGCTCAAGTGGGCATGGTGGGAGGACTTTTTGCCACCCATCAACCTTATTCACAGTGTTGGTCGTCATTGCTAGCTGAGATACATGTACATGTACATGTACGTACAACAGTAGTGAAGAATTAAACGCATTAAGGATAAGAATAAAGTACACACAGGACAAATCGTATCAAAACAATCTACATGTAGACTCGTGTATTTTCATAGATCTGATGATCCAAAATCTCTCTGTTCCAATGTACATTTATATACTTGTATGCTCGTTTTACTTGTTTCTAGCTGGATGGTTTCATTGCAAGAAACTTCAAGAATCAGCAGTCAGTTCTTGGTTCCATCATTGATCCACTAGCAGACAAGTGTCTGGTTACTATCCTCGCACTCAGCTTAACTGTCAGCGGCCTTATCCCAGGTACAGACTTTGCAAGCATAAGACTGATGTTTCAAACTGAAAATGCCCTCGCTCCTCTAAGTGCACTGGAGTCATCATGATAACTCTCTAGAGTAATGATGCAGTGCAAACATTTCAAACACTACAGATTGTTCCAGTGTTGTGGGCTCATAGTCTGGTGCTTGATATCACGTTCTTTTGGGTAATTCTGTGTACATGCCATCTGGGTTTGGGACTGGCATTTGGGATTGCGGTGCATGTGTCCATTGGCAAGACACTTTACACCTACATGTACATGTAGGAGTTAAATGGATATCTCTGCAAGGTGGTTATTTAGGGAAATGGTAATACATGTATTGTCTTTGAATGGACCATTTTGCCAAGCAAGGTGTACGGTTCCGAAAAACAGATCTAGAGGTCATGTCTAGCTACTTGATCTTTGTTAAAAGTGATATAGCATGGTTCGACTTTAGCGGTAGCTCGCTAGCCAAATGCTAGTCAAAACTGCGGTGGGTTAGTCAAACTATTCCTCTAGTAGCCTGGCTTGCGAGTCAGAACTTATTGGGCTACGGCAGCGATGAAAGGACAGGAAGAATTATTATCATTAAATTCGGAAAGCAAACCTGTATCAATTGGTGTAAATTGTATTAACTGTTTAGGGTGAAACTATTAGATCTGTAAAAACACTGACAAGATTGCCTCAGGATACACGTTTTACATGTACATGTATGCACATTGTTGTTGTTGTTGTTTATAAGACACTCTATAAAAGAAAAACATGCGGGCTCGTGAAGATGCCCACGGGCTAGTTAAAGAGTCTGTTTCAGTAGCCCAGCTGGCTAGTGAAAAAAAAGTTAAGGTCGAAGTTCGAACCCTGTATAGTGTGTACAATACTTTGCCAGTGTTTACAAGGCTCGCAAAAAGTGTCCTTTACTAATTTCAGAAACTTTTTGGTAGACTTTTTTTTTCATATCAATGATCTCATTTTGTTATCCTTCCACCTGTAGTGCCCCTAACTATCCTGATGGTCAGCAGGGATGTTGGTCTAGTTGGCAGTGTCTTCTACCTCCGGTACCAGTCTCTCCCTCCACCCCGGACAGTCAGCCGATTCTTTGACATCACCCACGCCACCGTCCAACTCAAACCCACCACCATTAGCAAGGTTTGTTGTAAAGACTGTCATGGAGATGATATTTCCCATGTCCCTTATGACATTATGAATACACTAAAGTGGTGGTAATGAATATTAAGTGGGTGGCTAGCGTGTAAAGCGCTCTCACCACTATGGCTCTAGTTCATTTCCGGCTAGGACCATATATGAGTAGAGTTGTGCGTTGGTACGATTTTCTTCTATTTCACAAGGGTTTTTCTCTGGGCCCTCCAGTTTTCCTCCCTCTGAAAAAATAAACCACTTTCGATCTCTGGCTGTACTCCGTGGTCATACTATACATGTGTATTAGTCATACGGCTGGCTGCCTTTACATACCTGTGGCTTGACCATGTTGTAGCCGCATCCTTCGCAATTCAGCTTCTCAGCTGTGAGTGAGGATGATAAGCCTTCCAAATTATACACACTGACGTTACCCTAATTATAAGCTCCAGGTGTGATCTATCCCCCCATTGAATGGGGTTGGGGGATGGGCCACTTGGAAGTAAAGATACAATTAAAGTTGACAGTATGCAGAATACACATAACATTGCCAGGAAGGATGTTAATAACACACATTGCAATGCACACCCAACATACATTTCATTCTTTGGGGTATGCTGATGTTCAAGCTAATAATTATTGCCAAACACTCTGCGTGGCCGACATCATGTGCAATTTGACTTATTGTTCACAAACAATTTTTAGAACCCCTGTTGAAGAAAAGGGTCACAACTGACTCGTGATGAGAGGGTCAGGGGTTCGAGTCTTGCTGCTGGCCATATGTTGTGTCCTTGGGCAAGCCACTTCACCCCCACTTGCTTCTCTCTACCACGGGTAAAAAATGGGTACTAGCATTTGCTGTGATGGACTGGCATCCCATAAAAGGGGAATTGGAATATTCTCAGTCGTTTCGTGCCACGAAAAGGGGGGATAAACGCCGGCCTGATGAGCCATGTTGGCTGGGAATAGACTTACTTTACACTTGAAAAAAGTTTTATAAGCATGATGCCATCCTTGCACAGTGATGATTAGTAGGGCATGCTTTGCCAGCTATACATTAAGTAGAAGCCTTTCCTCTGGATGGTGGAAGCATTGCGGAAGGGTTAATTTATCAACCAAGTGCTCCTCTTACCAATTTGCCCTATTTTTGTCTTTTGTTTGTTTGTCACATTTCCAGTTGAATACAGCTGTTCAGCTTGGCCTTGTAGGCTTCACATTAGCAGCACCGGTATTCCACTATGTGGATCATCCCTTACTGCATGCACTCTGGTAAGAGCAAGCAATATCCAGTACAGCTTTATTACCGCAACACAATTACATGGTTACCTGCTTAAGAAAGTTCTGTTGGACATTTTAAGGCGTCTAGTTTCCGTGTAATTTCAAAATGAAATTCTGAGACAAAAACCCTAAAATTAAGTTAGTCACCAAAATTTTCAAAATACTTTATATTTCACAGCTATAATCAGATGATTGTCAATCCTACCATTTTTCTATATATAAAAAAAAATTAGTCGCTTGTGCTTACTATGTTTCACAATCTGAAAACATTTTACGTAGGTGGGAGACCATTTGACAAAAACAAAGCAACTTGGAGGCTCATATAATAAACAGTATTATTAACAGCTTTTGCTTATTTCTCTTTCATTGTTTTCATTTATCATAATTTATCACCCTCACATTACAGGTTTACCACAGCAGCAACTACTATTCTTTCAGGCCTCAGCTATGTCTTCAGTAAAGATGCATTCAAGTTCCTGCGAAAATAAACAGACAAACATTTCTTCAGCTGAACCCAATCTAGTTTGTACATGTAGATGTTATGCAGGTTTATACTTGAAGGTAAATAAGGAAGCAATTCACTTGGAAGGATTGATTCTAATTAAATAATTTACTGTGTGGGAAGTGTGGCCTAGCGGTAAGGGTTCGTGACTCATGATCAGAGGGTCAGGGGTTCGAATCCAGCTGCTGGTCATATGTTGTGTCCTTGGGCAAGGCACTTAATCCCCACTTGCCTCTCTCCACCCAGGAGTATAAATGGGTACCGGCATTAGCTGGGGAGTAACCTGCGATGGACTGGCATCCTGTCCAAGGGGAATAGAAATATTCTCAGTTGTTTCATGCCAAGGAAACCGGAGATAAACGCCGGCCTGATGGGCCATATAGGCTCGGGACAGACTTTACTTTTACTTAAATAATTTACTGCATCAAGAGTGCCAAAGACAAAGCAATTATTTGTTTGCAAATGACCATTCAGGTGAAAAAGATACACAAGATCAACATGTAGGTCCTTACATTACTCAAATTACACAATATCACATTCTATAGAAGATTGAAGTTTGACGTCATTTAGAACCAGAAAGTCCAATGCAAACGAATGGAGTACGCGCGCGTGTTGGTTCAAGGGCTGAATCACGCGCTAATGTCTTTTACACACACATTGTGCGCGTGATGTATTCACTTCGGTACTCTATAGGGCCAGGTTTCAGCTCACTCTGCATGATATCCCAAACTTTTTGTAATGAACAAAATCATGAAATTTGTCCACAGCCTGTTTTCTAAATTGTTGGCTTTATAAAATCAGATGCTTTTGAAATCAAATCATAACTTGCTTCTGATTTCAGAATTCTCTTGAATGTTGTACACAGAAAAGACAGTTTGTATTTTTTTTCTCATTTACAATCTGAACACCAACCTTAGATTTGTATGTATGATATTCAGATTTTTAACAATTTGATAAATAAATCAAACCAAAGAAACAAACCTTAACTGGTCTTTCTGTGCTTTATTACAAGTTCACTTTTATACAACTTTTACAGCAGTAATTACTCCATATTTTTTATTTATTTATACATTTATATACGGTGATGATCTTAAGCTTTTTTGTTTTTACAAATTGTAAGCAACACTAATTGGAAGTCCCAAATGTATAGACTTTCACTTGCTTATATCCCCCAACTTACTCAACATCTACATTTGTTGCATGTCAACCAGCAGTAAGCTTTGCTTTCAACTTCTATTTCAGACCATTGAAAGGCCGCATCCGAACCAGGGAACGTCTCAAAAAGTCTGAACGCTTGGAACTTTCCAACGGGGAACATCGCCTGTTCCAATTGGGAACATGCGTTGTTCCCAGGAGGAACAGCCCAGGAACGCCAGGTGTTCCACAACAAATTCAATTTGTTGGACAGCCGTGAAAAAAAAGGAAAAAAAGACAACGACAAAGCTGGGATTTGAAGATATATGGGCTCCATGCGCCAGCAAAGAGGGCGCTTTTTAACCACTTTTGAGAGCCCCATGGACAGGACACATGGCACGTGCGTACTGTACTGGTTCGCGTGCTAAGTACGCACGACTACCTGCTGAATGTGCCCAAAGCTATTAGCCAGAGTGTCTTCTCATGAGCTTTAGGCGTCGTCGGTGTTCAAATTAATTTTTTTCGATAGTCTCCCAGACTAATCCCCAAATAACTTTGGACACATTCGAAGTCCACAGTGGATGGACTGGGGAACCAGTCTAGGTCTCCCCCAACTCTCCTTTTCTGACCGTTGAAGGGGTACTTGTGCACAGAGCCCACAGCCCGAGACTGATGCAAACACACACACACACACAAACGTGTTCACCGTCGATCATGGACGTCCTATTGTCCCTCTTTTGTTTGTACTCTAACTTTTTAGGAAGACTCCCACAGGTTATGTACACGACCCCAATCGCGGACGTATGACGGGAATCGTGGACGATATTGTTCTCTTTTGTTCTCTGGTATTTTTCGTCCACGGTTTGAAAAGATGAACACGTACACTGCTACTTCACACCTGCACCATGCACAAGCGTGCCGTGTTCAGAGAACATATTCAGGACATTGACCAAATGAGGGCTATCCATCCCATCTTCCCCCTCCACCATTTGATTGGGGGAGGGGGCGGGGCCCCAGGCCCAGTCGCTATTCCACTGTGCATGCAGAAGCGTTTACCTTGGCTCACCTTTTTTAACAAATTCTACCCAATGAAAGCTCAAAAGAGATTAGCCATCAATGGTACAAGTACCTTTAAATAGTGCATTTGGTGACTACAAATACGCAACAGAAAAAGAGAGCACCTTCTTGAATCTAGTCTACACCCAATTCATTTACAGCAGTTCCAAATACAACCGTGCACGGACAGTCTTGTTTTTACTGGCATCTTTGGTAGCAAGCAGAGTTGAGCACAGTAATGACAATATACACTTACTGAACAGAGAAGTTTCTGTGTATTATACATGTCTTTGGCCTCAAAAAGATGATCCCCATGGAAGATTGTTTGCATTGTGATACTTGCGACATTTTAAGCAATCTGATATGTACAAACACTGCTGTTGAACCACATTTTTCTTTACATTAAAGCTACAGTCCATCATTTGCAGCTATCCAAAAAGTAACTGACGTAATTATTGTTAAAAACATACTTGGTTGAAAGATAGTAAGAGGACTAAACTCCCTGCAAATTTATTCTTTCTGGCAAGCTGTCATGTTGAAGAAATCAACGAAAGAAGGCCTTTCCAAAAGACGCACCGTTGGACATTTCCGTTAGTAGTTCGTTTCTTTTATTCGGCGAAGTGCGCACAAGCTTTGGCACGACGCACACGCGAGCGCGTTTGCTATAATTCGTCAGATCTATGCGCGACATCGCGTAGCTGCAATCAGCTCAGTAAGAACGTGTCTTGGACGCTGAATTCAGGCCCAGTTCAAAACACGATTCAGCAACTTTTGATTTGAAATTGAGATCCTAGAATACTGTTTTTCTTGGAATATACAACTGAAGCTGAGCTGAAACTTCATAAGCTTAGTTGTTCAGCAACCTTCGTTAGATTTTGAACACTTTTGTTGCTTCAAACGAACAAAATATAGAAATTACAAATGATGGACTATACCTTTAAAACACAGAGCGTTGGATATGATAAAGCATGACACTGCAGTTTAGTATTATAATTGACTTATATCAGGAGTTGTCAAGAGATGATATATTGTGTAAGTGACAGTGATATACAATCGAGAATTAGTTTATGAGAATATCAAGTATGGCAGTTGACATCAGCAGAAAATCAATTGAAAATCCTATGTGATTGTGCCTTTTTTCAATTGACGAATGCACTGTTGGCTATGGACACCGCAGTATACAAGAAAAATAAAATGAAAGCAGTATTGCCATACACTTTCTGGCTGATTAAATATATACATTTGTATACATGTGAATTATTGTATACATGTACATGCTTAAATGTAATGCCACACTTTGACAAATGTACTGTACACTCAGTTGGACAAATATATTATACAAATAATGAATGTTTGTGAGTGCAATGGTAAGAATAATTTCATGAGGTGACAGATGAAATGTTCCATTCCACGAAGCGAAGCCGAGTGGAATGGAACATTTCATCTGTCACCTCATGAAATTATTCTTTCTATTGCACGAACGTGAAACATTTATTATTTGTTTTATATAACACCTGAATAAATCCTCGTCATCTGATTGGTTGACTTTTAATAGCCAATTTATTCAAGTTAAAAATTGTTTACAAGTTTGACGAGTTCAGAGTTATCATATTCAATTTTTCTCAATTTAAAACTTTTCCATAAGTTTAGAACTCTAACAGTTCAATAAGTTCAGAACTTTTATTGCCAATTTAAACACCACAGCGCCACCATCGGCAACATGTGCAGTGACAGTGCAATGGTACTTCTAATCACAGTGCAATAGTACCTCCATTGCACTGTGCGCTGTGCGCCACACGCACGCCGTGCATTGGTACGAATAATTCAATGACATGTGATCAACGATCCACCAATCAGATGACGGGGATTTATTCAGGTGTTGTATAAAAGAATACAACTGAATAAGTTTAATGACAACAAAACTGCACGTAGCATTTTTGGGTTTTTTTTCCCTTCCAAAATATAAATAATAAAACGTGTTTTTCAGAAAATGCAAAATTGAGATTAGGCCAAAAAAAAAATAAGTCGGTCTCTGGTCAGCGCGCGCGTCGATTTTAATCGTGGGCGTCGATCTTTTTTTTTTCCAAAATGTTCCGCGGTAGCTCCAACAGCGCCCTCTATTTCCTCACCTCCTTAATTTTATTTTACCAAAGAGCACCAAGGAATGGGAAATTGCATCAAGGCAAATGATCGAAAGCACCAAGGCAAATTATGGAGGACACCAATGTACATGAGGACACCAAAAAAGAAAAATAGTACCCACCTTGTCTGTACAATCCAAGCTTGGAAAAAAAAAAAAAAAAGCAAAAAAAAAAAAAAAAAAGCCGAGTGGCCGCGTCAATTCCGGAACTTTGGTCTGACCAGAGACCGAATATTTTTTTTTTTTGGCCTTATTAATCTTTTTTTTTTTAATTGAAGTTCAGTAATTTTTATTTTAATATTTTCCAAAGAAGAATGAATTAAAAATGTGCCTAAATGGCAGATTACATAAAATTCAACAAATATCACTCTCAGCGAAAAGTATAAAAAATTCAGCCTTTTATTCTATGATTTTTTAACATTTCTGTGAATATATGGCTGACATTACCACAAACCTTTCCTTACAATACAAAAGAACCAAGTGTAAAAATAATAACAGATAACTAAATCTTGTTAAACCAATGCTATGACGTCAAACTATTGTTAAAAGTGTGGATTCGGAACTACGAATCTGTTACACTGGTCACAAAGTGTGGATTCAGAACGACAAATCTTTGGTAAAATGTGGATTCGGAATTACGAATCCACACTTTGAACATGTCAGACAATTGTTCTCCATAATGATTATTAATAGGACCGTCTGCATTAAAACTTTCCTTCCGAAATTACCAATGCATCTTCACTGTCAGATTCTCCGCCGTCACTTCAAAAACTACTTTGAGTCAGAAAGAAATCGTCGTCTGAACTATCCATGTTGATGTAAGGAGCCTACACACAAAATGACTTGGTTGTATGGGTGTGGCGATACACATGCTTGATTATGTATAAGAGCCTCGAAAAACTCCCTTGTAAATTACCCCAAGTGGCCAGACTCGACACGAGATATGCCAGTCTTTTCATCTCCACTCACTGGACTGTTAATGACAATACTTCTTTTGACGCAATGGTTTAAGTCAGAGAATACCCTCGCAAGTGTGGATTCTTAATTTACGAATTCACTTGGGGCTACGAATCCACACTTTCTTGTGTATTCTCCTAAACGTAGATGATGATGTTCACAATTCATGACAAAATTATTAAAAATTGTGATTTCAAATGCAAGTACATGCACATGTACATGTATCTTAAACATTTTAAATCATTAATATCGTGTAAATTGTAAGCTCGTAAATTGACTATGGACTGGATGATGACTTGTGATTGACAGGTTGTGACTTATTACAAGTCTACAAGAAAAGCCTTGGAAAATGAATTACTTCGATACTGGTTTCTATAAATACAGTATTTTGTTGATATCAATTTAAGTTGAGTTAAGTTTTTTTGGATTGTTGATTTAAGTTGAGTCAAACTCAGGCCCAGGCCCAGGCCCAGGCAGGACAGTTTAATGTAGGTTTTAATATGTCCCTTTTTGTACATTTTGCCATCTCAACAAGGTTCCGTTTCATCAGTACCAGTATGTACAGCACAGGGCTTACATACATACATACATACACAAGTGCATGTAGAATTTGGTTGAAAATGTAGAATTTGGTTGAAACTTAGTTGAATTCGCAAGTCAATTAATAAGTCAAATAACAACTAGCAAGTCAATTCCCCATGTCACTTTAAAAGCCAATTTATATAACAGCGTACGAGCAATGTCAAATGAAATACATTTGTGATTAACTTGTGATTGACTTGTGATGACTTGTGATGACTTGTGATGACTTGTGATTGACTTGTGATAACTTGTGATGACTTGTGATTGACTTGTGATGACTTGTGTTGACTTGTGATGACTTGTGATTGACTTGTGATGACTTGTGTTGACTTGTGATTGATTTGTGATGACTTGTGATGTCTTGTGATTGACTTGTGATTGACTTGTGATGTCTTGTGACTGGCTTGATTACAACTCTTACATACAGATTCCATACACGAGAACTCTCTGAACAGTGACACACTAGATTGCAATTGCTGCCTCACAACCAAGATGCGATGGGCTTGCGCACACTCACAGGAAAATGGATAATGCACACTCTACGCCGTACAATGTATAAAACTTACGAATCAATTCGCCAATGCGCCATGAAGTTCACTACTGGCTTTTGTGATAGAGCCATATTTTACTCTCTACTAATGCTGCACGGAGTCAAAAGAGCAGAATATGCTCGAGATTTCTTCTGAAGATTTGGTCACCATTTATGCAGTATGAACATCGTATAATTTGCCGTTGACATAATAGTTAAGAAAGTGTGGAAAGGCATTTACCACTTGAGAAGAATGTATTAAGTACTGCAATAATTTGGTTTTGTTTGTCTAACGAAGAGTATTAAGGACAAATTATTATATTTTAGTGTTATTTTTATGTACACAACTTTGTCTGAAGAAACTATTTAGATATTAATGACATATCTGGTTGGACAGTATTTTGGTATTTCTTAATTGAATGGTTCTGTTGTGAATCTTGTTTCAGAATTGTTAGCCCCCTGGCAATAAATATGGCACCCCAGATTTTCACTCCCTTACACTTATTCCGTTGAAACTTAACAGTGGCCACATACATGTAACATACAAAGCATGACTTTGTCATATTTAGCAAAAACGACTCGGCTTGACCTGCTCTGACAATCTGGATTGAGTTGACTATTGATTAGCGTGGCTACGTTGCAACTGGCAGAATGTTAATCATTGTAGCGGGATGGGTACCAGACAAAGGGAGGATCAAGATGTGGGCAACTCCCGCGTTTGCTGCAGCATCCTCACAGCCTAAAATGAGGAGAGAAAACAATTTTAAGTTTCAATAAACCACACAGGGAAAATGACAAGGTGCTTATGTTTATTTTGATGTTGAACACTGGAGCAGGGTTCAAACCTGTGACCTCCGGATTGCTGTTCCGGTGCTCTTCCAACCAAGCTTTCCAGCCCTATGATGGCGGTTCCCATTTTTTGTCAATGACTTTGTTCCAGGGATCGCGCCCAAAGTCACATTGTTACCAACATTAGCAATGCTGCAAACCTGGGAAATATTTCCACCGCGTAAAGAAAAAAATTCACTTGGCCTCTGGAATATAATGGTTTCATTCTCTTCTCAACAAGAGGCAGGCATGCAACTTTTCCTCGGATCTGCTGATTTCCTCGGTTTTTTTACTTCTCATGAATGCCATTACAAATTATGAAAAACACTGTACAAACTATACAACAAAGTCTTGTGTGGTTTGGTGTTTCCTCATTTTTTTCTAAATTTCCAGTTACATGAACATGTTTGTACATGCCTGAAGTGGGTAGTAATTTTAGCACCAAAAAAAATGGGACTAGTAATTTTCAATACTACCCTTCAACTGTGCAGTATAAATGACGCCTTTAAGGAAAGCAACAGTGGATTTTTCTTCTTGAGAAGTGTACATGTACCTTTTGCATGGCAATGATCCAGGAGGAGGCAGCTTTCCTTGAGTAGTCGTCTGGAACAAAGAGCAGTAGATCCCTCGTCTCATCGATGTATCTGTACTTGATGGACATGGATGTGATGACTGCATTTTCTGCAAGGAGAGTACAATTACTGTTAAAGTGCCGTGGCATTGTGGTCTGGAGCACTGAATTCTTGGTCTACGGGTTGTGGGTTCGAGTCCAGCCTGGTGTTATGGTTTTGGTGTGTGTGCCCTTGGTCAAGGCACTTTGTCACTTATTGCTTCTGCCCACCCAGGGGTAAATGGGTACCTGTGAGGGCAGAGATGATTATTGTGACTGACTGCAGACATAAATCAAATTAGGTTTTGCCCTTCACCGACGTGCTTTGCGCCGAAATGGCAGCATCGAGCTGTATACTCCCCAGGGAGCTGAGATGGTATTTGAAATGTTTCATTGGCCCAATGAGCAGGGTAATAATGATGTAGCGCCTTGAGCACCAATATTGGTGGATACATGTACATGCGCTTTATTAATACACATCATTATTATTATTATTTTAAAACTAATTAACTCCTTAAATGCATAGTGAGTTGATACATGAGGTTAAAATCCCACCAGTTATGAACTCTGTCCATGAACAGTAGGTGCTTTGTGACCAGTCATAAGAGCTCGATGTGGGAGGGTCACATTACATGCTCTCACTGGTACAAGCGAAGTACGTTGTATCGTGTGGCACAAAGTGCCCATGACTTGTGATTTCATTCTGAATGTGCACAAACCCATGCCAGGCATAAGACAGTGCTGCATTTCAAGTCCCTCTAAACTCTCCCTTTGTAACCGAGTATCTTAATGTAACTGAGTACATGTACATCTACCGGTACATGAATTGGCTAGACAGTAATAGTGCATTTCTTGATTCCATCCAATGAGAGTCATTAAGTTTATTGTTGAACTGTCCAGATAAACTGATCAGTATCAATGTTGTGGATCTGTTTATAGCATAATTCTGAATTAAGTTTTGCTTTGAAAAAGTGCTATAGAAATACCCATTTCTTATTACAAGCTAACTCACGTACCAGCCAAAAGGCAAGGATATTGGTTTTTGCTTAGCTGTATGTAAATCTAAATCTACTGATTAGTAATGTCTAATATCATTCATCGAAATCATATAATAAACATTGTATATGTTCAGGGCATTTAAAGGTGAGGGTTGCTTATGCACAGTCAATTCTTTTCTTTTCTTCTGCAAGGAGAAATGTGCAGCCTTCCCGATAGACTGATCAATTAACCCTATTACTACTCCTTGGCGTCTTTTACTAAGTACCGGTACTGGACCAAGTCCGCCAAAATCCATCACTGACCCTGCTTCACAAAATGCGTTAGGACCAAATCCGCTGAAATCCACCACAAGACCAACACTACTATACAATGTAGGTGGATTTTGATGGACTTGGTACTCGTGGCTTGCCCACCAAAATCCCCAAAATGGGGGAATGGATTTTGATGGATTTGGGAAGGTTAGGGTTAAGCCCCATCCCCTGTGCATGGGCGACAACACATGTCATTCTGTGAAGTTAACGTCCAACCTGTTACCTTAGTACTTTGAAATTGACCATTCAAATATCATTCATCGGTCAGTCCATTAAGCCATTGATCTTGTTTGGACTCACTCTGGTTAGTCTCGTTACCAGCTGTTTGTATCTTGACCTCCTGGATGCTGGTCAGTTGGACCGGGTCATGGACCCATTTGGATGGTCGGGTATTCTCCCTGTCTGGCTTCTCCTCGCTGAAAAACAGACTCCTGCATCAGATGAGAGAGAAAGAGCAAATTGAGTAAAACCCAACTCTCTAGAAACCTTCCGCGACTTCCTAAATCCTGAGCAGGAATGGCACATTCTTTCTAACTTAACCTTCTTATGAAAACATAGATTCTGTGCCAAGTTGTCCTTTCAGTCAAAATCAATCAAGTGACTATTGTTAACAGTTAAGAGTTCCCAGCCCACACAAAGCATGATTTACTGGCTGTGACTGTTTATGTAACTTGATACAGCTAAGCTTTGACTGTAGGTGATTGATAAGACAGTTGTGTCACCAGTTTACTGCTTTTGTCTGTTGGCTGAAATTGACTGGTCAGAGTGCTCGCTTCAAATATGATCTGACTGTTTGGGATTTTGATGGAGTTGCTAAGGTTAAGGTTAAAGGATTCACAAATTAGATCACCTCAAGGATAAGATAAGGTCTTGAGTTTAAATTGCCATCACAATGACTAGTATTATTCCTTACATGTAGATGTACAAAATCAATACAGGACTGAGGCGATTTCTGATATTATATTACATGTAGCTATGTTCTTACCAACCAACAAGGTTTAACAAATCTGAGACTGATACGTGGTACATATGTACAAAAACCAGTTTTGACATAATTTTGAATTGAACTTGTCTTCATAGTGAATCTACATTTTGTTTTGTGAATATTCCAAAAAAATCCTTCTCAAGAATTTATAACAATATTCAAACCATTTTGAGTACAAACCTGTGGTTGGCAGCTAGGTAACAGAACGCCTCGGCTTTGTCATTTTCCAGCTCGTTACTCTTCAAAGTAAAATTGCTTCCTGTGATTAAAAAATGGAAGAGCGAAACCATAAATAGTCTCTTATAAAAAAACTTTGTTGAGACTTGATACAGTTGATGTGCAGGCAAATGGATCTGCTACCATTTTCAGGGGAAAGGCTCAATATAACGATGCTAAAAACTTATAACAAAATACTAAAAGCTATATTTCAAATAGTTTCGCTTTTAATCAATTTAAGATCCATAAAAAATGAATTGACTAGGGCATGTAGGGCAGGGCTGGTGCCGGCATGCTGTTAGGAAATTGTGGGTTCTATTCCAGATCCAGTCAGTTTTTTTGCTCAACGGAAGACGAGGGGTTTACGACCAGTCAGCCATCGTCAAGAACGCCAATACCACAGACCACCTCTTCAATTAGATGCAGCAGAGATCATCGCTCCTGTCAAGAACTCGCTTCCACAAAGGATCAGAGAGGCCATCGAGATCCACAAGCATCACACCGTTCCACAAGACATCGGATTCCACCTCAGTGACATCCGGCGCCCCCTACTCCCATTATCCTCACCTCCACGCCTCAGCGACCAGCCACCAGCATCCTCACGCCTCAGTGACCAGCCTCCAGGATCCTCATGCCTCAGTGACCAGCCCCTTTCATCCTCATCACTACGAACTAGCAATCACCCTTTAGCATTAATCACTACAAGCATCAGTGATCACCTATCTCCATAAATTGCAGCCCCTTCCACCAGTCCGGCATTCTCCTGAAGACGATCAGACCATATTGATCAGAATGTTGAGTTTTCAACCAACCGGCTCTTTTCAGAACCACACATCTTCCCAATCCTTCACTAGGTCTTTGTTTAACATTATGGACTCTGTGCACAAGTATCCCCTCGACGGTTACAGAGAGAAAGTTGTGACAGACCACTTGCCAGTGTGGTATTCGAGTCCCTGAAAGTCCCTGCAAGTCAATTCAATTCAATTCAAATGACCTGTTACAAAAAGCACTCCTTTGTCAATGTTCATCCTGTTACTCGTGACTGGATTTATGAAAGGACTTGTGAAAGGACATGTGAATGGACTTGTGATGGATTCGAATACAACACTGGCACTCACCTACATGTACATGTACCACATTAACTCTCACAGGAACAAGGCTTTGTGCACATTCAGAAAAAACTACATGTACATGTACAATGTACCTTAATTTTGTACATTGTACCTTGTAGATATCATCTCCAAAGAACATCCTCGTGGAGTATAACTGGAGGCTTGATGACGGTGGTTCGCTTCCTAGTGGGACTTATTTACACATGTACATGTGTATTTGTTCATACTTCACACCATGCCTGCCAAACGCATGCGAACCAGATTGCACACCTGGTGTCCCCCCCCCCCCCCCCCACCCAACTTGAGCCCTCACACATGTCACAAGAGGTCACAAATGGACCGATCCAGTAAGCTCCGCTTAGTGCGCATGTGGGCAAATGAACACGTGCTCCGCTCCAATGCCACGCTGCATTTTCCTTCCGCGCACATCATACGTGCGTGCACGCATGTTGGACTTTTGTGCACGCACGTCGGACATAGGTTACGTTTGTGATTGGTCAGAACACCATGGGGTAGTGCTTACTGGATCAGTCCATTAGCCCCATCCACTGTTCATGAATGGAGTGCATATCCATTATCACAAAAGAAATACCATGAAAAAGAAACTGACCATTGACAAGAAGCTTGAGTTGTTTGTCGTAGAATTCGTTTTCCTTCTTGGTGACCACCGCGCATTCCTCACACATCCGGACCGGATCCACAAAGTTCATGCGAGGCAGGGGCACCTTAGAGGAGCAACACTGGCCGCAGAAACACTTGCCACAACGCCGGCAGTGATGCTGGAGAGCAGCAATGAAACAATAGTAGGGTAAACAAAACTATTTTTAAACAAACACAACAAGCATTTGGAGAAATACAAATTACAGGGAAAGAAACTCAGTATTGATCGGAAGGATGGATACAATGTTTTTGAACATGTTGTGGAGCAGCCATGAACCATAGCAATCCTCATCCAGTCACACTCCAAGGGTTTGTTGGATTCTGTTAGAAAGAGGACTACACTGTAAATGCTTTACATGGGGTTAGGCATACATGTACCACCATAATCAGAGTCCAACATTTGGGTGTATACATGTACTAGAGTTTACCATGTAGTTTTGGAATTTGCAAGGGTGAGGAAGGTTCCTCGTAATTCACTCAAGGGGGTTAGGATTAAGGCTTCTTCATGTACATGCCATCAGAGGTTGATATGGTAGACCTTCCACTTGAGATAAATGACCATTTACCAATTTGTCTGAACAAAACAGATGTTCTCAGTCAAAACAATCAGACAGTTAGCGCAGTGTTCATGTTTTGTTTTTTTGTCGCATCCTGTGTGTTACTGAGTCAAAAACTTGGGAGGCCACTTAATTTTGTAACCACTTACATAATCTGTTTTTGTAAACTTGTAGGAGTTGAAACCTTTCGTTCATTTTGAATTTTTCTTTGGTAAAATCTCAAAACTACAATTGCATTTTCCATTTTCAAATTAGGGTGTTTTTTGTGTGTGGATAATTTAGAGACAATTAAGAGACAAACATGACCGTTAAGAGACAAACATGACTATTGTTTTCTTGGTCCAACTAACACAGAGGAGAATGGGGATAGGTATAAATGTCAAGAGGAAAAACAGGAACCCATGAAACTCTGGTTTTTACTGGATGACTGAGCACTGACAATGAACAAAGATCCCAATTACAATGTACATTTTGTGTACCCATGTGTAAGCCCTACAATGTATGTGTACATGGGATATGTATCTCTGCTGAACATGTATTAATTACTACTTCAATGCTTAACATTTACACATTCATTAGAACACTGCTGTCATGGCAATACAATATGTCATTTCCTGTAACGGCGTCCCTGTCTGTGCCCCTTTGACATTCAAGAAACAACACGCTACACTGTATTCGTTTAGCAGACATACATGTATGTACATACGCGGAAGGCCAAGTCGAAGCCTTGGGATAGTGCAGATTTACATAGACCATGATTAAACTGCAGGGTTGCTTGTTGAATGTTACCGTACATGCCGTACAGTGGCCACCTGTTAACATTTGATACTCATTTACTTGAAAAAAAAGGAAGTTTTACATTAAATATCACAAATGAATGGGAAAAAAGTATCCCTTGAAATACATGTAAGCATTGCTGTCAGGAAGCAAGTGCGCACAGTGCAACACGAAAATCTGGAAAAGAATTAATCTAAAGAAAAAAAACTCTAGCAAGAAAAAAAATGTCCAATAAACAAGAAACAAATTGACAAAACAAAACCTAGCAAGAAAAAAATGTCCCATAAATAAGACACAAATTGACAACACAAAACCTGAACAGAAACATCAACAGGATATGAAAATAACAGCACAAGATAAATTTCAAAAACATATCGTGTTACAAACGAGGAGGATTGTTTCTCCTTATGATGATTATTTCTCCTTCATATGCACAGTGTACATCATGCAGGATTTGTACATCATGCAGGAAAATACAAAATTTACAGTACTCACCCTGCGCTTGACTAGGTCATATTTGCAGCTACATTTGACACAGGCCAGGCACTGCAGGGGAAAGGAAATGAAAAAAATGGAAGAAGTTTAATTTCAGTAGTTTTTGGGAAAGGACAAATAAAAAATGTAAATTGGGTACAATGTATTAAATTTTTAATCAAAATCAAAACATTTATCTCCTCCCAGACCAATCCAATGTCGTCTCTAAGAGCATGCTGGGATACACATTTTTAAGAAGCCCAGCGAGATTTGGCCAGGATTGTAGATGCTCTGTCATGTCTGTGGTGCAATCTGAGGCATTTCCTGGCCACTTTCCCCTGACTCTTTGAATCAAATTTACTCGTGTTTATAACTTGAAGGCGACATTTTTCGGGGGATGGGGGGTCATCAGAAGTCAATTTTATGGGGCATTTAAAAAAAAAACAATTAAGATAATTCATGTCTTTTTTTCTGTAATCATCATCAAACAACGAATGGCATTCCAGGAACTGAACTTTAATTCGCTTTCCTTTTGTTTTGGGTTTCAAACTGCTCATTGGTATGTATGTTTCAACTTTACATTTAACTTCTGTAGTCTAGCATTTTAGTCTTGTACACAACCCAAAGCTCACAAGCAATAATTCCGATCTTGCTGACTTGGCATCAATGAAGCAGTTCTAACATGTCTAAACTGCAGTACAATTAGACATAACCTAATCTAAACCTTGCAGGAAAAATAGTAACGGAATGATTGAAAACAATCAAATTGGAAAATCATTAATGCTAAGAAATGGGATGTACAATTTATGAAGGTACATGTACTGTGTTTTCTGTCAGAAAACCTATGGCTCTACATGCAGGTTCGATGACACAATGACTCAAGTATTATGCCTGAGAAGCCTTCTGTGTTTTAATTTGGTGGCCCATTTGCTGACTGAGGCAAATTATGCCAATTGAGGGAATTATTGGGAGGGGGAGGGAGGTGTCACACCCCCCTATACACATGTATGTATCATACATGTACATTGTGTGCGTATACCGGAATGTACCAAGTAATTCTGGGCCTGGCTAATAGTGGGCTGGGGAGGAAGGAATTGATTGATCATGATCACACTGCAAAAGATCACGACCCTTTCCTCAAAACAAATATCCCTCTAGTCTATACACAGTATGTACTGGTACATGTACATTATGCATGTACACAATGTACCATACTTTTGTAGAGAATTTCCTCGGGGCAAGTGGCTATCCTGAGAAATTGATTATGTACCTACATGTACAGTATGTTTGCAATTAATAGTACCTACACTGTACACATGTACGCAAAAAAAGATGTCAGAAAAGTTAAATTTCCACTATGTGCTTGTACATGTGCATTGCATACTTTGTGCAAACTAGTGAACAAGTAAATGTATGCACTACATATGGACATGTATTTTTTATAATGTACCGGGTACATTAATACTTACCGGTATGTACTGTGTAAATTATTAACCCTAACCCCTTGGTTATTTTTACTAGAACATATCCTGAATCTGCCAAAATCCATCAGTTTTGCAACTCAAAAAAAATGTTGATGGACATTGAGTCCATCAGAATCCACCAGTTAGCCGGAAGTAAATCTATTGAGATCCTGAATCCATCAAATTCCCCCAACTACTCAATATGGACGTATCCTGAATCCATCAAAATCCTGCAGTACCACTAGGCTTCGTGTCCTGAATCCATAAAAATCCCCCAACTTTTTCAATATGGAGGTATCCAGAATCTGCCGAAATCCCCCAAAACAGGGGTGTGGATTTTGATGGATTCAGGTACGTTAGGATTAATGTACATTATACCTACCGGTATGTACAGTGTAAATTTATTAATGGTTTATTTCATAAAAGACCATCACAGCCAGTTGAATTACTTCCAATAAATAATAGTTGAATAAACATGATAAAGAATGAACCAATTATTGAAAACATACTTAGTAAAAACTGTGGTACATGCATATGTACATTTGTACCTCATCCATGTCATCTGAATTTTAAAGGAGCATGCACGATGTCATTATACATCTTAAAAGAAATTGACAGGGAACTCACAACGTTGCCAAGACCATTGGAATTCTCTCTGTTACAAATCTTTCAACTTTCTCAGTAGTATGTAGGCCTACATGTACCGGTACGTCCATAAAGGGTTGTTTGTTCTTTGTTTGTTTGTGTACAAGTTGGTTTGTCTCAATGTGTTTTCCCCCCATTTTTAGCAACAACTGTACATTACACAATATCTTTATTTACCCTGGTTATCAGGGTTGGCAATTTTTTTGATTTAAATTTTTGGTTTTTTTAAACATCAGATTTATTTGATTTAAATCAGATTTTTAAAAATCTAAATCAGATTTTTATGATTTTGTTTACTTTCAAAATATGTGTAAAAATGTGTCTTAATCATGTTAATCTTCCCATGCAACCCTTAGGCCTACATGTACACCCATCACTAAGAAGTTTCTAGGTTCTATAATACCCATTATCCACAAAGCTCATTAAATTCATAAATACTTTTGAAAATTAAATTGTATTGGATCAGTGATGTACACAAAAATGTATGTACGTGTAGTCTTACTAGTCTACCTCATTGGTTGAACACTTTAAAGGTGTATTGCTTGATTGATACAGCTGAGATACGGTACGTTGTGTGTGGATACGAATGAAAAAAAAACCTGATTTATGGTACGTGAATGGTACCGTACATACATTGGTAGCCTACGGTACATATAAAAAATAAAAGTTAGTTCCCACTGGAACCTACATACTGTACATGACATATTGGAGAAATGTTGTCTATCATCAAATACTTCCATACTTTAAAGATAAACTTTTGCTAAAAGTTAAAAACCCTTTTTTTTGGCCTTATGATACTTTCAACACATACATGTAGTTGGGTGAATGTTAATGCAAGGTTTCCATGCATTTCTATTTTAGGTCCATGGATTCTCATCTTGGTTCAACCTCAAATATGACACTGAGCTCCGAGGAAATTTACATATTACCAGCTATAAAGGACTACCATAAAGGGGACCTGAGAATACTAATTTAAGATAATATGACCTCATCTACTTTTCTATTTTTAATTTTTTTTATTTTACACCCCACACCATGCTGGCGGAATAATTGGGGTTGGACATGCCCCTTTAATGGACCATAACTTCACCATAGGCGGGCAGGCCTACTTGTTTAAGATATAAACTTTTAATTGGTAGCCTACCATTAGTTTTCTTTTTGGAAGCTATTTAAGTATTTTGGACAAAAAAATCCAAAAAGTGCCGACCACCCTACTTAAGCCTAACGTTATAACCATGTTAATGTCGTAACGTAAACATGATTATATGATAAGTATGAACATCATATAAATTGTATTGTTGGGCCTATATTTTCACCATGTTGAACTACATTGTATTAAGCAGGTTTCCATTGTTAAGCATGTTTGTGTTAAGTAGGCCTGTTGTGCACTTTCTTGTGATTTGCGCAATGATTGCGCAACTGGATCCTTGCGCAATCTTCGCAAAAAAAAACTCTTCCAGATTGAGCGCACATTCTTAAGAATGCGCGACAAGATAAACGGCCTTGTCGCTGCCGAGCACCGGCTGCATTTGGCAAGTCTAGCTGCATCCTCGTTCACTGATTCTTAGGTCACTTACATGTACATGTACCTAGGAAAAGATTTAACGATGAAAAGTAGAGTGGATATGAAAGTATACATGTACACGTATTCGGGGGACCGGGAAAAATAAAAGACATAATAATAGTGTAGTGGAAAGAATTCTGATTTTTCGGATAACAATTAAAAAGGGGAGGGGGCGTAAGAATGAAGAATGTGAAGAATGAGAATGAATACTGTGACATCCCATAGCGCTAATGCTATTTGCCACTTAAATTGCTATTGTTCACACCCCACCATTATGCCGCAGAGCTGGATTGTATCACCGGTAGTCAAAAAAAGCAATTTTGGCAGCTTCTGGACATCGTTTTTTTGTGACATGCATATGATACATACAGGGACTTGTAACTTGTCTAGCCTAAACAAAGCACTTCCCAGACTTCCCATAGTGGGCAGAAAAAAAAGCAATACATGTAAAAACAGGTTTAATTTGATTCAAATTATCATAGCTATACGGGCATGACGAGTACAGAAGCATAGATCATTTTCTTTCCTCGTTATATGAATTATTTTCCCTTTAACTGCTATTTTATAGGCCTACATTTCATTTAACATAATTATGCCATGCAATGTTTGTTATTGTTAATATTAATAAGATTGCGCAAAATTCATAAATTGCGCACGTGATCATGGTGATATTCCCACGCAATCTTAAGAATAAGCGCTCATTCTTCAGATTGCGTGCTCATTCTTAAGAATGCGCGCTCGTTCTTAAGAATGCGCGCTCATTCTTAAGATTGCGTGATTTGCAAGAAAGCGCACAACAGTGCTACAGTTGAACTTGAACATGTTGAAGTTGAAGTTGAAATTATTTTGTAAGCTTACCTGGACATCTGGTACCCAAGGCGGCTCTTCTAGCTGAAAGGGACTGGTATCCTTATCTTCCACACTCACCATCCGTAGCCCACTTTTACTACGTACGAGCTTCTTACCAGCATCAGCCATTTTCTCGACATTTAAGAGCAACAATTCGTTTCAGAAATTTATGACACCTCCTCTCACCTTCAGACCTTCTGCTCGTCTGAAGTGAATAGAAGAGCGCCCTCTGTAGTTCTTATCTTACAGCATCATGTTTTAGTCTGGTTCCCTGACCCCATTACTCTTCGGACTCCAAAAATAGGCCAGGAAACAGTCTATTTATATTTGGCATGTTTTACACCATGCAAGATTGGGGTAAAACATTTTGCCACATGTGTTGAGTAGCGCTACAAGCACTACATTTCCAACGATACGCTCTCTGTTCCCGACACCATGCACCATGAGTATATCACTACGCAATAGAACTGTGTACAAAACGGGAGGGGAGAGGTGATCCATGCTCTTTGATCCATGCAAACAAAGTGCAACACAGCAGGAAAATCAGTCTCCATAATACTTTGTACAATAAGAAAAAATAACTACTCCATAGAAACGTGTACAAACTAAAAAAGCTTCTTTGGAGGGGAGATGAAATCGCTACTCACTACTCCATAGACACGTGTACAAAAAGTCACTACACAGATCCTACACGGCAGGAAAATAACTACTCCATAGAACTGTGTACAAACTAAAAAAGCTTCTTTGGAGGGGAGATGAAATCACTACTCACTACTCCATAGACACGTGTACAAAAAGTCACTACACAAGTCCTACACGCCAGGAAAATCGCTACTCAGTAGAACTGTGTACAAACTAAAAAAACTTCTTTGGAGGGGAGATGAAATCACTACTCACTACTCCATAGAAACGTGTACAAAAAGTCACTGCACAAGTCCTACACGGCAGGGCAGGGAAAATCACTACTCCATAGAGATGTGTACAAACTAAAAAAAAACTTCTTTGGAGGGGAGATGAAATCGCTACTCACTACTCCATGGACACGTGTACAAAAAGTCACTACACAAGTCCTACACGCCAGGAAAATCGCTACTCCATAGAACTGTGTACAAACTAAAAAAGCTTCTTTGGAGGGGAAATCACTATACTCACTACTCCATAGACACGTGTACAAAAAGTCACTACACAGGTCCTCCACGGCAGGAAAATAACTACTCCATAGAACTGTGTACAAACTAAAAAAGCTTCTTTGGAGGGGAGATGAAATCACTACTCACTACTCCATAGACACGTGTACAAAAAGTCACTACACAGGTCCTACACGCCAGGAAAATCGCTACTCCATAGAACTGTGTACAAACTAAAAAAACTTCTTTGGAGGGGAGATGAAATCACTACTCAGACTGAGTACTCACTACTCCATAGATACGTGTACAAAAAGTCACTGCACAAGTCCTACACGGCAGGGCAGGGAAAATCACTACTCCATAGAGATGTGTACAAACTAAAAAAAACTTCTTTGGAGGGGAGATGAAATCGCTACTCACTACTCCATGGACACGTGTACAAAAAGTCACTACACAAGTCCTACACGCCAGGAAAATCGCTACTCCATAGAACGGTGTACAAACCAAAAAAGCATCTTTGGAGGGGAGATGAAATCGCTACTCACTACTCCATAGACACGTGTACAAAAAGTCACTACACAGGTCCTACACGCCAGGAAAATCGCTACTCCATAGAACTGTGTACAAACTAAAAAAAACTTCTTTGGAGCGGAGATGAAATCGCTACTCACTACTCCATAAACACGTGTACAAAAAGTCATTACACAAGTCCTACACAGTACACGCCAGGAAAATCACTACTCCATAGAACTGTGTACAAACTAAAAAAAGCTACTTGGAGGGGTATGGCGTGTCAAACGTTGCAATATTCAATATTTTGCAATATATATGTTGGATGTTCACTTGTGTTTTGTTATCTTTTACATTTATGTGCGATGTTCAATATAAGTGTAAGATGTTTTTCATTATTTGCGCGATGTTTAATATATTTGTGCGATGTTTTACAATATATGTGCGATGTTCAATATATGTGTGCGATGTTTTACATTTATAATTATATGCGATTTTCAATTTATATGTGCGATGTTTTTGACGATATATATGTGCGATGTTTTCAATATTATGTTCGATTTTTTGCATTAAGTGTGCGATGTTTTTCGATACAATTGTGTGTGTTGTTTTACAATATATTTGCGATATTCTCAAATATGTGAGCAATGTTTTACACATATGTTTGACATTTCGAGCTATTTGTATTCGATGTTTCATCGGTATGTTTGCATTCGATCTTTTGCAATATGCATTTGATGTTTGTTTCGTTAAGAGTCAAAGTCTGGTTACTAGACCGCGAAAGTCACCATTTTGCCTAAAGTCAGTGTATGAGACGTCAGGGGATCGCGTCAAGTGATTAGAGCCAGACCTAAACGGTAAAAACCGGAATTGTGGGTAATTCTTTAAGCATACGCAATGCGTTCATCATTGTTTGGGCAGTACCCCCAGCTGTGCCTGTACTACCCATAGTGTTATGTGCATCATCTATGCATTGAGGAGTGCATGACACATGGTCTGAGCTCCAAGGCCAATGTGCACCTGTCCCGTTTAATGATCCAGTTACCTGATAATTTGTTAGCAAAAACTGATGTAAAATTGGGCAAAATTAGATGTTTATGAAAAAAAATCAAATTGTAAGGGGTTAACCTTGCATTTTTTTTAGCAAAATCGGGAAAAATCAGATGTTTCTGGAAAATTGCAGATTGTATGGGGTTAGATGTTTATGAAACATTTCAAATGGTAAGGGGTGAACATTGCATATTTGAGCGAAATTGGGCAAAATCAGATGTTTCCGAAAAATTTCAGACGTAAGGGATTAACCTTGCTTTTGTAGTGAAATTTTGCAAAGTTAGATGTTACGAAAAATTTCACATTGAAAGGGGTTAACCTCTCAATTTTTTTAAAGCGAAAATGGGAAAAATCAAATGTTTCTGGAAAATTGCAGATTGTAAGGGGTTAACCTTGCTTTTTGAATAAGATTGGGACAAATTAGATGTTCATGAAAAATTCAAATTGTAAGGGGTTAACCTTGCATTTTTTTTTTAGCAAAATAGGACACAATCAGATGATTCTGGAAAATTGCAGATTGTTAAGGCTTAACCTTGTATTTCTAGCAAAATTGGGCAAAAAGAAATGTTTATGAAAAAATTTAAATTGTAAGAGGTGTACCTTCTATATTTAGTAAACTTTGGCAAAATCAGATTTGTATGAAAAATCTAAAATGGTAAGGGGTTAACCTTGCTTTTTTAGCAAAATTTGGAGCATATTTTACTAAAATTGGGCAAAATCAGATGCTTCTAAAAAATCCAGATGTAAAGTTTCCGCAAAAACAGCTGTTGAAAAAGAGCCCAATGTTGAACTTTACTGAGTCTGAGGTCTATCGAGGGGACGATCCTTATTTCAACTCCCAGAGATTCGCTGACAGTCTCTATTTTTCTTTGTAAGAAAGTCGAAATAGCTGAAGAGGGAGGTGAGAATCTATATGTGCCCAGATACAAAGAGTAGAAATCTACGCGTCTGCCTTTTGAAAATACACAATTGCGGTGTTCATTGTTGCGTAATGATCCGCCTAGCACACGACTGTTTTGCACATTAGGCTGTGTTATGCAGCTTCCTAAGAAAACCAAACACACTGGGCTCATTATATCGACTTGTTTTTACCCATTAAGGTAAAGTAAATGGACCCAGTAATCTTCCTGGCGCGTTTGCTCACCTATAAAGACAACTTTTCTCAGTTTAAGGAAAATTCTAAGATAACGAAATGGCCGAGTGGTTACGATTCGTCGTCCACAGTTAGCGGGGTCCCGGGTTCGAATCCCGCTGGTGTCTTTTTGGTTTTTAACGTATGAGTTCAATCATTTACTATAAGAGATTTAATTTCCCGTCGTAAAGTACCTTAGCTTAATAGGTTAGCACTGCTGCTGGTACTGTCCGCGAGTTCCAGGTTGGCGCCTTCGTACAGGTTCAGGGCATGTGGTCCACTCGGAGGATCAGGGCTTAGGGGCCGCCCTGTTCCTCCCTTAGCTCTTTGCTTTTACATGGTGCCTGGCCCTCCGGGGTTATATGGATGGATAGGGAAGGAAGTGTGTATTGGTCGGGGACGCCGAGACCCCGGAAGAGAACTAAGGGATCGGCTGGGGCATTGTTATGGCTCACACCGATCCCTGAAAGCTTGACTAGCACATAACTTTTTGATTTTATTTACCCTCTATCTTTTATACTTTGGTTTAGTTTGATATCTACAGCTGCTCGGCAGGTCTACGGGTAGTATCAAAATTGAAACAAAGGTGTATGTCATAATTCAAAGAATATTTCCTAATTGACTATAATCAAAACGGAGTTTCGTTTGATCAATTTGACTATCATTATATAATGACGCGATTGCCAATTGACGTTAGAAACGCCATAAATTATACCGGGAAAGAATAAAGATGTACATTGTAATATAAATATTATTTATACATCTTTCAAATAACGTGTCTTTAATTGTGAGCATTCCAAACAATACAGTAATTCGCAATAGTAATAGAATGGTATATGATAGCACGATCATTGCGTCTCTATTAAATTTAAAAAATATAATTTACGCCCCTATGTGTGAAATATTCTCTGATTGACTATGAGCATTACATACGAATGAGTTAATTTGCACAATATAGCAACAACAAAAGAGAAAGGAAAAAGAGAAAATTCCTTTACCCTAAAAACTGGAAAAATCATTTGTTTAAAAAAGTCAAATGGGACACTTCATGTATTGATTTAACAGTTTGCAAGGAGTTAGCCTTACATTTTTATCAAAATTGGGAAAAATCAGATGTTTCTGGAAAATTGCAGATTGTATGGGGTTAGATGTTTATGAAACATTTCAAATTGTAAGGGGTGAACCTTGCATATTTTAGCGAAATTGGGCAAAATCAGATCTTTCTGGAAAATTTCAGATTGTAAGGGGTTAACCTTGCTTTTGTAGTGAAATTTGGCAAAATAAGATGTGTATGAAAAATTTCAAATTGTAAGGGGTTAACCTTGCTTTTTTAGTACAATTGGAAAAATTTAAATGTTTATGGAAAATTTCAGATTGAAAGGGGTTAACCTTGCTTTTTTAGTGAAATTTGGCAAAGTTGGATGTTTATGAAAAATTTCAAATTGTAAGGGGTTAACCCTGCATTTTTTTAAACGAAATTGGGCAAAATC